AAGTTCGGGAACGAGGGATAAGACTAATCCGGACGATGTCCGAACTAGAAAGGAAACAGCGAAGGACTACCAGAGGTAGAGGCAGAGGTGAGAAGTCTATAGGAATCGATCCTAAGACTAGCGGAGGACGACGAGAGGAGAAACTCAAGTTGGATGGAGAAGGGAATGAGCAGAGTCTAAGATAATATTTGAACTAAGGAAGTACAAAGATTCTACAGGGTTTATATACTACTGAGGACTTGATGGAGAATCAGTCTGCGCAGTCCGAAGCTATGTGAGGCTGTGGACGGAGCGTATAGAAAAGTCAAACGCTAGTCTATCGGAAAATAGTAAATGAAGACGGAGATGAAGACATAGGAAAATAAAGACGGAAATGAAACGAGGTACGGAAAATGAGAGTAGTCTAACTGGAGAAGGAACGTACAAAGGGATAAGGCATGGAAGTTAGACGCGGGTTGGATCCAGACGATGGATAGAAGTCGGCTGGATCCAGAAGTCCGGAAATGATGTGTGTGATTGGTCCGGGTCCGGAACGCGGGATATGACACTGTGAGAATATGGTTTCAGATGCTTGATATTTTGGATTACACATAAAACACTGGCAAATTTTGAAGTTGTGTACCTAGTTTTATGTTACTTTAAATTTCAAATGTTTTCTTCGCATTTTGTACAACATATAAACCTGTCCTAAATATTGATAACCCCGATGTGTCAGTTGACTTCGCACATCCGCTGAGGTTAGTGGACTAGCAATATCTCAGCCAATCCTGGATCATTTTGCATAAACTTTTTTTTGTTTTTGTCGCAGAATGAAGGGCTACCATCCCAGATACTCAAAACCCACCAAAAACCCGGGGGTATACCCATGCAGTTCCCTACATGATGTATCTAACTGACAAACATCTGTAGCTGAACTGCTACAGGTATATACCAATATATACAGTTGACTTCGCACGTCCGCTGAGCTGAGCTGCTACAGGAAGACCGCCACTGATTGTGTTAGAACATGGACAAATACATTCATCTTTATGTTTGGCATCTCTCATTGTCTTCATATTTTCATTAACAATCATTGACGCCTCACTTTCTAATTTGTCTGTGAAGTGATAGGTCGATTTGCACGCCACTTGGTGAGGACTGTCTAGCCTGGAGGAGCTCAGTATAACATGAACTCACAGATCTATCCAGTACATGTCACACATATGCTTCACGTATACCTCGAGCGCTAGACTCACTTATAGTGCTTCTCTGAAGAATGCCCATGTGCTGGTCCCATGTACAAATACACTGTAAGGCACCAGCCCTCCCTCAAATTTAACTTTTTCAACACGGGGGTTCGCTCGTTTTATTTCATCAAATTGGATTTTTAGATGTGAGGTGGGGAAAGATAGCATTCTCATATCATTGTATACAGCTTTAGTGTCCATGGCCAAAATGGCTGGCACATTCGAGTTGGTTGTAGTCAACAGCTGGACGCTAGTGCGTTTGCAATACAAATGAGGTTGTAGAAAATGAAACAGTGACATGACTCACTGTTGCGACGTGCCACTCGGCCGACTATGGCTGGCAGACCGAAAATCCATTATTCTAAGGTGCCCAGGTGAGTCATGTGGTTGCACAGCGAGCTGTTCACACTCACATCAGGTCCACACACAAAGCCTGAACAGCAATCTCCAGTTGTGCTGCAGGCTCCTCCCAAATTGCTACATGCACTGACAGACATAGATGCTGTCAAAGCAGCAACAATGGTAAGGAAGGAGAAACACATTTTCTGTGCGAGGTGATATGAAATCTTCTGAGGGGGATCTCGAATGATATCTCTGAGGATGGGGGAACACTGTAGGACGACGACCAGCTTTTATATGGGCACGATTCTGAACCATCTGGCAGAATTATTATTGCTCTCAGATGGCAGAAATTTAGGCAGAACCTACAGGAGCATGATTACGACCAATTATATACTGCATGGTCGGGCATGAAAATCTGGCGAGATACATGTTGCTTATTTGTGTCGATGAATAAAAAAAAAGATACTGTCAATGTCGTGTACAAGGGCCTGGAACAAGGAGTGAGTGAGAGAAAAATGACATGAAATATCGACCGAGTAATGCATGTCGGAAGTATTGACGAGAATGAGCATCAACTTCTCGACTTTGTCGCTGCGCCGCGGCTGGCAGGGTCACTGCGGGTTCAAATTATGAAGCGATGAGTGAGAGATCGGGATGAGAAACCGGGATTCGACTTCTGTGGTTAAGAAGAAAAGAGATGTTACATAAGACTTTGCACACGTGAAGCTTGTGAGAACGCGAAGGAACAGGAAGTTAAATGAGCGCCTACTTTGCCACTAGCCTAAGTACTATAGTAGATGTCCTAGAGTTCAACCAAGTACGATCCATCTTCCGTCATGTTTATTAACAATTTTCAGGCGATCATCTCCGTCAAATCTGGTGCAGGAGCCGTCGAACTGGACAAGCTCCTAGTTTCATGTAATTTCCCCATTCCTTCCTCTGGGCAACGCATTCTCCCTCATCTATTCTTATCTTCTTCGCTCCCCATTATCTCAACTTTGACTCTTCTGTGCCAGTGGTAGAATGAATGTATGACTGGGTGGCAGGTTCTGCATATGAAACACCTGCCGAGAGCCTTGTTGGTGCGCATGCGGTTGGCACGAGCACAATACCTGCAGGCCTGAAGTCGTGGCTGTGCGAGAAGAATAGCTCGAGGTCATGGTGCTGTGCCTCATTGCTAACACAGTGATCATGCCTGGTACTTACCGGAGCATCAAGGCAGATATTCTAACCCGAGGTACGTAAAATAAAAATAAAACCACGTGTGGCAATTTTGTTTCTCGTTTATGGTTGTTGCAGGCTAACCCAATGTCAACAGTATATTTGATTTAGTACTGAGCATACTGAGTCGAATTTTGTATATAAACAATGGTCCATTGGCCTGCATACCCCAGAGGGAGGATGCGAAGCTGTGAGAGTTTGGTCTGGTAGCTGTTTAGGGCGGGGGTACTTACGTGAAGGTACGAGACGCGGCACTGATGCAAGGTAGCAGGCTTGCGCATGTGGCATAACTCACTATCGCGATGTGCTGCTCGGCCGATTACGGCTGGCAGATCAAACCTCCATTCTAAGGTGTTTAGGTGAGTCGTGCAGTTGACCCTAGTCGCACAGCGACCTGCTCACATCTGGTCCAGCGAAACAACGATAGTCCTCACAGCAACCTGTACTTGTGCTGCAGGTTTCCCCCAAATTGCTACATGCACTGACAGACATAGATGCTGTCAAAGCAGCAACAATGGCAAGGAGGAGAAACACATTTTCTGTGCGAGGTGATATGGAATATTCTGAGTGGGATCTTGAATGATATCTCTGAGGATGGGGAACACTATAGGACGACGACCAGGTTTTATATCCTGCATATACTTGGGGTGGGCAGAATTCTGATCGATTTGGCAGAATTGTTATTGCTATCAGATCACAGAAATTTCGGCAGAACCTGCAGAAGCCTGTCATCAATTTATAACGGCCATCATATCAGGTCTCTTCTTCTTCATAACCACAGAACACTCGCTTGAATCCCCGGTCTCTCATCCTGATCTCTCATCCATCACTTCATCATTTGAACCTGCAGTGACCCGACACAATTGAGAAGTTAATGCTCATTCTCCTCAATACTTCCAATATGTACTTGGTCGATATCTCATGTCATTTTTCTCTCACTCACTTCTTGTTCCCCTTGTACACGATATTGACATTATCTTTTTCTTTGTTCATTGACACATATAAACAAAGTGTATCCCGTCTATTTTCATGCACAACGACGCAATATACAGTTGACCATGCACAAAAGGATCTGAGATCCAGAACTGTTTTTAACAAAGTCAGTCCTTGGCATCCATTAAACGTAGTTGCGTGCGCAAGTCTCGAGGGAAATTGCTTGCTCACTGATCAGCTTGGACAATAGAATGTAGAATCATTGACCTGTGGAATGCAGTGGCTTTCAAGGTTATTGAGAAGCCGCACTTTGACGACCGAAACGACGATAGAGGGCGGACCGGACGCCTTCGAACGCCTCGAATGGTTCCAAAAAAATCACAAAATCATTAGAAAAATGACAACAGGTTTATACAGTACGAAATACATCATCCATACTACAGAGACTCAAAAAAGTAATGCACAGAATCATTTTCTATGTATCTCCACCAAAACACGATACTTTTCTGTAATGTAAATTGTGAACTGTAGCCTGAGGTGTCCTCTACAAGGGCCTAAAATTAGTAAAATAAAATATTGACAACTGCTTTCAGTAGAGGCAGAATATTAAAAATGCCATTTTTCAACTTCTCGGGGGATTTATTTTTTGTCTTGTAACCTTACCCAGTTTATAGAGCATGGTGTTCTGAGTAAAATATCACTTTGAATTGAAGGAAAACATTGAGTCTTTGTGGAGATATATCCATTGTAAAAAGGGGCTGCATGCAAAATTTGGGTGTAAACACTGCTAAATTTTGCATGCAGCCCCTTTTTACAATGGATATATCTCCACAAAGACTCAATGTTTTCCTTCAATTCAAAGTGATATTTTACTCAGAACACCATGCTCTATAAACTGGGTAAGGTTACAAGACAAAAAATAAATCCCCCGAGAAGTTGAAAAATGGCATTTTTAATATTCTGCCTCTACTGAAAGCAGTTGTCAATATTTTATTTTACTAATTTTAGGCCCTTGTAGAGGACACCTCAGGCTACAGTTCACAATTTACATTACAGAAAAGTATCGTGTTTTGGTGGAGATACATAGAAAATGATTCTGTGCATTACTTTTTTGAGTCTCTGTAGATGTCCACTTGATGACATTCAGAGTCAGAGAAAGTCTACAAGGACTCCGTGCAGAAGTGCGTGTGCTGGAGTCAAGACGCGAACCTTTATGACTTGTCACGGTGCGAGAAGTTGCACACCATTGCATCTACATTTCCAACATTCACGAACTTGTTACGCTTCGTCAAGGCTCAGGTCAATATGTAGTCGAGGAAAAATTACATTTCGCTCTGAAGATGTGACTATCGAGTAGCGCCTAGACCTAGCTTCGTGTTCTTGATAATAGCTGTCAAAGGCGCATCAATCCCAGTAGACGCGTCGCCACCGATCCTATCTCCTTCTGCCCATCCCATAGAAGCGAGCATCCTGAACCCGACATTCGTTTGTCCAATCTTTGGAGCAGCCTACGAACAAGGATGTAAGAGCCGCATTTGTTTGAAGTGGAGTGATTACATACCTTGCCAACTTCATCTCCATCTTTGTGTCGAGGCATCGTATCAAACCGGCCTCCGTGTTTCTTCATGACACTCTTGACTTTGCGTTCATTGATGGCACGTACATTTGTGGACTTGATGAGAGTAGTATATCTCCCCGTTCCCTTGCCTCTACTCTGACTCTTGAGGTTAAACGAGTTCGCAAGCTCGTGAACTTCTTTTCTCGACGCCTTATTCATTGGAGGAAGTACCATGTTGTTCTTACCGCTGGTATCACTGATGAAGCGGCGAATCTGCTTCTCCAGTGACACCATGTCCACGATGGCATTCTGAATTTCGGCGAGCTCCCTTGGATCCAGCCGTGCAGCTGCCCGCATTGCCTTGCGCCCCTTCTTACCACCTTTCTTTGGAGATATAGGATCGACAGCATCGAGAAGGCGGGCCTCCTCGCGAGTTCGTTTGTATTCAGCTTTCTTGGCTCGATCTCTCTCCCACATCTCTTGAAGCTCGGTGGGCAGTTCCTTAATCTTGTCTTTCTTGCGCTCTGAAAATCGATTAGATAACTGATCGACACGACATGATAAGAGCACCAACTTGCTGGCTGATAGCTGAAGGATCCATCCAATTCTTCGTAGTCATCGACGTGGTCGAATTGACCATTTCGTATTGCACGGAATAGTTTATTGCATAGTTTGCGGTCTTTACCACCGGCTATACCGCTATGCATTTCAAGCATGTCCTGTAGGTAGAACTCAGCCACCATGGAGAGGAAAGAGGGAAATCGAGAGACCTCTATTTGTGCGATGTAATCATCGTCAGAATCACCTCTATTCCATAGCGGGAAAGGAGCATCAGACTCCTCCTCTTCTGAATCGCCCTCAGCTGCTGTCGCTGCCTTCGTTGAGCGTGATTTCTCGCGGACTCGACGGAGTCTAGCCTGAAAGCTAGCTCCTGGACTGAGCTCATCATCGGATGAATCTTCCGCTTCGTCAGGATGATCGGAGTGTGAAGGTTCACCAGGCCTTCCACCCTCCGATTCTGCAATAAGTATTTCTTCCTCAACTTCAAACACTGCATTTTCTTCCTTGTCTTCTTCATCGCTTGTGTTGTTATAGCTCCCATGGGAGTCACTTCCGTCTTCTTCCTCGTCTTCCATCCGCATCTGCTCTTCGTCCTGGATTTCATCTATCGTGTGATGCCTCAATCCCTCCGCGCTCATGCTCTGTACGAAGCCTTTCATAGCCTCCAGGTCTGGTTCAACATCCGGGTCTAGATCCATCCCCCCAAGTCCATTAGACACTTCATCGACACCGTCGTTTGCTGGGGGATCATCTTCGTCATCATCACCAAAATCGACATCAGAATCGTCCTTCCGCCGAGACTCCCATCGGGCACTTTTGCGCTCCCGTTCATCAGCATCTCTCAATCTCGCTTCAGAAAGCATCGCGCCGAAGGATCCAAACATTGCCCGACGTTGGGCACGCTTACGAGCTACGCGGGCATCTTGTTTCATAGCTTGTATCCTCACTTTTGATCGATCTCCCGCAGTGAAGACTGGTCTCTGACGAGACTGTTTCTTTGCACTGGGAGTGGAGAAATCGAACGAAACGGAGGAGAACTGGGGAACTTCGCTCTGAACTGGGAAACCCTTATTGCCGATTGTGTCTTCGTTTGCCACGGGCCCTGGGTGGGTTTGGATGGGATTGGTAGTACCTGTCAGTACGGACCTCGAGGGTAACCGTACCCGAGGAATATTTGGAATGGGCGAAGCTTGCGCTGATCGTGGGTGGGGCGCAACATATACGATAAGTTCGTCCTCTTCTCCAAGAGGAGCGCCACCCCAGTCGGTGCGATCATAAAGCACGACATCGCTGGCGGAGCGATGCGTAAATGGTTTAGTAGGTTCTGTATCCACGAAGAATGTGGGGGTATCGTCTTCAGGAAGACATGTAGGGGAAACAGTGGTTTCGTTTAACATTGGTACTGTGGGAGATTGCGAGGATGAGATGATGTCTGGTTTATCGGTGACTATTTCGTCATCTTTGGTTATCGCTAGGGCAGCTGTTGAATGTTCTAGCGTAGTAATGCTGTGTACAGCAATTGCGGTTGCCTCACTGACCACCGTATCAATGAATACGGGGTTAGGTTTTTTGGGCGATACATCTGCGCGCTTTAGAGCTGGATGGGATGAGGGAGTTGCGACAGAGTGATTTCTCTTGCTATACACTCCAGTGAATACCTCCTCACGTGAAGAAGAAGCGACTTGTGAAGACCGAGTTTTAGTTGAAGCCTGAGCAGTATGAAGCTGAGGAAACAATTTTCCCATATCAGCAAAGTCGACCTCCTCCAATTCCTCCTCATGATCAGGAACACCGTCTTCTGAAGATGACGACGATGGAGGTGGAGGGGGGAAATGCCCTCCACTGAATACCCGAGTAACGCGATCTGCAGTAGGGACGTGGCTTTCTTCACTCGGACCTAACCATCCCGCCCAACATTCAGGACAAACCATAATATTGACCAAAAAAATGAGACACATACCGGCACTCTCAGCCACAGGCTGCAGAATATCTTCCTCTTCATCAAATAACGTTCTCGTAAGCACCGATGGGACGAATTTGACAGGTTTGAGGTACAGACTCAGTCCTCTAGAGTGGGGGTGTTTAGATAGAGGTGTGTCTGGTGCGTTTCTATTTCGATTGGTACCGTAGCCAAAGCCTGGTCGTGCTCTGGGAGTGTCTGTTCCTCGACCTCGACCTCTGCCTCTAGTACCCATCCCACGACGAGGGGTATTTCCTCCTCGTTGAGGCGCACTCCCTCGCTGAGGCGTACCTGATCCCGATCCCGATCCAAACCCCGGCCGTCCCCCTCGGCCGCGCAATGGAGTCCCACCTCTCGACAAGTCTGCATAGATGGTCAAGATAAGACGAAACACTAGTGTTTCACTACGTACTGCTCGATGATGGCTCCTGCCAGACTTGAACCACAACATCCATTTCGCTATGAGGGTAGTTCCCTCGAGGTGTATCATCGTTATAGCCTTGTCCACGTCCACGTCCTCGGCCACGTCCTCCACGTCCGCGATCGTGCCCACGACCTGAGCCTCGAGGAGATCCACGCCCACGACTGTTATTTCCTCTAGGCATAGCGATACAGAGAGCAAATCAAACAAGATTGAAGCGATATGAACAGATACAAGATATGGATACAATATCGGTTAGATATGTGGATGTGCTGGACTTTTAGAGGATGGATGAATCACATCATTGACACGAGATCGGTGCCGTTTAGGACCGATGTGTGTAACTTTCAGGGCTGATCAACTGCAGCCAATCGTAAAGCGTAAAATTTGACTGGAATACGTCACGTCAAATATCCATTCACAAATTTGAAAGTACGTATGGATCCAATGCGAATCAAAAGCAGCGCTGCAAACTTTATACGACTCTGAATAAAATAGAAGAATTCGGAATATATGACGTGTACGATACTACGGCCATGCATAGTCGAACAGCAGAGATAACTCACAGAAATGATACAGAAGAAATGAAATGACAAAAAAAAAGATCAAGAAACCAAGAAACGCATTGACAACATAGATCTCTTCATACATGTATTCCTACGCAACATTAGCAATCCACACGTCAACCAACCCACAAACACACACCTCAACTAGATCGAGGAGGAGGCGGCAAATACCTCCGATCATCCCTAGGGTCCGGTCTATACGAAGGCCGTCCATACATCCTCGGAGGGGGCGACCTCGGTGGCCTCGTATCCCTATCGTACGGACCCCCATAAGATGGGCCACCATCCCCAGACCTCTCTCTCGGAGGGTAATCCCTCTCAACCCCAGCAGAAGCACTACTAAACGGCGGCGGCCCCCCACGCGACTCATAGAACCCACCGCTCGTCCCGCTTACCGGTGGCGGCGACGCAGCAGAACGAGGTGGGTAATCACTCATCGACATCGACGGTCTGCGAGGTGAGTAGTACCCACCACCACCGCTGTACGGTGGGTCCTCGCGTGCACGTTTGAGAGGCGGTCGGATATCATCGAGAGAATTATTCGCACCGCCTCTTCTTGGCGGACTCGGGCTGCGCGGACGGACGCCACGGACAAATGGGGGGTCGTTATCTGGACCTGTGTAGCGTGGACGCTCGAAGTCTCGAGGTGGATACGAACGGTCGTCTACGGGGGGCAGGTATCCATCTCCCAGGCGCGAGCTCAGTGGACGTGAAGAATCAATAGGGCGGACTGGGGAACTGGAAAACGGTGCTCTCCGTTCCGGTTCACGTCCTTCCCACCCGGAACTTCTGGGAGGTGGTGCATCGCGGTCATACCGTTCTCTCTGGGGCTCTCTATCATAGGGTCTCCATACAGGCGGACGAGACTTGTCATCGTCGGCAGCTCCATACCAGTCACGCCGCCTATCGAATGAGTCTCGCTGATCAGCAGTCGCAAACCTTCGGTCAGAATCAGCTTCGAATGGTACATCCGCCCGAGGTGGTGACCTTGGAGGATAGTAACTCCTGCCTCGAACATCCGAAGGAGGTGGTGGGCTATAGCGACGAGTATCCATAGCATCAGGACGCCTGTCATCACCGAACCCTCTATCAAGGTCCGAGCGGTAAGGTGGTCTTACATCTGATCTCTCCCGTGAGAGATCCCTTGCACGGAGATCGCGCGTATCACGAACAATTGGTGGTGAATCTTTGGGTCCACGGAGGTCATCCCGAGCGACAGATGCCGCCCGAGGTGGCGCCACATAACCACTGGAGCGAGGGGGAGGAGTTGCTGGGCGTGCAAAGTTATCGTTAACAGGTGGACGAGGACGGACGTCAGCAGGAGCAGCAGGACGATCACTCAAAGGCAGTACACGTGATGGTTCTACAGGGCTAGTACGGGCATCCGGAAGGGGTCGATCTGAAGCGATAGGTGCATTTGACAAGCGCTCCTCCAAACTCGGTTGGTGGGTGATACGGCTTTCCACTCTTGGAGCCCCAGGCTGACTGAGACGTTCTTGGAGAGAAGGAACTGCTTGTTGAGATATTCTCTCTTCAAGAGGTCGAGGACGATCAACATCCGCTGCACGTGCCACATCGGCAGGAGGAAGGCGAGTAGGTCTGTCATCAGCCATGCGGTGATTGTCATCGGGTGAAAGCGGAGGTCGAACAGTACGATCTTCAGAACTATGAACTGAGCTAGCGACTCTCGTTGGACGATCGTCAAGGGTGACTCGACTAGGACGATCGCGGTCATCAACCACCATGCTACGAGATTCACGGTCATCAACAGGCGGTCGCCTATCATCGAGAGATGGACGTGGACCGCGATCGTCAGGGCGCAGGGAAGGGCGCCTATCTGCATCCAAATCGTCTTTTGAATCATAGCGGCGAGGAGGGACGCTGTCAAATGGATATCGGGGCTCATAATGGCGTTGTTCTGGGGGAGGTCTAGGAGCATGACTGCGTCCATAGGAACGACCACCGTATTGAGGACGGTCTCTGTCACGGTCACGGCTCCATTCACGTTCTCTTTCACGCTCTCTTTCACGTTCTCTGTCTCTTTCTTTATCAAGGAATGCTTGATCCCTTGGGGGAAGTCGAGGGTCATTACCGTTAGGGCGGCTATCGAGAGGACGGCGTTCTGCATCAAATCGGACCCTTCTGTCGTCCAGTGGGGGATCACGAAAGGGGTCTCGTCTAACATCGTCTTTACCATCGTAGGTGGACTTTGGTGCTGAAGAGTCGACGGGAGGACGAGTGTTATACTCACCAGGACGGTCACCAAGAGGACGAGGTGTGTCAATTTTTGAACTGTCGCGATGGTCGCCTGAAAGAGGACCATCTCGGGGAGTAGCGTCGGAATTATCTGGACCGGTTGACATCTTTCTTTCGGATTTCAAGGGTGAAGCTTCAACCTTTTTTCCAGGTTTGGGTCCTCCAGGTGGGGGAGTAGGGTCTGGATTCTAAGAACACGTGTTTAAGTGTGAGGGTTAGGGTAAGACCAAAAGTAAGCACATTAACTGCTGCTGCTGATGGTTTCTTGACTACGGGTGGATCCGTAGGCCTCCTTGTGGAATCTGAAGAGTAAGGAGGAATTTGGTCGTCAGAAGAGTTATCGTAACCAGACTGGTTGTAATAATCGGCAGGATGCTGTTCTGGATGTGGCGGAACCTGAGAAGAGGTTGGGCCCAAATAGAGGCTAGCAAGAGCAGCAGGCTGAGGAACTGCACGATAGAATTCGTGCTGACCTTCCTTGATGATAGATTTTAAATTTTCTAGTACTTCAAGATCGTTTTTGCCCGCAGGTAGAATGACTTGGGGAGAAAAGAACTGGTGTTGTTGTTGCTGTTGTTGTTGTTGTTGGGCCTGCTGCGGTTGACTATTGGGTCCGTGCGCATGAAAATTATAGGACATTCCGAAATTCTGAAAATTGTTGTTGGGATTGTTGGTAGCAGATGTAGAAGCAACAGAGAAAGGTGAAGACATGAGAGCAGGTTCTTCACTTGGCAGTGGAACGAGGAAAGAAGTGTTTGGGTCCTCCGTAAACGTGGTGACCGTTCGTTCGCGGTTATTGTTGTTTCGGCCTTTGCGCTTTTTATTTTGCCTGGCTGACATTTTTTTGCGGTCCGAAATTGTTTAAATCGATGGTTTTACCTTGGTTTTAATCCCTACGGATCGATCAGTTGAATTTAAAAATTAAAGTGAAAAACCATGCTGTACCAACGAGGCCACTTCGAAGATGGGAGTCAAGAAGATAGAGAAGAGCGTCAAACTCGATTCAGATTTAACCCTCTTTTCACAGCTAAACTTGAATTGTATTCTCATCGACAACTAAATATTATAAGTAATCTCTACTTAAATATCTATGTACACGTAACACGACTACAGCATGGCATGCTACCTCCTCATGTATTTAAGAAAACCATCGAACTTTGTAGAACAATGGTGAAATTTCCTAAAACAGATATGTGTATTCAAACGCGCACTTGAATTTGTATTTAAAAAACTAGTCAAGTCTGCTTCATCATTGATCTTAACTCTCTTCATAAAGTTCACTAGAATCGCACTGTAGCAATGTCTGTCGTCGGTGTCGACTTTGGTACTCTCCATAGCAAGGTTCATCCTATATCATCGCTTAGATCACATCAATGTACTAACTTGTTATCCAAAGATCGGCGTAGCAAGAAATCGAGGTATCGATATCATTGTAAACGAGGTTTCAAACCGTGCAACACCGTCCGTCTCTTCTTTCGCAGATCCTTCCATTCTTAATTCTCTTTCCATCTAGATCTCTCGTGGCATTTGGCCCCAAACAACGCTCTATCGGTGAATCTGCAAAAACACAAGAGACCTCAAATTTCAAGAATACCATAGGCGGCCTCAAGCGCCTTATCGGTAGAACACTACAGGATCCAGATGTTGAAATAGAGAAGAAATTCCTCAATGCAACCCTCGTCGATGGTGGAGGAACAGTCGGCGTAGAGGTTCGCTATCTATAAAATTTAACTTATCTCATCCTGATCTTCGCAATCTCAGGTAACATATCGTGGCGAAAAGCAGATCTTTTCTGCCACCCAGCTTGTTGCAATGTATTTCAGCAAGCTGCGTGATATCACCGCAAACGAGCTCAAGACCGCAGTCTCTGATCTCGTTATTGCCGTCCCAGGATGGTACACCGATATTCAGCGACGAGCAATGATCGACGCAGCACACATTGCTGGTCTCAATGCTCTCCGCCTCATTAACGACACAACTGCTGTCGCACTCGGTTACGGCATTACAAAGCTTGATCTCCCCGACCCAGAAAATCCACGACACGTTATGTTCGTCGATGTTGGACATTCCTCTATGTCCGTCTCAGTCGTCGCATTTTCCAAAGGTCAATTGGCCGTCAAAGCAGCCGCCTACGATCGCAACCTGGGTGGTCGTGATATCGACTACGCTCTCATCCAGTACTTTGCTGCTGAATTTAACGCCAAATATCGGATCGACGTCCTTTCAAACCCCAAAGCAACCTTCCGTCTCCTCGTCGGCTGCGAGAAACTAAAAAAGGTCCTTTCAGCTAACAACGAGGCCCCCTTGAACGTCGAATCACTCATGAACGACATTGACGCCTCATCCAAGCTTAACCGTGAAACTTACGAAGAGCTTATCTCAGGCGTCCTCGACCGCATCGCCGTGCCCCTCCAACAAGCCCTCGCCGAATCAGGACTTACCATTGACGATATTGACACCGTCGAGCTCGTCGGTGGTACAACCCGTATTCCTGCAGTCCGCACCCGCATCCAAGCAGCCCTCGGAGGCAAATTCCTTTCAACTACCCTCAACCAAGAAGAAGCCATCGCTCGCGGTGCTACCTTCGCAGCCGCCTTCCAATCCCCTACCTTCCGCGTGCGCGAGTTTCACGTGCACGACATCAACCAGTACCCGATCAAGGTGTGCTGGGAGCGCGCTGCCTCGGACCCAGACGATGACACCGAGCTTGTCGTTTTCCCTCGCGGAAACAGTATCTTATCTACAAAGATCCTTACATTCTACCGCAAGGAGCCGTTTGAGATCGACGCCGAGTATGTAGAGCCTGCTGGTCTCCCGGGAGGAATCAACCCGAAGATCGCTGGGTTCACGGCAAAAGCTGTCCCGCCTTCCCCGAATGGCGACCTTACGTGCATCAAGTTGAAGACGCGGTTGAATTTACATGGAATCATGTCTTTTGAGAATGCGTACACGGAAGAGGTGGAGGAGCGCGAGGAGGCGATGGAAGTGGATGGGGAGGCACCGAAGAAGAAGCGACATGTGAAGAAGAATGAGATTCCGTTCTCTACTCGCACTTCGACGCTTGACCCGAGCGTTGTTGAGAAGCTGAAAGAGTTGGAGGCAGAGATGCATGCTGCTGATAAGCTTGTCATGGACACTGAGGTTTGTTTTACGAATTAATGGAATTGGCGCGTACTTATGATTATCGACAGGACCGCAAGAACGCACTCGAGGAATATGTCTACGACATGCGCGCCAAGCTCGATGAGCGCTACTCATCCTTCGCGCAGGCTGCAGAAAAAGAGAAGCTCAATGGCATGTTCCAAGAAGCTGAGGACTGGCTATACTCCGATGAAGGCGAAGACGCGACAAAATCCGCGTACGTCACCAAACTCGATGCCCTCAAAGCGGTCGGCGATTCCATCGTCGCGCGCTACCGCGAAGCCGATGAGCGGCCCAAAGCCATGGCCCAACTCCGTGCAGCCCTCAACGACTACATCTCCCAAGCCACCTCTCCTGACGATAAATTCGCGCACATCGCCGACAGCGAAAAACAAAAGGTCGTCGAGAAATGCGCGACGGTCCAAAAGTGGCTCGACGACCAGAATGCACGACAAGCTGAGAAGCCGAAGAACGCGGATCCTGTGTTGACGAGTGCGGAGATTGCGAAGAAGAGGGAGGAGGTGATTTATTTCGCGATTCCGATTTTGACGAAGCAGAAGCCTAAGCCTGTGAAGGCGGAGGGGACGCCTGGGACGCAGACACCGCAGAGCGGGACGCAGACGCCTGATGCGGGGGCGCAGGGGCCGCAGAAGGGAGAGCAGGAGCCAACGAAGGGCGAGGAGGAGGTTCCTGGGCCTCCGGAGATGGATGTTGATTAGACTTCTAGGTGGCCTCTGGGTCCGAGTATTCGTGTTTCGTAAAATTAACCGTAATGTGGGGTTGGTTTTGATTAGACCATGATGAAGCATATATGAAGCATATGATATGTAGAGCATATACAGTACCGCGATATAGTGTACTACTATCGTTCAATGTCTACTATTTTTTGGCTTGTCCATCGGCAAACCGTTCACCGCCTTTTTGGGATGATTACTTTAAGCTGCGACTTGACTGTGACGCAGACAGCTCGGTGACCGTGAGCATGGCCCCTTCCGCCCAGGCGGAGAAGCGATTGCTCTGGCATCCACGATGGGAGAACAAGTTTATGGTCGGAGGAGGCTCTCAGATGACAATGTACGAATGGGCACCAGAAGAATCTGAAATTCGACATGTGACTTCACAAAATGACTTGCAGTTCATGAAGGTGAGTTCCCTACTCGAAAGGCTTGACTCAACTCAATGTGATATGGCCTTTGCATTTATAGTGTTTCGCTTGGTCTCCCGACCCTGCTTTTGACGATCTTTTTGCTGTCGGATCAGCTTCCGGACGCGTTGACCTCATTAGACTCGAAGCTACCAAAGTCGCCCGGAACAACGTCCTCTCAAGCGGTCCCGTCGTCACGCTTCCAGTCCGCAACACCCGGTCATGTAACGCCCTCGCATTCTGTAATGCAGACCCCAACTACCTAGCAGTCGGCCTCGACAAAGTCCGAGGAGACTCCAGTCTCATCATCTGGGATATCCAATCTGCCACGCCCCTCCTCTCACCCTCCAGCCCCCACAATTTGAATCTAACAGAAGACTCAGTACTAGAAGCGCGTCCGCAGCCTCGAATAGCGCGTGCTGAAGTCGGTCATCACAGGACCGACGGACGCGTGTTGCAGCAACATGCACCCACAGAAGTAGTCTCGGCCCTAGCCTTCCTCCCACAATCTACGCATATGCTTTTAGCTGGTATATCAGCGCGGTGGTTGAGGCTATTTGACCTCCGGAGCGCAGTCCCAGCAACTACTAATATCGCGACCAAAGTCTACGGTATAGCAACATCTCCGATCGACCCACACCAGATTGCATGTTGTGGAGACGGGATTATAACTGTCTGGGATGCAAGACGCCTCTTACATCCGCTACTTATGTTTACAGAGAAAGATGCAGCTGCTGATGGTGCAAGACCACGCGCTGGGTCTGGGTCTTTTGTCAACCATATCGAGTTTTCGAGCTCGAGGAGGGGCGTGCTTGCAGCGCATGAGAAGGATTCGTCGCATGTGCGGTTCTGGGATCTGCAGCAGGCGCAAGGGAGCGAGAATAATTCCGATGGGGAGAGATCGAGGGAGTCGTCACATACTCAGACTGCGAAGAGGTCGTGGGCGCCTTGGACTGCTGGTGGTGCTGGGAATGGGAATGGGAATGAAATGAGGCATAGTAATGTGGAATCGCAGGAGGCGTTGGCGCTTGTTCTTTCTGATACGCACAAAAGTATGTGTGTGGTTTACTGGTCTTGCGTTCGTGTGTGCTGATGCGTCATTTTTTCATTGAAGCGACGAGCTTTCGGAAACCACTTGCGTCTTTTGCGCTTGTTCCGAGTAAGCGCGCGTTCTCCCTTACTTCGGAGGTTATGGTCGTCAATAAGGATGGGGATCTTGAACTTTATGCTGCGTATGATACGCCGAAACAGGCGTCTTGGAGTGCACGTGGGGACCTTATCATCGGTGCTGGGTTGAGATGCAAGGTGTTCCCGGGCTTCGAGGACCGCGGAGTTCCACCGCAGCCATGGGATATACGTATTGAGGAAACTACAACTTCTCGAGGGCGTAACGAAACCGCAAGTCTGCCGGCATTTGGGAGGGGTGACGAAGATGGGTTCCCGGCTCTGGAAGGCAAATCTGCGGAGGGCAAATCCACGCCATCGAAGCCGATAAAAACGAGGACGTATAGTCCAGCTTCGTTCCGACACTACCCGCTCGACCAGTCTGAGCTGTCTGCGTCGCCAAGTAGTGTTGATGCTCAAACCCCTGCGAGGGCTGAGGCTGTGCAGGAGCCCAAACCAAATGGTCTTCGACAAAGTGGAGAAAAGAGTTCACCGAAAGGGAAGACTTCACGGAGCGTGCACCAAGCAGTGGAGGATGATATCTCGATGATTATGCGTCGGCGCACCATTCGTGGATATGGGCTGGCAAACGTGAGTTGTATAATTCTAGTATCGTGTCATGTGGGTTCTGAGCACGGGTTTTCTTTCAGGCTAAGCATAACGCTCAAGTTGTACGGGAAGATCTTTGCTCAAATACGATGCTATCAGAGTTATGGGATTGGATACATCGTGCGTGTCATTAGAGGATCTACAACTCTGGATGTTCATCTCCTCCACAGATTCCCGTGAACTTGTATGCTCGCCGACGTCAAGATTACACGGTTATGAGTTCTCAAACCAAGGACTTCTTGGACTATGGGAAGGATTCGCACCGTTACCTCAAGTCTCTGAGTCGAGCGCATCGTCTTTTAGCGTCCTTGACGGCCTTTTGGCGATACCTCAAATTTCTCCGGGAGATTCTAGTCTCTCTCCGATATCTACTCCTGCTGTGCTTGACCCTTTGACGCGAATGAGACATCCTCTTGATGATTTAGCATATGGGGATTTCACAGCTGCCGTTGCTGCACTATGTACTAGACGGACACCGGGTTTGGGACGTCCATGGAGACCCCCTGTCCGCAGCACAGAAAAGCTTGAACAGAGACAGTTTGCGTTGCAGCTCTGCGGATGGAGTATTGGGGAGGAGGAACTAAACCATGAGATTAGAAGGCAAATACGATTTATGTGTTTGTGAATTTTATTACTGAGCTTCTCATGTAGGTGGGAGAAGGAGGGGCAACAACCAAGAGCAGCATGTTGGCTCGTTTTCATGCGACAGTATCAAAAGGCGCTGGAGCTGTTGATGCGGAGTACAGGTGCGACTGTTTCCTTTTGTCTTTGTTTTGTTCAATAATGACATGATATCCTAGATGAGATGCACAATCTCGTGTCCGGTACTCTTGCAGCACTTATCCCTAGCGCTGGAAGCACCCTATCTAACGAATTGCGCACCCACGCCGAACGTGTCGTCGTCCGCCTTGAAGACCCATACTTCCGTGCTATGCTCATCCAACTTACCTCCAAGGACTGGTCCAAGGTTCTCGAGGAAGAATCACTTCCTCTGCGGGAGCGTCTTGCGATTGCATTCCAGTTTCTGGAAGACGAAGCGCTATCGTCCTACCTTACACGCACGATTGACCGGGCCCGTACACGCGGTGACATCGAGGGCCTCGTAATCACAGGGCTCACCCCCTCAGGTATAGACATCTTACAGAGTTATGTAGACCGCACAGGAGATGCGCAGACTGCTGCTATCCTCGCTGGTCAAGTGTGTCCTGCCAAGTTTCTTGACGCGCGAGCAGAGCGGTGGCTAGAGATGTATAGGGACTTGTTGGACGGCTTCAAGCTGTTCCATTACCGAGTTGCGTTTGATGTTGAGCGGGGGCAGATACTGCAAGAGGCAGTGTTGAATGGGGATTTAGCGCCGTTTGATTGGGCCCCGAAGCAGATCTTGATTCGGTGTAATTATTGCTCCAAGCCGATGAATCCTGTGTTGGACGAGACACAGAAAGGACGGGTGGGTGTTGTTGTTTTTGAATATGAGAAGTACTGATACTCGATGACTTGTTAGCCTACTGCATGCCCACACTGCAGTCGTGCTCTCCCGCGGTGTTCGGTCTGTCTAATGACACTGAGCATCGTTCCAGATTGTACGCGTGACGTTGGGCTCTCACAGTCGCAGGCCACTTACCAAGGTAATATCTTCTTTCGTGCACACACGTGGGGAGCTAGATTGACTTGATGTTCCAGACACAATCGACGACGCAATTGTCATCTGCCAGACATGTCGACACGGTGGACACGCATCGCATATTCTTGATTGGTTCTTCGGCGAAGACGGTGCACGTTCCCGTGGCATGTGCCCTGTGGCAGATTGCGACTGCCACTGCGCAGATGAGTTTTAGTTTTTCGCTGTTTGCTGGGGCCTGAGCTCGGATCATTTGCATATGACGTTGAAATGGTCATCGGATGGGAACCTCTCGTTCTCTACGAGACGATATACACGTAACAGTGTCCAATAGAATGGCTTAGAAAGTACTGGATGTCAAGTATCCGGGGCATATAATTGTTGATATTATTATTATTTCAAGTAGACTTGTTGCAGTAGACATGCCGATATAAGTACAGAACGCTATCCGTTAACTTGCTGATCGAGGAGCGAATAACATGCAACTAAAGCTAGCTATATCAGCCGTGTGTTGAGTATTGAGCAGGATATAATATCCCCTCTACCCACTTTACATAAAGTAGTGGGTAGAGGTAGAAAATAAATGTCGATGCGTGGAAAATTCTTTCCGCTGGCCGATAATCAAGCCGATAGTCACATGACCCCTCGGAACTGCTAATATTAAATACACAGCATCGTGCTACTCTTTGAGTCACGTCTTCAACACGGCGGACTGACCTTTGATGCTTTATTCCACTTCTGTTTCATGCTTTCGCTGTTGATGGCATGGAGGGACCGCGGCGCACTGCACGTTTTTTTCTGATCGCTTGATGTTACTCTTCCAAGGCACATCTTCAACATCTTCAACACGACCGACTAGTACTGCTCTGCTCAAAGGCCGTGTGAACGCGCGTCACGAATCCAAATTCTATACAAATACAGAAGTGTCGGGGACTGGCGCGGCCGAGCGCCGTTACGATCACATACTGTATGGGGTTCTTGATGTTTTTTTTTGATCATTACTAATTCGTTCCGGTCACCGTGCAACATACAAGGATTGTACAGAAATCATCCGATTGCGCAATAGGAAACACACTCAAAGTGCTTCTCAAGACAGGCATGGAAGCCGATTATAATACTCCTCGACACGCGATAGAGCGATGAAACTTGTCCAATCTTGCTAATGAAAGACAAACCTAATGACATCTGACGGTCTGAGCGATCCAACGGCCACGGGACCTCCTCAGTAGGCTTAGCTGATTTCAAGCGCTGCTATGTGCGTGCCGAACGTGTTGCTTATTTGCATTTTATTTCGGAAGCTTTTGCACGAACTGTCACGAAATAAAATGGCCAAATAAAATCGTTATTGAGTAGGACTAATGCGTACGTGCGCCTTGGCAGGCAACCAACACTTGCGCAACCCTCTCGACCCCAAAAGCAAACATCCACGCTACCAGCCAGCCCTCTCGTGCTTGCGCGGAGTGAATCTGTGTCAGATTGTCCCAAGTAGGACTTTGCCGTGAGTGATACTCTTGTTGGGAGTAGGAAAAGCTGATACGAGGATAAGATAAGACCACTGACCGGCTGACATTGAGGGATATCTCCTGGATACGTCGTCCTGAAGCTGTGCTGTCAGTCAGGATAGAATCCCCCAGGGTAGGACCTCTCGTGAGCAGTCCTTCCAGGAATTTCTATTGACATGCCAAAGTCAGGTAAAAACAGATAGGCCAGTGAAACCACCCACTATTTATACCCCCACAGGACAACTGATTCTGAAGCAACGATCTGCTCTTGCGCATATAGTCCACGATTCCCTTGATAGAGATCCCCGAGCGCCCATCATGTCTTCTACTGCCGCTAATGTGAAAAAGACGTCAGCAGTAACCCCCTGCAAGACGATACGAGGCCATACCGCGGGAGTTACAGGCGTTGCACACCTACCCGGTGGGCAGCGCATTATCACATGCTCATTCGACAGCTCACTTCGACTATGGGACCTAAAGAGCGGTGCACAGATAGGTGACGAGTGGCGAGATGAAGGGGATGAGGCAGCAATAATTCCCATGTCGTTGTCTCCGAATGGCAAGACTATTGCCAGCGGAAGCAATGACGGGACAGTGAGGTTGTGGGATGTCGAGACGGAGAAGGTTGTCATTAAATGGAAAGGACACACTGCTTTTGTGCAGTCAATGTGCTGGAGTCCAAATGGTGGGCGAGTTGTGAGTGGATCAGACGACAGGACGGCAAGAGTGTGGGATGTGAAGACACTAAAGAGCGGCAAACCAGTCGAAGGTTTGAATCCAATCAAGACAGGACACAAGTCAGTATACGCGGTGAGCTACTCACCCGAGGCATCAATGATTGCGACAGGAGGTCACGACGAGAGTGGAATGAAAATCTGGGACGCGAAGACGGGCGAGCTGCTGTCCACGATCAATATTGACTATGACGTCTGGAGCTTAATCTGGACATCGGATGAAAAGAAGCTTATTGCCGGGTGCGGGAATAACTCGATTACAATATTTGACACTGCCACATGGCAGGAGCTCGCTGTTCTGGAGGGTCACACATATATTGTCTACTCCCTCACTTTATTTCCCAACGACCGCCTCCTCGCAAGTACATCTTGGGATAATACAGCACGTCTCTGGAACCTTGACACAAACGTCCAAATCGGGCCACCTCTTCAACACAAAAATAGTGTCACTTGTGCGGCCTTTTCCGCTGATGGAAAGCTGCTATCCACAGCTTGTGCAGATGAAAACTTGTACATGTGGGACATCCAAGATATCCTCAAAACAGCTAGCCTAGAAGATCTCCTGTCACATACCTGATGTGAGTGCCAACTTGACTCTCACTCGCTATCTCATTCCCAATGGCTGTCAGGCACGACAATCTGAACTCAAAAACAAGGTATGTATCATCTTGTGACTTTTCAAGAATGAAACACGCTAATGTCCCACGCGCACAAGCTATCAGATGTACGCCGTGTCTTTTCTGACCTTCATATTGAACTTGATACCGACATTCCAGGCTAATGCTACGCGACGTCCGCCCATCCGTCAAGTGCCACCAGGGTTTTTCGATAACGTGCAAGACGGTGGTCATGTGCGTTACCACAATTCACCTGCACTACTTGCTCTGATATTCATATTTTCAGTCCTCCAATACCCACCGTCTCCATCCTGATCCCTCTCTGCATCGCCGCCGCAGTGCTTTTGCACCATCCTGGGGATCACGTCCACGTGCACTCCTCGCTCGCCTTCCCTCACTCTTCCACCGTTCCCCACCCAACACAGATGAACCAACCGTACTTCAGCAACGTCCACTGGGATCTGGTACCTCCTCTCGTCGCAGTCCTCCTGTTGTCGACGTTCCAGCACTAGATGACAAGAAGGTATGTCGTTTGGGGGATGTGTTATCAATAGCTGGTTTCTCAAATTTTATCTGCAGGCACTGTATGTTGCTCGGCGGCCGGAACGAGCTAGCGATAAAGCAAAACGCGTCGACAGCTCGAAATGGTGGGCTCGTGTTGTGCTGTTCCTCTGCTGTGTGTCTCCGTCCAACGACGACAGTCACTAATGGTTTCAGGACATGGTCGATCACATTCATATTGATATTCTCCTTTTGTTATCTTTCAGCATTTTTCTGTTATCATTAATGACAATCATTGACGCCTCGCATTCTAATTTGTCTGTAAATTAACAGGTCGATTTGAGTCGATTTGCACGCCAGTTGGCAAGGACTGTCTCGCTTGGAGGAGCTCAGTATGACTTGCTCTACAAATATATCAAGTACATTTCATACACGTGCTTAATTTATCCCTCGAGCACTAGATTCCGTTATACATGGGTGCCTCTCTGAAGAATGCCAGACCGTCTACTTGCCCATTTGCTGGTACAATGTCCAAACGCCCTCCTGCAGTTATAATTTATTTTCAACAAGAGGGGTTCCCTCGTTTGCAGCGCAGTCGGAATCAGGTCAAGTATTCCTTTTCGGATGTCCACAACTTCGTCTGACTCTTTGAGGCGTTGATGGGCGTTGTGCATACAACGTCATCACTCACTACTTCGTTCTAGCTCAGCCTTCCCGACGTCATCATCGACGAGACAAAGTTTGCATGGACGCACTATGTGACTGTGGCGTTGTTCACCGCAGTGCTCTAACTGTCATCGCATTCATACACCAATCAATTAATTTCTGCTTTGCTTTAAATTTTCCGTGTTTTCCTAGTCCGTGCCGCTGTTCAGTCGTCTTTATGCACTCGACCTAGCAAGGCCACCCATCTGACCACCTGATCATTCACTTTCAACCTCATAATTTGGTTTGTTTCATTCCCTGTATCGTATTCGACTCATTGATCTTGAACAGGACGCATTTTCTGATGTGTATGTGAAGTTGACGATTCACTATCGCAGTGGTCCGTCGAGCCACTGTAAACGGTAAGACCTAGAATCTCAACGAGCAAGATCGCGCCCAGACTTTCCTTGTTGGCACAAAATTCATAAGGAAGGCTTTCAATGCTAACCAAAAGAGAAAAGCCATTGACCAGGATGTCGACAACGAGCAGCTCTTCAGCGATGATGAAATCGACAGCAAACCAGCAAAAAAGGTACGACGTTCTGATCTAGTTTTACTGCGAAGGTACTGAGCTTATCGAACCAGCGTGTCCCGAAAAAACGAGTCGTCAGAGATGATGAAGACCAGGACGCTGTTGGAGGACCATGCAAAACATCAGGCGTTTAGCTTTTTGCTAATTCATCTCGCCAGAAAAAGCAAGGAAATTGTATCGGACACGGACGATGAGGAGATGTCATGATACCAGTAGATTTCTCAGTATTGTCTATGTTACTTTCGTTCGCATTGGGCTCCTGTCGAGTCACCCTCGCCATTTTTGTTTGAAGTTCGGAATCGCTCCGTATAAATATATGTTGTACCATGCTGATTTGAAGCGAACGCCTATCTTCTATGGTGTAGCTCATGAGAAGAGCAAGGAGTCGTAATATAGATGTAGCTCTTTGTTTCCGACCTATACGGATGTCGATCATGAAATCCAGGAACCGGATGCGAAAGAGCCGGGGCCTGGTTCCTTCTGATTGCCTTGGGGCTAAAGGCCTAGGCACAAGGATCGTGTCTGTAATTAGAAGTTACTCCATCGATGGGTCACATGGACGCTGCACAGAGTACGTGCTCGGCCTTGTCCGCTGACTAGCTAGGGAGGTCTGGAATGGCGTCCGCCTGCCCTTTTGGGTTGGGGAAAGGTTTTGCGGGCACGGACCGCGGGTCCAAGCACTCCCATTGACATAGGCTTAAGAAGGAGGATTCCTACGTAGAACTAGAAGTACAAGTGGTTGAGGTAGCGGTAGCCCCCTGATGAGACCTTTCGCACGGTCGAAACCACTGCTACCGATCCACTTTACTTACCTCTCACTCCGGCTAATGTTTAATCCAATTCAAATTAGACGGGCTGCGGAACACGGGAATAAAGTACGGCACTCTGTCAAACGTTGGTACAGGAAATGATTGATGATGGATTGAGGATGCACATGGGATAAGTGTCGTACCTGGGTGCTTTATCTGCACAGTAAGTGCTGTTAACCTGTAGAGACGAAGATAACTAATGGAACGCGCACCTTAATAAACGACTTAAACGATCACTTGAGCAACTCCTCGATTTTCCAAACAGAACATTTGCTACATCAGCTATTAATGTGCACCTCTCGATCATCAGTGGTGCCCGTCGAAGTCGTCTGAGCCGTGAGCAACACTCTTTCGCAGGAAATGTGGAGGTAAGGAAAGCTTGAGGCCCACTCGCTGACTGGTATCTTGTATCCTCGTACAGATCCAACAGCGCTTCCCGAAGTCGTCAGGATCGATTCTTGGAAACAAGTTAGACTGTGAGTGACGTGGTCGTCTGTCGATAAAAGTTGAGATCACATAGAGGATAGGGCAGTCGGACCCACCAGCAACCTATGCCTCTCGAACACACTCTAGTTCAAAGAGCCGATATAGTCTACAATTTCGTTGATTGAGATCCCCGAACGTCCAGCAGTCTTCTCCTGCTGCTAAGATAAAAAAAATAGGTCAGAAGTAGAGCTGATCAGAGTCAAATTGACGTTACTGGTTCATGTACCTCCCTTTTGACGCAGGGAGCAAAGATATTTCGCGGATCTAAAAAGGTATCATGCCGATCTTGTCATATTTCACTTCCAGTTGTCCAAAAGCGCTGTATTCTCTTAGAAACGGTCAACAATGATGATTCATGTGAAAATTTGCATCTTCTTTCACCACTCCGGCAGAGCTAACCCCTTCTTTCCGGAGTAGGAAGAGGAAAGAGTCACATCTGGTATGGATTGAGTATTGGGCAAGCAGATCGGCATCTTTGACTGGCCTGAAGATTCTGATACTCCTCGTTATATGATAGAGCGATAAAACCTGTGCAATCCTGAAAGACAAACCCAATGACGTCTGGGCGATCCAACGGGACCTCTTCAGTAGAGCTACCATCAATCGATGTCTTCTGTGTGATATTGCGAAGCGTACGACATGATTCTCCGAGTAAGGTCCAACATAGACAGGCTGGCAGAATAGTACTTGGAGAAAGCCGAAATGGATCGGACCATTTGAAAGACCGAATAAAGATACGGAGATGCACGTGGCGCTTCGTGTGCACAGCACTGAAGCTGTGGAGAGAACACAAGGATAACGAATACATGCTTTTGCAGGCAACTTATATCAACAACTTGCGCAGCCCTCTCGACCCCGAAAGCAAACATCCACTATCCCGGCTACCAGCCGGCCCCTCTCGTGCTCGCGCGGAGTGAATCTGTGTCAGATTGAAAGTAGAACTTTGCCGTGAGTGATACTCTTGTTGGAAGTAGGAAAAGCTGATACGAGGACAAGATAAGACCATTGACCGGCTGGTATTGAGGGATATCTTCTGGATACGTCGTCCTGAAGCTGTGCTGTCAGTCAGGATAGAATCCCCCAGGGTAGGACCTCTCGTGAGCAATCTCTCTAGGCATTTCTATTGACATGCCAAAGTCAGGTGAAAACAGATAGGCCAGTGAAACCACCCACTATTTATACCCCCACAGGACAACTGATTCTGAAGCAACGATCTGCTCTTGCGCATATAGTCCACGATTCCCTTGATAGAGATCCCCGAGCGCCCATCATGTCTTCTACTACCGCTAATGTGAAAAAGACGTCAGCAGTAACCCCCTGCAAGACGATACGAGGCCATACCGCGGGAGTTACAGGCGTTGCACACCTACCCGGTGGGCAGCGCATCATCACATGCTCATTCGACAGCTCACTTCGACTATGGGACCTAGAGAGCCGTGCACAGATAGGTGGCGAGTGGCGGGATGAAGGAGATGAGGCAGCAATAAGGACCATGGCATTATCTCCGAATGGCAAGACTATTGCCAGCGGAAGCGAGGATGGGACAGTGAGGTTGTGGGATGTTGAGACGGGGATGGTTGTTGTCAAATGGACTCAAGGACACACTGCTTTTGTGGATTCAATGTGCTGGAGTTCAAATGGTGAGCGAATTGTGAGCGGATCATACGACGGGACGGCAAGAGTGTGGGATGTGAAAAGCAGCAAACCAGTCGAAGGTCTGAATCCAATCAAGACGGGACACGAACATGTGTACGCGGTGAGCTACTCACCCGAGGCATCAATGATTGCCACAGGAGGATATAACGAAAATGGTTTCAAAATCTGGGACGCGAATACGGGCGAGCTGTTGCCCACGATCAAACTCGATCAATCAGTTTGGGGCTTAATCTGGACATCGGATGAAAAGAAGCTTATTGCCGGATTACTAGGGGACGAATACTCGATTAGGATATTCGACACTGCCACATGGGCCCAAATCGCTGTTCTGGAGGGTCACACACGTGTTATCTACTCCATCACTTTATTTCCCAATGACCGCCTCCTTGCGAGTACATCTTGGGACGGAACAGCGCGTCTCTGGAATCTTGACACAAACCTCCAAATCGGGCCACCTCTTCAACACAAAGATGACGTCACTTGTGCGGCCTTTTCCGCTGATGGAAAGTTGCTATCCACTGCAGGTTGGCAGAATGAAATTGCGTATGTATGGGACATTCAAGCCATCCTCAAAAAAGCTGGCCTAGAAGATCTCTTGTCCATACCTGAGGTAAGTGCCAACTTGACTCCCACTCGCAATCTCATTCCCAATGGGCTATCAGGCACAAAAATCTGAACTCAAAGACAAGGTATGTAGAGTCATCTTGGACTTTTCAAGAATGAAACACGCTAATGTCCCACACGCACAAGCTATCAGGTGTACGCTGTGTTTTTTCTGACCTTGATATTAATCCTGATATCGGCATTCCAGGCTAATACTACGCGACATCCGCCCATCCGTCCAGCCCCACGTCAAGTGCCACCAGGCTTTTTCGATAACGTGCAAGATAGTGGTCCTGTGCGTTGCTACCATTTACCTGCATTACCTGCTCTGATTTTCATATTTTCAGTCCTCCACTACTCGCCGTGTCCATCCTGATCCCTGTCTACATCGCCCACGTCGTGCGTTTGCACTATCCTGGGGATCACGTCCACATGCGCTCCTCGCTCGCCTTCCCTCGCTCTTCCACCGTTCCCCACCCAATGCCGATGAACCAGTCGAACCTCAGCAACGTCCACTGGGACCTGGTACCTCCTCTCGTCGCAGTCCTCCTGTCGTCGACGTTCCAGTACTAGATGACAAGAAGGTATGTCGTTTGGGGGATGTGTTATCAATAGCTGGTTTCTCAAGTTTTATCTGCAGGCACTGTATGTTGCTCGGCGGCCGGAACGAGCTAGCGACAAAGCAAAACGCGTCGACAGCTCGAAATGGTGGGCTCGTGTTGTGCTGTTCCTCTGCTGTGTGTCTCCGCCCAACGACGACAGTCACTGACGGTGTTAGAACATGGACGATTAGATATCCTAATAGGTTTGCCTAAACCTTTCAAATATACTTCAAAATACTATATGTTAAATAAATACCACGACGGATCCTCCACCGAATTTCTCCTTCCTGTGGACCGCTCAGCAAGCATTTCCCTACACAGTACTGCTAGTTGTTACACGCTCCTGGAAGACAATCGAAGCCATGCTAGTTTCTGCGTTGGAGTCGGCCACAAGTTTTGCATAATATTCTCGAATACTAAGGATGAGGCGTGGTCCCAGCACAAACATCTGCACTCTCCATAAAATTTGAAGAGAACCAATGAGTGTCTGAGCTCCAATAGAATTTGAATTCTACATAAATGATTAGCAGTGTTTACACGCAGATGTCAGCGACAGGTCAGCGCACCTTGAGCTCTGGAAAGAAATCAGCAAGCTGGAGGCAAGAGACACAAACAAAGCTAACACGTGCAGAACTTTAGCAGAAAAAGATAATGACATTCATGTTACAAGCTCACCTTGCAAAATAAAGCACGTGATATTTTATCAGCACTCTGAAACAGTCCCCGATGGTCGATCCTGTCAATGGGCCGAGTCGTCGCAGTTCACGAAAGTGTTTTACAGCAATCCAGACTGAAAGACATAGTGCGAGGACCTCCCAAACAGTGTTGAGCATCCAAACCATTGCAACCAGAAGCTGGTCGTCCCCTTCAAATCTATCATAGCACATATACGTGTCAGAGAATATCACCTCCTCTGATTTTGTCCAATGAGCCGTGTTCTTCATGTCAACAAATAAAGCTTACCTGCTACAGTATCCTTGAGCACGATTGCTGTGATTACTCCGCAGGTAATGTTAACAGCCAGAAAGACAATAACAAGGAAGATGAGCATCATGCTAGATCGCTGATACATGGCATGCAACCGAGAAATCATGATGACTGCAGCATGTTTCAATCGAGTCAATATTACTGAGGTATGCAGCTAGGTAACTCGCCGTCCAACATGGCAGTTATGACCACATTTGTCACATTCTTTGCATAGCTCATGATATTGCCTGAAACACCCAATTAGTTATCATCCTCATCTAGTATCAAACACTCCGACTCACACCTATGGAGTGATTATGTTGAGCCAAGTTAAATGATCAGAATCTCACTCACCCCTACAAATGAATATCAGATATTCATTGGATAGGAGTAAGATAGTTGTACAACACTCACCGTATCTGTCAGCGAGACAAATGGTATATTTTCTGCCAATGTGTGCCGCGGGTCAGACGAATAGGACACAGCACATATGAAACATACCCAGCATAAACAAACTGATCGTGAGAGATAGTCGATGAGTTATTAGTATAGTGTTTTGTTAGCCTCTCGACACATACACAAAATATGGTATTCCCATATAACGTGTCTAAAACATTTTGGAGTTAGTATAACCTGCCAACCACGTTATAACATAACATGAGGCACGAACAACTAAATATAGCACAGTCATGAGAGACCAGTGCTGCTTCTGTCGAGAATTCATTGTATTCTCCTGTTTTTCTTCTGATACAGAACTCTGTCACTCACCCAGATCAGTTCGATCTATGACACCATTTTTAGCGAGTTGACTGCTGAGGTGATAGCACCAACCTACCTCTTGTCCGAGTGTTAGCACTGGAAATAACATGAGGGTATCAGCGGTTTTCAAACACTGTCCGGCTTACTCCAATCGTATACTACCACGACGCCGGCGGCAACTGCAAAACCGCAAGTCAATGTTAGATCTAGGCATCTTGATGCGACGAACCTATCCAATCGCTGGAAAAAACATTCGACAACCAACTGGTATCATTCGAGACTATGGTCATATCAAAGGGATAGGTTGTGAGCGAATGGAGGGTGTTGGGGTTTGTAACGATCTAGTGTTCGTGTTAGATATACCACTGTTCAGCCTCGCTCGGCTCTCATAATATCGCCACAATTGGCATAGTGATTGCATGATGGTGATAAATAGCTGGCTGTACCTGTGGTATGCATCAAAAAAACCTTCCCCACCTAGTTAGAGCTAATTTATACACCGGGCATTGTGAAAATGCTGTGTTAATGCTGCAGTAACCGCTGCTGCGGACCTAATCAGTATCACCTCATACTAGGATCAAATACTCCTGCGTAGTCATTATTTTGAGTCAAGTTCGATATTGCACTTACCCCTACAACTGAGTGTATGCATTTGGATGGGAAAGCGATGCATAATACTCACCGCATCTGTCAGCGAAACAGATGGTGCAAATGCTGTGTTCTGCTGGTCAGAAGAATGGAACACAGCCCATATGAAATATACCCGGCATATACACACTGATTGTGAGAGATGAGCTATTGGCACAGCGTCAATTTGGTCACCTCCACACATACGCAGAATATGGTATTCCAATATAGCGTATTTAGAATATCGGGGCGTTAGCACAACTTGCCAACCACGCTATAGCACAACATGAGGCACGCACAGCCAAATACAGCACAGTTATGAGAGACCAATGACTTCTGTCGCGAATTCATTGTTTTTCTCCTGATATAGGACTGTCACTCACCCAGAGTCAATCTATGACATCATTCTCAGAGAGTTGGCTGCTGCGGCGATAACACCGACCTACCTCTTGTCCGAGTGTTTGTACTGTAAATATTATGAAAATACCAGCGGTTCCGAACACTGCTCTACTCACCCCAGTCGTATACCACCACGACGCCGACAGCAACCGCAACTGCAACCATAAGTCAATTGAGACATCTCAGTGATGCAAAGAATCTATCCGATAGCGATAAAAAATATTCGAACTAACTTTCGGCCACCAACTGGGCCCGTCATATTCGATGGATGGATGGATGAGAGTGAGCCTGGCAAGAGCCTGGGGAATGTTGGGGTAACGATCTAGTGTTCGTGTTATTCAACGCTCGGCGCTTGTACTATCACCGAAATCAGCATCATGATGATGACGACGTGATGGATAGTTTGTTGTGCTTGTGGTTCAAACGTTCATATCCTCCTCTGTAGTTAGAGTTAATTTATATGTAAACACAACAAATTTGAAAACGTTGGATGACATTGACGGAGTGAGCTGCGAGTAGTTGGTTTAACTCCGCTTGAATTTGCATGCCATGCCGTATCTTCGTGCTCGCTCCAACAGGTTAACGACGATGTACAGCGTTCAGCCGTGGCTGGCGCCATGCGTACCTTCCTACATCAGTTCAAATTCACTTAACCCATCGTGTCTTCGGAGATAATTGGGTCTGCAATCTAATATTGTACATCGAATGCCATACAGCTATATTACAAGCAAACAAGAACATCAGGTCTCTGTATCACTGGCAGTAACATTAAACCAACGAGCCTTCCGCCCAATTCACATGTGAAGCACCTTCGCCGGACGTGTCAGAATTCGGGTCAGTTTCCGCCATAACGGAAGATTATCCAATCGCTGTGCTTTCATGACCACTTTGATGTGATGGACGGACAAATGCTCTCCACTGTAAAATAGTCATTAGCGTATGCCCGATAACATATAGCATTGGGCTTACTTTGAGGCAGCTAGTGCTCGCGCGGACCGCACGATATTGTCAATCATCTTCCCTAAAAACGTCGTCAGACATCGCGTCGGTGGCAGAGACGAAGCTTACCATCTAACTGATGCCGTGAAAGTTTCTCGACATCACGAAGAAGTAATGAATGATCCATCTCCTTCTGATCCACGAAGGAGGAGCCGATAAGCGTGCGCTCACTATTCCATATAATTGCAGCGGGATCATTCAAGCCGAAGTGGCCAAGCCAAAGACGACGTCGGGCTGCAGTGTTCAGTTCAGGTAATTCAACGACTTCAATGGCGAACATTCAGAAGCAGAAGCAGGTCAGACAATCGGATTACGCACCAGCAGAAAACTGCGTCAGGAGTTCTTCGTCGCAGGCACCTGATACCCAGAAGGAGATACAATCATCCGACTCAAATTGACGGAGAACAGTCCTGACGCGATCCTGACGAGAAATCAAGGCTCAAGTAGTGAGAGTCCAACAACCAAAACATACCCTATGGCCTTGATCTTTCGACTCCAGGAAACGCTGGATGACGTGATAAATCACACAGGGCAAGGTGTCAAAGGGTGTACGTACATCGGCGTCTTTCACCACAATCACCGCATTCCAGGTGGCTGCAAACTAAACGATAACAAGGTCTTGTCAAAGAATCATCGAAAGTTGTGAGTTGTACGAACCGATACACGCAGAGAAATATCTAGTACCAGATTCATAAGGTCGTACAAGAAGTCATGAGAAGTGATATTGATAGTAAGCAGAGGTCTTTTGAGGAGATTGCAGACAGCATGAACAGTTGTCATTCTGCCCGTTCCTGGTGGTCCCTTAAGAAGTATTGTCTATGAAATTTTGAGTGAGAGACAAAAAACGACGGCAATTCAAAACACACCTGTCCTTTGTTGAACTGCGCTGGCTTTAGACCGCCTACAGAACAGCCAGCATTATCCACTAGTGCTCTTATAAGATCCTGCAACAGAAGATAAACAAAGCTAAGGAACCAACATGATCGTGCACACCTTGGTGTCTTCGTCCATAATGAGTTTGCTCCATGCCTCTTGATCATACTTGACTGGCTTCAAATCCCATATACTGAATATTCGCCATTGCTGGATATCACAATTTACTTAAGCAGTTAGCGAAATACGTATTATGAATTGCTCACATTCACTTCAAGATCATACCCACCAATCCAGTATGGAAGGCGTGCGATATGCTCCTGCGCATCGTCGGGAAGTGATACACGTCTATGACACTAGGGCCTTAGCGTCAACCCAGAGAACAAGTAGATTACTCACAAATTTGGGTTGTAGCCTTGCAAGGCACGGTAGAATCCAACTGGGTCAACCATCACCCGCCTAGTGCGTGGAGTTGAGTTGCCACTGAAAACCGACCGCATCGGTGTGTCGTCATAATCTGTAAATGAGGAAAGTATGAAAATGTAGTGAGAAGCTGGAAGGATGCGGCACTTACACTCTGCACAACAAACTCTGCTGTAAGAAAGATAAAGCCTTCCGCGCTCTATATTGATAATTCAATATCTTAACGGAAACTCAAAGATTAAGTTCTCACCAGTCACTTTAGCAAGGGCTTCGTCTGTGACGGGTTGAAGAAACAGGGACGAGAAGGCTCGAGTTCCCTAAAATCGGTAAGTGAACAAATGGTAGTTTGGTATTGGAGAGTTATCACAGTACCTGGAATGCAAAAAGATCCAATGACATGGTGCGCTTCTCGAAACGAACGCCATCCCACTCAAGGTGCTCCAACTTGACGAGCAACGCCCTGAACAGGTCTAATCAGAATTTGTCACAGCCATGTTCCGAGAAGTTCCTACTCACTGTCTATCATCACGGAAGCGGGCACTCTTCAAGACTACCAAGATCTTTCGCGCAGAATATCAGTAGTGACGATAAATAAGTGAGGGAAATAGTTCCCACAATAGGTCTTTCGACATCTAAACTATTCTGTAAAAGCCCATCATTAAAGATGTAACGCTCTCCTTCCTCGTAGTAATACTCCAGAAGTTCGAAGGAAATCTCATTGTTAGACAATAGTTCTTCGAGTTGCTTGACCCTGCATGATCATAAACGATAAGGGACAAGCATGATGGACTGAAACACACATACGTCTGCTTGCTTTCCGTTTCCACGACCTCCAACAGTTTTTCTAAATGTGTCACAAGAACATCGACGAACTCAGCGGCCCCTTCGCCTGTCCATAATGATCAGGGTTATTAAGCGCGAAAATCAATGCAAAACTAACATCCAGTAGACGCGTTGAAGCCGAAAACTTCGGCCTTGGTTACTAGGTCTCCTGGAAGTTGTTCTGTGTCCAAGAAGGTGTAGGCATCGTCCAACCTAGACCGAAGTACCTTCATCTTTTGGGACAATCGATGAATAGGATACTCAAGAATCTCGTCGTGATCGATGTCGACAAATACAGTACTGAGAATCAGGAATCAATGTTAGCAGCACCCGCACGATCCATTCCAAGACAACTTACTGAAGAAAAGAATCTAAGATTGGACTGAAGTCGCTAAAAACAAGCGACTTTTTCCCTATAAGCTTGTTCAGTATGCATGCTATGCAATGTATTGTTGATATGTCGACAACTTGCCTCCTTCGTTCATGGAGCGGACATTGAGGTAGAAATAGTCTTCGATTCCTAGAATGCTTATAGGCGAAGGCGACCGAAACCTGTGCCTATCCGGTACCCACAGCTTGCCATACTGATCCCTTGTGCACCGTAACTCATTGAGCAAGCCAGCACCCAACGTAAGCAAAAACAAACTCACCATTTTTGCCACCGACGAACAAAATGGTCCCCTCCTTCCTCAGAATAACTCTGCGAAATATATTGATGTTGGCGATGTTGGTAAACTGGCGAATTTAATGCGGGAATCCAGCCGTCCCATGGACCCTGCGGAGGCTCTGGGATGAAAGGGGAGTCAGGAGTTGGCGGTGGGTGATGTGAGATAATGTGTTCAACTGATGATGGATACGGGGTGACTAAATACGGATACGGTGTGAGCAGTGGCTCAGGTATGTGTTCGTCGTCTGAATCCGACTGAACTGTTGCTTGCTGCCGAAAAAAACCCTCCCAGTCACGGTTAGGTACCCCTTCTGGGAGTGGCACAGTATCACCATCAAGCATAAAGCTTGAGCTCGATGGTGATCTCGATGGCACTGGCACAACTACAGGACACATGCTTGGTGGGTCTAATTAGGGTGGGACTCATGATCAAAGGGAACGCCAGCTCTATATGAAGGTGTCTGCAGCGCCCATTAGATATGATAAGAGGATCTCCAAGTTGTGGCTTCCATAGCATAGGTAAGATGCTGTGTGTTACAAGACTATTACTGTCCATTTATGGACGGTACAGGGAATAAATATCAGGTGCACTGTCCAAAGCTGTCGTACGCACGTTCTGGACTTGGGCACATAGTGGTAGCCAAGAGAAAACTGCTGAATGTAGCTGTGGGAAAAGACAACAATAAGATCTCTAAGTTCAGGGGTTTAATCTTACTGACAGAGAACGTTCTGTATAGAAGCAGCGGGCGTCTTCCTGACATTTGGACCTGGAGGACGATGGCGGCACAAATACTTCCATAGTCGACTTTGGATTTCACGCAAGGAGCAGTCGCTCGCCAAAGCGCAATCGTTGTTCTTTCGATGGAAGTACAAGTGGGCTGGTCAGCCGCTTGGACGTATTGTGAACGGGGACCTTGAAAATGAATCAGCTCCCACGTCAGACACGGAACTTAAAGACCACCCGTTTTTGCGCTGAAAGTGAGTGTCCAATTATATATATGTATGTATCGATCAGAACAGTATTCTTGTATACACTGCCAAGTGTCACCGCAATACAGTATCTTCACGTACTGCTCAAGGTTTGTGGAATTTGATAGGTGAAATTGTATTTTATCAAGTAAGCGGACAATCGGTGTTATTGTCGAGACCGGATACCAAGCCTGGTGAACACAATTCAGAAGAAAAACAGGAAATGAAGATACACGAATCAACCTCAACCAAAATAATCAGAACATGAATAAGAACCGCCAGTATGCTGCCTAGATGAGGGGCAGCTGATCCCTCATTCGTGATGGTCATCAGTATAGTTAACATATTTATAAGCAAATGTAAAGCATGAGGCGGATCCACCAATGAGGGTTGTCAATGACAATCGCACGATGAGAAGGCTTGTCAGTTTCAGGCATGGAAGTGGCGGTGGTTGTGGGTATCGTGGACATTACAGGCACAGCAGTGGCCACAGGACGCAACGACGATGCTTGAGAGTGATTTTGAGCTTGTTGTTGACTTTTGGCCTGAGTATTTTGTCTTTTGCCCTTTTTGCTACGTGGTGGGGCGACATATAAGGACTACGAGATAGATTAAAATGTAAAAGAGTGGTAACGGAGGTGATCATACCCCTTTATCGCGCACAGCCGCGACTTCTACGACATGGGGTCGACGTAGTGAGACGAAGCCTTGTGTCCGGCGTTGTTGGAGTTGTGTCGTCTCATGTTTGTTGGATCGAAAGCGATGGAAAAGCGAAGAAAGACCAACGAGAAGCGGACGTGAACGTGAGGGGGCAAAAGCACGGCGGGAGCGACTCGCAGAGGGATACTGTGACGATAAAACTCTGAGGCAGAAGCGACTGATGAAAAATGATGACATACATGAGAGTATTCTCGCGTGTCGTCAAAAAATCCTTCTGGAAATTGGGCGTCTTCAAACTGGGTTTCAAGTCACATAGCATCGATCTGACGTTACAATCAGTAAAAACGTTGACAAACATGTCACGTACGTCCAGTAAGTGCTTGTGTAAGAAGGAAGTTAGCATACTCTTTTCCTGAATAACCATGAGACGCATACCTTCTGTTCGAATAATATTGTTAGCCAGGTAGGGTAAGTGTTATGTTTACACTGACATTCGGAAAGGACAGGAGGTCTTCGAGCCCAGTTGCATTTAGGATTGCGGGCACGTACCAGGTGTACACATTTGTGTCCCTACAGCAAGTCACTAGTAGCTTTCCATCGGCGGAAATTGACACACAATCCACCTCACATTCGTGCTGGATTGGTGGATCGACAGGGAGATTCGTGTCGAGATCCCACAAAAGCACCGATCCATCGTTTGACCCACTCACAAGGAGGCGGTTGTTCGAAAACAAAGTGATGTAAACAACGTCTTGGTGCTCCAGAATGGCAAGTTCCTGCCATGTGGCAGTGTCGAAAACCCTAATTGAGTCATCTGACGACCCGGAGATAAGCTTGTCGCTGTCCGATGTCCACAACAAACTCCCGACTGATTGACTATGTGTGACTGCGTGGAGCAGTTCAGCTGTCGTTGCATCCCATATTTTGATCCCATTCTCGAGGAGTCCTCCCGTCGCAATCTTTGTTGAGTCGGGTGAGTAGGCCACCACATACACCCACTTGTGCCCCGTTTTGATTGGACCTAGCACAGTCTCGCCGCTCTCCACATCCCAAATTTTTGCTGTTCCATCCCGGGATCCGCTCACCACCCGCTCACCATCTGGACTCCAGCAAACTGACTTCACATAACCAGTATGTCCGGTCCACTTGTCAATGACCTTCCCCGTCTCGACGAACCATAACCTCACTGTCCCATCACTGCTTCCGCTTGCAACAATTGTACCATTTGGAGACAGTGCAATTGACAGCACTCCTTCTCCATCCTCGTCATCCTCTTTATCTCGCCAGTCATCACCTATTTGAGCGCCGCTCTCCAGGTCCCATAGGCACAGTGAACCATCTTGGGAACATGTGATGATGTGTTGTCCGTTTGGCAAGTGAATGGTCCCTCATACCCAGTCGGTATGTCCTCGCATTGTCTGGTTGGGTGTCAAAGCTGGCATCTCTTCCATCTCAGCAGCAGGGGAAGACATGGTTGACGCTCAAGTTTTGATCGCTGGTGTATTGTGCGTGCGAGAGCAGCTCCCTGGGGTCTTAGAGCAAATGGTCCTGTAGAGGAAAAGTTTCCGCTTATTTTACGGACCTTTCTTCTTTCCTCATCAATTTATCATTAGAGCGCATGAAAAATTTACTCACCAGAAACCCTGATCAATGTATACTGACTCACGAGGGAACGATATGTGCAAGAGTTGCTGACTGCAGTGTTTGTTTGTTTTTTGAGAATCTATAGGAATGTTTGCGTGGATCCCAAATGCTGGTAAACGACTGTTTATATCTTGACTTCAGCTTGGCAGGGGTGCAAAGTGCATCGCTCACTGCAAGTGTTACGAACTAGGATAGTTCTAACAACGACAACTCGACAGAGTTTTCGGTCATTGAGATTCTCAGTCTCTCAGACAAGAGAGAGTTCTGTGGACTTAGTCAAAGGAGTGCTTTGACTAAGAATCGGGTTTCAGGACGACTTAAGATTGGAGGTCTTAAGCGAAGGATGTTCCAGGTAAAACCTAGTAAGATTCAAGTAAAGAATACAAGCGTAATACATGTGCTTAAATAGATCCATATGTGCGCACAGACCAAGTCATCGTGAGATAGTAAGTACAAGTTCAAGAAAGGAAGGCATATCTTAAGAATGTAAAAGTATGAGATAGCGGTTGTAACATTACCCCCTTACTAAGCATGAAGTCACCGACTTTACTCATAATCTTGGTATTCACAATGGTTAGAGTCGTCCTGGTTCGCCCAATAGATAGGGTCGTCGGAATAGTCAAGCTGATCGTCTCCTCCAGTAAGGTACTCCGCCTGTCGGAGGGCTTCTTCTTCCTGGCACTGGCTGATGTAAGCTTCATCTAAACTTTTTTCCCAATGAGAGAGTTCTTGGTAGAATCCTTCGTCCTTCCAAGTAAGTGTAGTGGGGGAGCTTCCAGTGAATTGGTGGCAATACAAGGATAGATGTCCAGGGGAGAGTTCCCTGCATATCCTGCAATAATAATCGGGACAGTTGGTTTGGCGATGGCCAAGGGTTTTACAGTATCTGCAAACACGGTTTTCGTCTGGGTTCAAGGATGAAGGGCGTATGATGGGAGGAGCGGGACGGTGTTACAGTAACATGGCACGAGTCCCCCACCAGCAGATAGCCCTCTGCCGACCGCACAGCTATAGACGACACTGGAGCCTCACCAGCTCTATAGACGATACCGGAGCCTCACTAGCTCTGTGACAACAGATGATGATAGATGACGATAGATGATGATAGAAGATAAGCGGCAACTGCCGGCTTAGATAAGCGGTCTGGACTGCACGTGACGATACATGACGACATAGGTCTAGAAGACCTATTAATGTTATCAAGATAGAAGGCAAGCATCGTGTTGCCTCGAGGACTGATAGAAGATAGAAGGCAAGCCTCGTGCTGCCTCATGTAACGATAGAAGGCAAGCCTCGCGCTGCCTCATGTACTGATAGAAGGGTACCGCATGGACCCTATCTACGATAGAAGCCCGCCTCATGGACGCTATCTCTGACACATGTAGATAAGCAGATTAGAACCCAGCTTTAGGCTGAGCTTAGATACGACAAGTAGCCTTATATAAGGTCGAAGATTACAAGTAGACGTTCCTTACTTTAATCTTACTAGGTTTACCCTTGAACTCCTTGTCCCGCTAAAGCTACCTGCTCGACATCGACTCGTACCTTCAGTGACGCCTCTCACTGTCTGTAAACCCTGCTATCATCTCAGCGTAACCCCTCGTTAACCACCATGAGCTACGTTCGAGTACGCAACCTTTGCTTGTCTGTAAAGGCCGATGACTCTCAGCACTTGGTACCACTGTCGTGGTTGTCGCTGTTTAGATCACCCTAGTCGCACACGACCGTTTGTCGTAACAGACGGTGACTGAATGCTTCATCATCGCTAGAGGCTCTTTTCTTTCCCTTGCCTCGGTATCCATGTTTAGGGGACCTTCTTCTTCTTCGAGAAGATTCTTTAATCTGGGCTACGTCTTCTTTAGCGAGTACGTAGATGGAGGACAATGGCATGGGGATTCGTTCTGCTTCCGCGATTAGCTCAGCGTACTCTGCAGGGGTGGTAGGTCCAAGGGCTTGTACTGGGACAAGGCAGTCTACAAATGTTGGTGGAGTAAGCGTGGATGGGATAGTCATTGGTGGATGGATGTGTAGCGCTCTGAGTGCTTCAGCAAGCGCGATGGTTTCGTCGGGAGGAGAAATCGACTGTTCCATGGTTATCTCATCGTGCGTAGAAGAGAAGGCAGCGTAAAGGTTTTCCAGGTGCTCTACAGTTTCTTCTGGAGCAACGACCGTATCAGACGTGGTTGCGGATGCTATGGAGGCTACTTGTAATGCAAGTTGGGTCTCTTCTTGCAGGTTAACGATCATGGCGTTGGTAATCTCCGTGAGGCTGTTAACAGCAGCCAATAGCTCGTCAGACACACGAGGAGGAGGAATGGGAATTCCACCGTCATAGGAAGGTGGTGGAGTCGCAGTTGTTCGTTCAACTGGTTGTGGAGATGGTGGGCGAGCGACTCCGGTGACTCGTTCAGCAATGATGTGAATAACTTCCTGGATATCTGCCCTAACCTCCTGAGGGATAAGACGCAGAGTGTAAGCACGAATGTGTTTCTGTAAATGCATGATGCCATGTTGAACATGTGGTTCCTCCACATGTCGTACGAGTCTTTCAATGAGTTCGGCGGATCTGATGACGTTAACGAGGAGATTGATGGAGAAGGTGTTTCGGTTGATAAGGATCTTGTTGATTTCAATGGCATGTTGGGGACAAAGGATAGCGGCTTTGATGAGAGTAAGGTCTTCAATTTCTGAGATGAAGGATTCAAATCTTCCTTCGTCTGAGGATAGGTTGATTGGGGCGAACGTGGATTCATAGGGGAGAGTGTAAGAAACTGGGAAGGACATAATGTTTATGTTGATGGGAAGATATCACAGCGAGTGTTTTCTTTTATAGATCGAAAGGGTTTCTTCAGCGTTTTCCAGGTTTTCTTCCGGGATCCACTCGTTGCTAGCAGAGGAATATCCTTTCCATGATACAAGATAACGGCGACGTTTGCTGGTGCCTTTGTGAGCCAGTATAGCTTCTATTTCGTATTCTTCTTCTTCTTCTAGAATGTCAGGTGGTGGTTCCAAGAAGTTTGGACCGTGAACGTCATTTTCGTTATAGGACGATAATAGGGAAGCATGGAACATGGGATGTATTTTCCATTGCGGAGGTAGTTGGAGTGTGAACGTGATCGGAGATAGTACGGCAGAAATGGGGAAGGGGCCATATCTTTTCGGGGCGAGTTTCTGAGATGGAAGTTTTAGACGGAGATTGGTTGCAGATAACCACACCTTATCGCCTACTTTCCATGGTTGGTACTTCTGGCCGAAGGATCTTTCCGCCATCCGTTGCATAGCGATGTTGTGACAGGCTATCGCTTCTTCTCTGATCTTTTGAAGAAGTCGAACTCGTTCCTCCACGGCTGGTACAGTTGAGTCTGCCAAGACATGGGGGATTCCTTTAGGCTCATAACCCATCATGATGTAGAAAGGTGAAGCATTTCGGGCGTCATGCTTTCTATGATTGTGAACAAACTCTGCCATGGGAAGGTGTTCTACCCAATTAGTTGGGTCATTGCTGCAATAGATCCGTAGGTATGTTTCTAGTTCTTGATTGAGTCGTTCAGTCTGTCCATCAGTCTGTGGATGATAGGCGGTGGAAGGGGCGATAGAATAATCAAGGAGTCGAGCTAATTCCACGGAGAATTTTGAGAGAAATTGGGGTCCTCGGTCAGAGATTACTTTGTCGTGTAATCCGAAGTGTTTGAATACGTGTTTCAGGAATAGTTTGGCTACCCCTTCAGAGGTAATATTTTTATGGCAAGGAGTAATTATCACCCCCTTACTAAGCCCATGGTCTACCACGACCATGATGGAATCAAAACCAGAGGAAATGGGAAGATCCGTGATAAGATCGACAGAGATCTGGGAAAAGGGGCGGGTGGCAAGGGAGGAAATGGGGACGAGAGGTGGCGTAACGGGATGTGTATCGGCCTTCATTTGCTGGCAGGTGGCACATCCTTCAACGTATTTCCGGATGAAGGCTCCCATACCTGGCCACCACACTTCGCGTTTGACCAATTCCTCGGTTTTAAAACGTCCGGGATGACCAGCGGTTGGATGGTCATGGTATCGAGCCAACATAGTTTTGCGATGATCAGGAGCAATATACGCTCGGTTCTTGTAAGACAAGATCCCTGAATCTACTTTCCAATCACTTAAAGCGGATTTCATGGGGGGAAGACAGACACCATTGAGGGCGTCTACGGCAGTGGCGAATAGTGGGTCGTTAAGTGCATCGGAGCTGGCAAGGGTAGCGCAAAGGTCATCATCAATGAGTCGGACAAACATGGAATCGGGAAGTAGGATGGTGTTATCGTTATCGGAGGATCCGGTATCATGGTCTGATCGCCGAGAGAGGGCGTCAGGTACAGCTAATTTAGAACCAGGAACATGATGTAGCTCCAGATCAAAGTCAGTCAGAAGCATCTGCCATTGTGCTTGTCGACGAGATAAGTGTTCGGCTTTCTTAAAGTAGAGCAAGTTCATGTGATCTGTGAAAACTATAATCGGGGAGGGGTGTCCTTCAAGATAATGTCGCCATTCGGTTAGCGCACGAATTATGGCAAGGAGTTCTCGGTCAAAAATTGGATAATTTCGTTTGGCTGGATTGAATGATTGCGATAGATAGGCGCAGGGGTGATAGACACCGTTTTCGTCAGTTTGTAATAGAACTCCTCCTGTTGCCACTAAAGAAGCGTCTGTGGCAATAGCGAATTGTTTTAAGGGGTCTGGGTTGCGGAGTACAGGATGGGTGGTAAAACGGGTTTTCAACTGGTCGAACATTTCCTGATGTTGAGCGTTCCAAGAGAAAATGGTATCCTTCTTGATCAGATCGATAAGGGGACGAGCGATGTCCGAGTAGTGAGCGACAAATAATCGGTAGAAATTGCAGAATCCTAAAAATGACCGAACTTCTTTAACAGAAGTAGGAACGGGCCATTCTTTGATGCCGTTGGTTTTTGCTTTGTCCATTTCTACGGATCCTGGTTTAATGATCATGCCAAGAAATTCAACTTCTTGAGAGTCGAATGTGCACTTTTCTGGTTTCAGAAATAGCTTTTCCGCTCTAATCTTTGTTAAGATCCGCCTTGTTCGTTCGTGATGTTCTTCAAGTGTCTTTGAAAAGATAAGGATGTCATCCATGTATATTACCAGCCATCCTTCGTTGATTTCCTGACGGAATTCATTATCCATAAATGCTTGAAAGGTGGCAGGTGAGTTGCATAGCCCGAAGAACATTACACTTGGTTCAAATAATCCGTGCTCCGTGGTAAACGCGGCTTTCCATCGATCATCCGGGTGGATACGGATGTTGTTATATCCTGATCTAATATCCATTTTCGTGAAGAAGTTTGCCCCGTGTAGTCATTCGATAAGAGTTGCCGGAAGTGGAAGGGGATAAGAGTTCTTTATCGTTTGATCATTAATGCCTCGATAATCTTGACAGGGACGAAGCTCTCCACTTTTCTTTCCTACAAAAAAGAACCCACTGGCTTGTGGGGATTTTGACGGAGTGATAAAACCTTTTTCCAAATTTTCGTCAATAAATCTCTTTACCACAAGCCTTTCTTTTGGTGAGAGAGGGTATACTTTAGACGTCCTTGGAAGGAACCCAGGTTTTGTTTCTATGCAGTGGTCTATTCCTGGTCGTTCCGGGGGGAGTTGTTTTAGTCCATCTTTGGCAAATACATCCGCATACTCATGGAGATAAGCGGGCACGAGTTCTTCGAAGGGTTTCTTCTGTTTTTCCTTTTCTTCCGTTGCAAACTCTTGTGCCTTGTTGCTAACTTTAAGAGGGGTGATGATCGGAATTTGTTCCGAAAAGGATGTTCCATCCTTTGTGAGAGGAGTGTCGAGCGAAATCTCTTGTATAATTCGAACGAATTCTCCATCAGCACCGTATTCAACCAGGAATTCCCCGTCATCTAGCTTATAGGTAGAGACGTCTTGTACCAGTGGAGCGCACCAAATGTCTTCCTGAGTGTCAAAAAGATTGTCATCCTCTGTTGGTAGCAACAGCAGTACATCTTCGGGGATTTCCTCGATGGAAGCAGAGAATTTGGATGGTTGTTTCTTTAGTTTGGAATTTGTCCACTTTCTTTGTTTGGGGGGGGTGCTAAGTTTTCGAATTCTTTCCGAGATTTCGATAGACTTTGGGGTACAAGGAAGTGAGAGAGTTCGTTCTGTCCAGTTGATAGAGGGATTCATCTTTTGGAGCCACGGAATTCCCAAGAGAATTTGGTCTCGTGTTCCTAAATTGGTAATGTTGAATTTTCCTATCATGGTTCATTCATCAATTTTGATGATAAGGGTGCAGTACCGATTTACTGGTCCGCTGCTGAAATAGCTTCCATCTGCGGTTTGGATATTGAATGGTTTTTTCAGTTTTTTGGTTCTTATCCCGAGCTTTTTCACAAAGCTTTCGGAGATATAGGTTCCAGAAGCGCCAGAATTGATTACCGTGCTTGTTTCGACATTTTCCTGTTTTCGAGATATGAGAGTAATGGGAATGCGAAGTTCTTTTTTATCATTGACAGCTCGTATCAAACGTACAGGTTCTATTGGAGATTCCACTGTCGATATGTTTCTCTGTTTCAAAAATCCTCTTGAATGCGCCTAGTTTCTTCTTCCTCTTCTTCCACTTTGTGGACAAAGGGAGGTCCCTTTTTCTTCTGCGGACATTCCTGAGCACGGTGTCCGATCTGGTGGCAAGTGAAGCACTTTCCGACACGCATGTGTTCTTGGCGACTTTCATCCGTGAGTCGATCAATCACCATAGCATCGCGATCCCTTGTGGGTACAAATCTTTGATCCCCAAATCTTTTCTTCTTCTGTTGTATAGGGAAGCGGGATCTAATGGATTGTAACTGTGTGTGGCAGTTATCGATGTCGACTACTGCGGCGATGTAGTCATCGAAGTTCTTTGGGACGTTTCCAGCATTGAACATCTTGATAAGGATTCCTATATTGAGTCCTTGCTGGAAGTGAAAGATTTTGGCGGTTTCTTCTTTGACTTTTGCCTGAGCGATTAGCCTCTGATAATCGGCGATATAAGTCTGGAGATCTCCGGTTTGTTTGAGAGCTCCTAGCTTGGTCATTGCTGTTCCGGAAGGATCGATTGCGGAGAATGCTTTATTGAAAGCTTCTAAGAAATCTTTCATGGTACCATATCCTTTCTTTTGTCCGGAGGAGTCAATGAATTGAGTGTCTTCCAGAAATTCTTCTTTCCATAATCTGGCATTTCCTTCGTTCATAAACGACGTGATGAAAATGATGCGATGTTTGTCTTCTTTGTAGAGTTTATCGTTGATATCCATGTAAGCGTTACAGGATAGGAGGAATGATCTAGACAGATCCCTATCTCCATTGAATATGGGAGGGTGGTTTATCTTGTATTCGAATTCTTTGCCGCTGCTAGTGTTTGATGTCGACATATTGAGCGGGGGTACTGAAGTACCAAGGTTCAAGGCCTGTAGTCTTGGGGTGAGTGATGTCAGGTCTGCTGTCCGTGCTGGCTGTTTTGCTCAGCAGTTCTTCTTGTTTTCGGTTTGTCTTCTTTGTTCTGTTGGTATCGGACACACACAGATGTGTGGTGTCTTTTCGACTTGAATCTTTTGTTACGAACTAGGATAGTTCTAACAACGACAACTCAACAGAGTTTTCGGTCATTGAGATTCTCAGTCTCTCAGACAAGAGAGAGTTCTGTGGACTTAGTCAAAGGAGTGCTTTGACTAAGAATCGGGTTTCAGGACGACTTAAGATTGGAGGTCTTAAGCGAGGGATGTTCCAGGTAAAACCTAGTAAGATTCAAGTAAAGAATACAAGTGTAATACATGTGCTTAAATAGATCCATATGTGCGCACAGACCAAGTCATCGTGAGATAGTAAGTACAAGTTCAAGAAAGGAAGGCATATCTTAAGAATGTAAAAGTATGAGATAGCGGTTGTAACAGCAAGTACCTTCCAGAAGAATGTCAATTTGACACAACTTTAGATGCATGGTATGCTCTCCATTCATAAGTTTCGAGAGTGCTTGACTGACTGTGAGTTGAGACAGTAGATGAGATATTCTGCATGATGTCTAGCTCGGTTCATTTTCGTTGAACTCATGCATGTTCCTTGCTTTCCAGGTAAATCATGCTGTGTAGATGAGCGCTCAGGCCCAGGCCCGGTACAGCGTTTGATACTGGTTGACAGTGATTGTTCTACAATGACACAAACGTGTATGGGGCATGCACTCCCTCCTCGGACAAGTTAATGCCAAAAGTCTCTCATCAATTTCTTGTGAGACTTTCGAGCATGCATTCTACAAATGTCTCACTCTTACGAAAGGGTGATATGCAGATGAAGCGCTCAGGTTCTGCAACTGGCGCTATGCACACGCTTTCCCATTGTTTGAAACCTTGATATGATGATCATGAAAAAATGTAGCAGATGCTTGTCAGTCATCCCTGGCATGAATGGGGAATAATAGTTAAATTTATGTAGCCAACGGGAGTCCATAAGTTTTGGTGAACCGCACAGAAAGGCTCATTGATAGCTGTCTGGTATTTCAAACAGAATGTTAATTGGGATGTGCGAGCCCTCGTTCCGGATAAACCAGCAACGAATAGTGTAGTTACCCCACTGGGAAGAGTGTCGATGATGAAACATTTCTTGTCTAACAAAGCATGTACACATCTAATGTACCCCTATAAATATTCAGCGACTGAGGCTTAGGTCCGGATGTCAGAGTCAAACGGGTGACTGAATTCGACATCATTTTTTTTGACAAGCGAGTCTATTATACAGCAACTGACACTGTCTAGCTCTATATAAATGCTTATATATAGCAGGCGCTGGTCTCGGCGCCACTATTGTCTATTGGGGTATTGTGCAGATGCACAGCAGATAAAAAGTACGAGACGTGCCCACCATGGAGGTTTGTCAATGACGACAACAGGACTTGACTGCGCCGCCGCGCTTGCTGCACCTGTCGTGGTGGTAGTAGGATCAGGAGGTGTTGTGGACGCCGAGCCAGCAGCAGGTGGAGTTTGTGGTATCGACGCCTGTGCTTGACTTTGCGAATAGCCATGCCGTGGCCTCCCTGGGTCGTTAACTCGTGGCCGTGGAGCAACATACAATGCCTGCATATAAATCATTCGATGATTGGAAACATAACTGAGAAATATGTACCTGTTTGTCACGTATTGTAGCAATCTCGACAGCATGAGGACCGCGACGAGAAAAGATACTTCGCCTTGGAGGTCGTTGAAGTACCGTTGTTTTATCAGTGTTGAGTTGAGAGCGACGGAGGAGCGAGGAGATGCGAGAGAAAAGCACACGTGAACGTGAACCAGATGGTCTGAAAGGACCGCGGTGATGGTGTGCAGAGGAATTGTGATAACCTGGCGCGGAAGACTGAGCGCGTATCAATCAGACTTAAGAATGGGCTAGTTGAGATGACGACGACGCACATAATCACCGTCTGGAGTGTCGTCAAAAAACCTCCCCTGATACTCCTGCTCGAGCTCAGCTGGATGTCCCGTAGCGTCCACCTAAACTGTCAAGGTTATAATCATTGAAAAAATGACAACACGGCACGCACATCTAAGAACGACTAGTACGAGTGAAATATTAGTATTCCGGAGTCGGAACCATGACTCGATGATACACACCTTCTAGAGCTCATCGTTAGTAAGATTGAGTGAGTGGTAAATTTTCACTCACATCTGGAATGGTCACGAGGTCTTCTGAACCAGCTTCTTTTACGATGGCATGAGTGTCCCAGACGGACACATGTGTGCCAGCGCCTGCGACTAGCTTTCCATCATCCGAGAAGGTTAAGCAGTCTGGAAAATTATCTTGCAGGAGAGGTGGACCAACTTGTAGGTTGGTATCGAGATTCCACAAGCGTACGTCTGACGATGCTGCACTCGCTAGAAGACGGTCGTTGCGAAACAAAGCGACCTTACGGACATGGGCCCGACCCAAATTGATGATGGCAATCTCCTGCCATGTGGCTGTGGCGGTGTCGAATACCCTGATCCAGCCACATTGGAATCCGCAAATAAGCTTCTTTCCATCCGACGACCAAACCAAGCTGAAAACAGGTTGACCGATACAACCAATATCAGATTCCTCCGAGCCACCGGTGATTATAAAAGAACCCTCTTCCTGGAACTCGACTGTGGAGAGTAGCTCGCCCGCCTTGGCATCCCAAATATTTAATGCGTTCTTCTTTTCTCCTCCCGCCGCAATCCTCGTCCCATCTGGTGAATATGCCACTGTGTATACATCTTTGTATTCCGAATTCATCATTGGATTGAGACCAAGCACGGGTTTTCCGCTCTGGCCATACCACACTCGTACTGTCCCATCGTTGGATCCGCTCGCCACTTGCTCACCATCTGGACTCCAGCATATCGACCGTACTTTGTCAGTGTGACCTGTCCATTCGACGATGACCTTCCCCGTTCCAATGTCCCACAATCTCACTAACCCATTCTTGTACCCACTTGCAAGAGTAATGCCGTTTGGGGACAATGCTAAGCTTGTCACTGGTATCCTATAATCGTCAACTGGCCACCTGTCACCTATCTCTGCGCCATTCTCTAGGTCCCATACTCGGATCGTACCATCGTCTGAACCGGTTATGATGCGCTGTCCGCCAGGGACTCGGAGGTGCACAACATCCTTTACATGACCGTGGAGAACCATTAGCTGGCATGGCAATACTTCAGCACCCCGCATTCCCGGCGATTCAGCATAATGACGCTGAATGTGCGGTCCAGAAATGGAAGTTGATCTGGGACTTTTCATTATTATGCTCTCAACTGATTCAGATCATGGATCGTGTATGCGATGCAAGAAGAGCTCTTGAATGTGGACCAGATTTCTTGCCAGGACAATGATCGTTGGTGAATTGATGAGCCTATATTCTTTTTGGTCAATAGAAGCACGTGATATTGCTAACGATAAAGTCAACTCACAGGTCTTTGGTCTTAGCCGACAGGACGGCTTTGGGGATACAAATCGCTGGGTTAATTCTGTCTGTCGCCAGCGGCTTTATTTTCGCGAAGGGTAAAGTGAGAACATACACGATGTTCCCTTCACACTTGAATGGTGGTTGGAAGGCGAGTGGTTACGGGTTTAGTCGTTGCTCAAGCATCTGGTTTTTCCTATGTAGAAGAAGCGCCTAGATCATCCTCTCACGTTCAAAATTACTTAATGCAGATGAAGTTCCGCTCTTGTAAATGATATACGGACAAGGAAGGTGCTTGTTCAAATCATTTTCGCATTCCCATGCGTTAACATAATCGTTTCATTGGGTAATTTGTTGATGAAGCGCTCAGGCCTCAGGTCCCATAACTGGCGCCATCCGCATGTTCTTGTACTTTGTTTGATACCTTGACTGATGGTCGTGACAAACTTCATGCAACAGATCACTGCATTTTCTTACCGTTTGTCTATTTTCGAAATTTATGACACGTATCTCCAGGGCAATGTGATGGTCTGAAGCAGCCAGTATGCGTATTGTTGTGAGAAGCGTGCCAAGGTGTGTTCTAAAACTTTGAATTGGCCACATGATTCTGTCTCAGCTCTGAAATTCATCCTTGCCCCGAGTCGAGCGCTTCACATTCGTGACATTGAGAATGAACATCTCGTAGACGCATTGCCTACGCATCTCTCTCGTCACACAGGCCGTTGCTGATCTGGTCGCCGCTCTCCCTGTCCCACAGTCGGAGCGAAGCGCCAGCCGCACACCGGCCGGTTGCACAACACTACCTACCTGCATGTTGCGGCCTTTTGCACCCCTATGACTTCACTGTGCAGATAAGCGCTTGCCCACGCACTGGTGCTATGTTTATTCATGACAAATACCAGTACCAGGTTTATCAAGGTACTTTCTTCACACTTCCACCCTCGGTAATCCGACGGTTTCATCTCTCCGACATTCTAGTGCAGTCAGCGCATTGGTCCATGTGACGTATATCGTTGACAGGGTAGAGGAACGCTTCCAATTGACGACAAGTGAGGAATCAATTAAAAGCTCTGCGTTTTCATCTACACTGCTGAAAACGCAGAGCTTGTGACTGATCCGGAATGCATGTCCCCGTCCGGCAAGGGCGTGATATCCGGGGTTCCGTTAGCCTCAGAAGCTACTTATACCGCAGCTTACTGCTGCAAACGCAGAGCTTGTAACTGATCCGAAATGCATGTCCCCGTCCGGCAAGGGCATGATATCCGGGGTTCCGTTAGCCTCAGAAGCAACTTGTACCGCAGCTTACTGCTGAAAACGCAGAGCTTGTAACTGATCCGGAATGCATGTCCCCGTCCGGCAAGGGCATGACATCTGGGGTTCCATTAGCCTCAGAAGCTACTTGTACCGCAGCATATTGCTAGGAGCCCACGGACTTGTATGAATACCCACTACTCGGTGGTCTGTCCACAGCGCCGGGTCGTCGGTAACCTATTTCTCACTTCTACGCCGAGTTAGATGATACGAGAAACAATATGCACAGGGTGCGGCTGACCACTCCTCGGCCAGAAATGTCAGCCTCGTTGATGCCAATGCCTGTCAGCCTCTCGGCTGGGAACATAAAATTCGGACAGCCTAGACCTTTCTACCCACCCCAATCTTGTCTTCAACGGTCACCTACGAGCTCCACTATTATAATCTTTCACCCTCGTTTTCATCAAACCATGCGTGCATTCATTCTCGCCACTGCCCTCGCCACGGCCACCATCCACACCGTCCATGCCATGCCTAACTCCAACCTCGCGGTACGCAGTGCCTTCCCAGATGCCGCAGGCATCCCCCACATATCACATCCTTCCCATCAACACAACAAACTATACCAAGGAAAGAAGGTTGGCGAGGGTGAACAACGGATGGTTCTTAATCATGCTGCACCAGGGTCCGATCATCTAGCCGAGTCGCATGAAAAACAAAGGTCATCGATCGTTAGAAGGGAGAAGAAGAGCGGACGAGGAATGTTCATGGAACGGACGATCAAGAATGCAGACTACGGTTCCGGAAGTGCCCCTGCAGGGGAAGCTGTGGCACACTCCCAACCTGACCCTGCTCCCAGCCCGACCAACACGCCCGCAGCCGCTCCCGGTCCTGCAAGAATTTCTGATGACACAGGACCTCCTCAAGCTGCCCACGCCTGACACGTTTCGAAGAATGTTTCAGTGGAGCGGTCAGAAGCTTCAAGCACAGGAGGGGAGTTCGGAGAATCTGGTGAAATGTGTCATTGGGCTGTATCATCGAATATCACTGCATTGTCTAGCCGGATAATATATTGAATGACCAAATCTATTGTGTCTGCCACTTGCCATCCGCCACGAGTATGACTACTGCCACGAGTGCTAGTGAATGAACTTCAATGAACGCAGCTTCAAGTTGAAAACCGATGACATGTACAGCCACATCGTATTATTCAGCAAGGTTTGGGTGTTCATATGAAACTTGAGTTCATCAGCCTCTGCCGCAGCGGTTGCTTCACACCACTATCTCTTGCCACAATGAGTTCAAGCCAGTACCCAGTTCCACCACCATCGTACTTACCGTCGGGCTCGTCTAAGAAGCCTACCTCTGTTCCTGACGACAATGTGCATTCGCCGTTGCTCGGTCGCTCCAGGTCCCCGGGGGGTGGGATCTATGATCAGCCCCAACCAGGCGACCTTCCTGACGACTTCAAGGTATCTCTCCGAAAAACTATGTGTTGTGTGGCTCCTCTGACACTCCTTCTGCCAGTACGGCGTTACCGTCTCAGAAAGCTCTCCGGAAGTTCGAAGCGCATTTGTTCGCAAGGTTTACACTATTCTGTGTACGTGCACGTGTCTCTTCCGCTGTAGATTTTGCTCATCAAGCTACCTACTGCAGTCTGTCAGATTGTACGGGGTGCTTTGCATTGGTTTCCGAGCATATACTCACGTTCATCTCCAGCTCGCCACTTGTGTTGTCGCCGGCGGAATCTCCCAGTCATTTGAGGCTATAACTTGGGTCACAACACAGTGTGTCTCCATGCTTTAAAATGACACTGCTGGGTTACTTATTATGCTTCTCAGCACCTGGTCATTCTATGTCCCCCTTTTTGGTACCCTAATCAACCTTGGATTGCTGTACTGGAAGCGTCATAGCCATCCCCTTAACCTGGTACTGCTGTCCACCTTCACGGTAATGGAAGCATTCACACTTGGCGTCGTAACTGCGTTTTTTGATAACATCATTGTTCTGCAAGCACTGTATGCTCCGATCGATCTCTTTGTTCTACTCAAGGCTGAGTAATTTGTCAGACTGATCACGCTCGGTGTATTCTTTGGTTTGACTCTGTTCACTTTCCAGTCGAAGGTATGCTCAAACTGATCTAATGCTACTCGATTCTGATGATCTGTTCAGTATGACTTCTCTGGTCTCGGCCCCTGGCTCTTTGGCGGTGTAGTCGCCTTGGGTATGCGTCACACTTCATATCTAGACTTGAAATTAACATTTTTCCGCAGTCGTGACCGGTATGGTCGGTATCTTTATCCCCTTCGGCACCACGATGGACATCATATTTGCAATTGGCGGATGCCTTATCTTCAGCGGCTACATCGTGTACGACACGTATAACATTAACAAGCGCCTCTCACCCGATGAGTTCATCATGGGCTCCATCAGTTTGTACCTTGAGTAAGTGCTTTGACGTAGACACCTTTCTTAGCTGACGAAACGCTCGCTTTCTAGCTTTATCAACCTTTGTACGTCATCTTTCCGGGCCTGCGTGAGATTTGTGTTTACTGATAATTGCTTTCACAGTCCTCTATATCCTCCGTCTCCTGAATGACCTTCAGGACCGGTAGGACTGCCCTACTTCCAAAGACAGGATGGTCTAATTTAAGTCCTAGCTAGTGGGTTATAGGGTTATGGGCCAATATCTCTTACCGGATTGACGTTTCTATGTAGTATTCCCTATGTGACTGAACGACAGAATGTAATATGAATTCGGTTCGTGCGTGTTTAGGCTGACAACGGGGTATCTGAGTATTGTGTGTTTGCAACCCTCTTACGAACATTTCGTGGCAATGACGACACAAGTGGAAATTTGAAAGGTTTCCATAGCCCGGATCCTATAAACAGAGTCCAAAACAAATCGTGGCAGGGCTGCAACAACTGCGCACGTCAAAAAGCCCTAGGTAACAGCAGAAGATTACAAAAGGGTCGATGCCTGTCGAGGTGCTCGTAATTTTGAAGCAGCGACACGAAACCGTTGTCAATATGTAACATCAAATCGTACGATGACTGCAGGAAAGGGCCGAACTTTGTCGGCAGGGACAGTTCATCGTGTGGTTATGTCTATTGTTTTTTGCACTTCCAGCAGCCGAATGACAACTTTAATCGTCCAGATAGAATTACAAGCGTGAATGACATCGTAAAAACATCGTAAAAATATGGTAATACATGATTTCACCCCAGACCCATGGTCTAGGTCATACGCACAGCCCTCAGGATTGTGCTTTCATCAACTGTGATACCTTTTCCTTCGCGTGGCGAGGAATAAATGTGCATGGGAATACAGGGTGTCTGCATTGGCTGGCTCAGATAAACTGCGAGGGACATCGAGGATGACTCACGTCGTTATGCCTCCACTCCATTCCACTCCTTCAGCATCAGGCCCGACATTCCATCCTGGTACCCGTTCCACCCGGAAAACAGCTAGAATATTCACAATTGAAGCGAATAAGGAAGCATCCGCAACATATCGTCCAACACTGCCAAAAGGTTAGGCAAACCGTCTATCCGCAAAACTTGAAACTTCGTACCAAACACGCCTTCCGAATCCAAAAGCAAAGGAAATGTCATCACGGCGATTCGTTGACGACTCTTCGGAGGCTGCTTTTGACATGTGACGCTCGGGTATGAACCTCGTCGGGTTAGGATATTTCTCTGGATTGCGCGCCATAGACCTGCATAAGAGGAAATAATTATGGTTTGATCTTTGTTCACTTGATACTTATGATGAATCACCATGTGTTAGCCATTACGGTGGCCCCTTGACAAATAATTTTAGAACGGAGATAGGGCTTTCAGTCCGTAAACTAACCTTTTGGAATATAGTAGCCTTCGTAGACGTCGTCATTTGACGTGGCATGGGCAATTCCTAAATCCAGACAGTCAATGACCATGCTAACCAACGAGACAACGGTACTGACCCAGAGGAACAACAGGGAACCACCTCAGCGTCTCCTGTATAACGGCATTGATGTAGGGCATAGAAGCGCGGTCATCCCAGTCGGGTAATCTTTCGAGGGTTTCCCCAATGACGGAATCAATCTCGGCTTGCGCACGTGCTTGTACGTCAGGATATAGAACCATCGCGAGCAGGAAGACGTATAGAGTGGAGGTTGTCTGTGCCTTTTGTCAGTAGATAGCTAAAATAGAAATCACGTCTAAGCATACAGTTTCTGAGGCGGCTAGAAGCACGAAGATAAAGATACGTCAAAAACATACGTGATCAAGGCAAATGGGTCACAAACCAGCATAACCAGATGCACTGGCTTCCTTAATCGCTTTCTCGAGAATAGCGACCTCTTCTTCATCTTTTGCTTGATCTGGTATACGATTCAATGCATCCGACACCATGGACGATGCAGCCGTCCCCGCAGCCTGAAAATCATCAGCCTCGTCTGAGTATCAAAAAGCACTAGGCACTTGCCATGTTCTTCTTCACATCTTCAAAGGGCGTCTCCACAATCAGGGGAACAAGGGATCTCTGAAGTATAGCACCCCTTACAAAGCTCGCTCCAGGGAGCCAGGAAGGAAGTTTTTCCACTGTAAATGCATTAGAATAGAGCTATAGCTAAGCGAAGTCTAGGCCACAGAACAATACGTACATATCGGGAACTCTCCTACAACAGCGGCGACCTCAGGCCTGAGTTCTCTTACAGATATCTCAAGCGAACGCTCAACGAGCGCAATAAAAGGATCATCGAGGGCTGCTGTAGAATAATCATACGTGATCGACATGATGACAGACGTGCTGAAGCTAGTAGGAAGTACGGTTTAGCCGCATGATACGTGAAAGGAGAGATTACTAACGTGTGGAAATGGGTTCCATAGACCTCCGGATAGGCCAGTAAGTTTAATATCAGATTGTGTGCGTTGCGCATTTGGATCGGACGGAAGGATGGCGCTGCTTCTAAACGGAATGCCTGATGGAAGATTCGCCTGTCTGTAAACACACGATAAGCGCTATAGGATATCTGGAAGGGATATACTAACGAAGTCTCCATCTGTCCGAGTAAGGTAGGAAAATAGAGGAGAACTCGACACCAAAACTAAGACTGGATGAACAATAAGCACATAAACCAATAGAAGGGACTCACAAGTCAAGAACGCGCATGAGCCCTGGAGGTCTCGTGGAATAATTATGTGAACGACGGTCGAGCAAGTCATGCGCAACTCGTTCAGAGTTGATAATTATAATATCCTGACTGAAGAGTCGAGAGTAAACGAGTTCTCCTGTGGCGCAATTCAGCACATCCGCATCCACAGGTCGGTGGTTCTACGCACCATATTCAGTTCCCCATTTTGAGTATGCCAGCCATGGATGATCTGGGTCAACTCCAAGCACATTGCCGACAAAAGGGAGAGGTGGAGGACCTGGGGGTAAAGGAAGCCCTTTAGTGTCTCTCTTCTTTTGCAAGGATCGCACTACCACGAAAGATACGAGCGATAAGAGGGCGAGTGCAAGTGTTGGGGCCATGATTTGAACCTATAGTCAGTAACTGTGGTTGAATAAATACACTCGAACGAGCATATTTGTATTTATTTGAATGTCGAGCGTCATATTCAAATTCATATCATACCCGAAATGAACAGGTAGGTTACTCTTCCGAAGTACATCGGCTCCTAAATGGACACGTGCGTACTTACCTCACTTACAGCAGACCTCCACATCACTCATTACATGCCAAGCGTCGCTAAACCTGTCTTAAACGGGTCTCTTTACGGCGTGTAGGCTCAGTGGCAATGCTCGTTATCCAGCAGTACTCCTGATTAACCCCTTGTATACCCACCTCTCACTCAATACTTTTTTTGAAAAAAAAAGAACGAAGACTCGGACAAGATTTAAGATAGATAAATGAATGTACTAATCAAGGGTAATAAGCTAGCTCTCTTTGTTAGCTTCAAGGATTAGTTTCGGTAAGATGGACCCGAGTATCACGCGTCATGTGCATGATGGCCCGAAATATGCCCGATGATGATCATAATGAGGGGTTTGTGTGCTAGTTTCAGATTCTATTCACGAGTTATAATTAGGCGTAGAGGTCGAGAGCAGAGGCCATGCACGTGACAGGGACACGCACAGGACGTTGTAGATACGAACATAGCACCACTACGACAGTCATCCTCCTCTCTAGACAGCAAGGCTGGCGGGTACACCAGTGGCTAGAGTAGAGAAAGGTGACGTTCGGCTTTCAATCCCGAAGTGGCATGTGCTAGGGTGGAATGGCTCCTAACCCGATGTCTGAATCACATGAATACTAGCTAGAATTCAGAATCATTGAAAGATCACTCATTCCAAACTCTAACCTGCACTGCAGTCTACCTCCTCACTTCTAGATTAATCCAAGATGGCTTTCAAACGTGGATTCCGTAATCCGGGACATTATCTGAGTCTGGCATAGCACGAACCGACGGAAATCGGTCATAGCTAGCTATTAGCGGCAAGATAAGACACAAACTGACCATTTACCAAGAGAATAATGTACCAAGGGTCCGAGGGCCCGACGAAAAGTCCGCATCCATTTTACACGTGACTCTGCTGTGTCGCCTCGAGGAACTACTTCGAGTGTCTTATCTTGCTGCTACCACTGATTTCCGTGGGTTCGGGATATGTCAGACTCAGAGGGTGTTCCGGATGACGAAATCTACGTTCGAAAGCTATTTTGAATCTAGAAGTGAGGGGGTAGACCGGTCTTCGTCATCCAGAATAGAGCTTGGAACGAGTGATCTTTGACAGAACATTAGCTTGTCGACACAGGAAGTATCTGTGTTTCTGAATCCTATGGAAAGTCATCTACTGGTGATGTGGGTCTGCTTTTGATCCGGATATCCGAGGGAGGTGGTTCTGCTTTGCTTCCGAATATCAGCCAAATAGAAATCTGATTAAAGTAAATATACAATGCTTCTTCTAGCAATTTGCGATCCCCACGGTGCGCCATTAATCAGTTCCCTCCTTCACCTCCTTCTAGCGCTCAATGTTCGCTGATTAAGCTATCGACATGGCCCTAGTGAATCCAGGTGAGAACAATGGAGGATTAGCTCGGATCAAGATATTCAACAACATATAGCGGAAGCTTACCACGCCTTGCTAAAACCAGCGTCCCGCCCGTCACCACTATCTGTTAATCTGTCAACGTAGTCAACAAGGAGCAATCAATTCTCCATGCGCCCATCAGCATATCATACTGAATTCCAGTATGCTTAGCCCACCTGCCAAGCAGACATCAGATAAATGCAACCTTGTCGTCCGGAGCCTACTTCTGAGCTTAACATATGCATCAACAGAAGGGAGAAACACGTTAATGGAAAGTACGCACTCCCACTTGACAGCTATCCAGTAGTTTGACCCGGTGGTGTAACTATATATGTGCCATAGATGAGCAATTTCGATCAAAGAGTAGCGTGATTGATTAGTGCTACATACCCATGAAACCTAAATGCAGTCCTGATTCAGGCTTCAAAGTGCCTTTCCCTCAAACAGGTGTCCCCTTATCAACAATGCACTGGCATGCAGCCCGGCTGGTCATCAAGGCCAAAATGCCAATCGAAGAAGTTGAGACCGTGACTTGGGGCGGCGGCCCTCACTTATGCCAGAAACCTCACGGCCGCTGAGAAATGCACGACTGGTTAGCTGAAAGGCAGCTGGGACAGGTGGGCGACGTGATAAGCTGTCACGAGGTTGCATGATGGTCTGGTCAAAGGACTACTCACCTCATATAAACTCGAGGGTCAAGTTGTAAAGTTGTCTTTCCAGAATCCAGAGGGTAATAGATATCGTTGGCTCATGATTAAGCCTTAACGCGGTGGAGAAAAAATAGTTTACTTTTGAATCAAGGGCCGTTTTACATCCGTTTAGTGGTCTCGCCACTCTAAGACGTCGCCCGAATTTCGTCTCCGTCGAGTTTGATCTCCTACGAATATTGTATTTGGTCTAGATCTGGCCATGTACGTATGTCCACGCTCACCACAATTCGGATCTTTTGATTTTGCAGTGAATTGCGGGTGGTGCCGATGCTGGTGATCAGCGGGTTTCCTCCGAGGATCTCAGAACCCGGGTGTTACCGACAGAACCCAGCGTTGAACTTGCAAAGCTCGGACTAGTCACTAGTCACTAGCTGAAACGTCAACGTTGACATTGAAATATCGAGGGGGTCACTGGCGCCGGTCACTGAGAGAGAGTTCAGAGTCAGGACTCAGTATACAACTCGGTACGTTAACGTTATATATTATTGACTCCTGCTAATGAGCCCGAGCCGCTCGAGCGCGGGTGTGAGCGCTTGAACTCCGGTTTCCGTTACTACTAAATTAATTACCAGGCTGGTATATAACTTCCACCTACATGATCTCCTCTCAAGCTGTCTGACAAACAAGCCATTCCTCAGGCCTCAGAGGCCTCAAGCCTAAACATCGATCTCCTCTCCGTGCCTCGGCTGTTCTATTTCGAGGCAACTGACATTTACTAGACTTCCAACATGGTTTAAATATGTGAGTGCGACGCGAAATATCGTACCTTATAATGATTACTTGAACCTGCAGGATCGTTCATATTGTATATATCCGAGTCATCCTCACGTGTCCCTGCATTTCATATTGTGCCTATGCCACGATTCATTAAGCTCAGGCTGGTGGCGAATAACAACACCCAAAGCAACCGTTTAAAGTGACAAGATGCCAGGAAGCTCGGTTCAACCACAGCAGACGAATTATTTTCAGTGTAAACCTTCTTCCATCCTATGGGCAAGTTGAGCTTCTGGAGTTTCTTTGGCGCGCAGGGACGAGATCTTCCCCTTCCAAGAGAGTCTGTGGACGGGAAGACGGTCGTTATAGCTGGAGCGAATGTCGGATTAGGATTCGAGGCATCGGTTCATGTCGCGAACAAGAAGCCCAGCTTGCTCATTGCAACGTGTAGAGACACAGCGAAGTGCAAGCAAACTTTGGAAAGTAGGTGCAACGTTCTTCAAGTACACTACCAAATAGTCACGCGTGTGCTCTTAGTTCTCCGCGAACGTTGCCCCGGGACTCGACCAGCCAGTTTCGATTCATGGCCGCTAGAACTGTCTTCTTTTGACAATGTCCGCTCCTTTGTTGACAGGTTCGATGCAGAAGGGCCAGAACGCCTAAATATCCTCGTTGCTAACGCGGGCACATTCAAGCCAGTCTATACTCGAACCCAAGATGATTGGGAAATAATGTCTGTGCGGTTTCATGCCACGTGTAATTCCCATTTGCTCACATGAACGAAGGCTACAAGTCAACTATCTCTCATTCGCCCTTTTGGGCATTCTCCTTTTGCCTCATCTGCTCCATTCAGCAACTTGTGATGATCCATCCCGACTGGTCTTGGTGTCAAGTTTGGGACATTATCTTGCGGCACCCGTGTTGACAGGTTCCCGAAATTGGGATCACGTATTAGGGGCTATCAGTGCGGAGAAATTGGGAGCGTCTGGGTTAGTGTTTTTCATTTTATCCACAACCCTTACTGAGTCGATACAGGCCGTCCAGGTACAACCTGTCGAAGAGTATGCCGTCATTTGGTAAAATGACACCAGTGTTGCTAAATACAGATTTACAGTGCTCCAGGTGGCGTTCATGCGCGAAATCGCTGCCCGGCTTCCTTCTCCAACTCCACTGGTCGTCACTGCTGTTGATCCAGGATTTTGCCACTCGTCCTTGCAGCGGGAACTTGAAAAGTACCGTCTCTTACGTATGATTGTTTCATTCGTGAAGTGGCTTCTTCGAGCAAGAACCTCGGAAATGGGCAGTCGTAATATTGTCTATGCAGCTCTAGCAACGGACGCACAGGATCTCCATGGCAAGTATATGTCAAGTTGCGAAGTCGTGGAGGAATGTGATTATCTATTGAGTGCTGAGGGCAAAGTGTTCTCAGAGAGACTTTGGGTAAGTTTCTTAGCTTCAAATTAATCCATGCAAACCCTTGAATTATATTCGCAGTGGGAGACAATCGAAGTTTTATCGAAAGTAGATGATCGCGTGCCTCAGATCGTAAGCACTTACCTGCCGGCCAGTAGCACCTAGGTCATGTCACAAGGAAATCAATGGCAGCTCTTGTCTTATCTGTCGAGTGGCTTGACGGTGCCTTGCAGTGTTTCATATGGAGCCACGCTGCTGATCATCTCACGTGGTGATTAGTAGAAACTGCAAGTCTGCATTCGCGGCACATAAATTATCCGCCGCCTGTTCTAGATTTCGGTGGATTCTGTCACCCAGGATAGAATCGTAACCGCACTCAGATCCAACCGCTGATACCCCTGAGCTAAGTACAAGTCTGGTATTACTGCATTGACGATACTAATGACGTGCAAAAGGATTTCAAATTGGATCGTCGCATCAGAACTGCACATGCTTCGTTCTATTGTTACTGAATGACCCGCTCAGCCGTTTCCACATCTATTTGTGGTTTCGAATGCAAGAGCCAACCATGCGCGAGTTTACTTACGCCCTAGTCGTTGGATCTGACTGCTTCATTTACTCAGTTGGCAATTCAGGTCGGCTTCCACCATTCTCCATACCCGATTGCTTGCTCAATTACACCGGTAAGACCTCGCCCGGAGTCTGGAAGCTGCACATTTTCATTGTTCCCTTTCACGATCTTCGGACCTACGTCTGATTATGCCTTTTATATGTAATCGATAATCAAGAAATGAGTGTGACTCTCGGCATGGCTTTCTCTCCTTCCAGTACGACGTGCCTTGACCGATATGAAACCTGTTACAAGTGGGTTTCAAGCTCTTGTATCAGATTCAAGGCTAATAAAAGCCATACGTGCCTTGCAGATAGCGATCTGGACTAATCGTATTGGCTTGGCTAAGATCCAGAACATCCCAAAAGTTCGTGGCCTCAGGCTGGCAATCATGTTACCGTATTGCATAACATACATAGGCTGCCGCCATTGGTCGAGAGCGAGGCACGAAACAGTGAAACATGTTGGTCCAGCCGCCCAATCACAATAGCCGAGTTGCACAGTCAGTGCGTAAGCATCACATTAGCGCAGACATCGATGACAGTGCCGTGGCGCTCACTGAGTACACGCAACGGAGCGCACAACCAATCCGAGAGGTTGGAGCTCATGGCTAGCTGACTAACAAAGGGGTGAGTATCGCTATCGCTATCTTCTCAGAGTAATGACCCAGTGTGATCTATATAGATCTCGCTTGAGTTTTGGAACCATGCGGCGTGTGGGGAGCAGTGGGGAGCTCCAGATTGGGACCAATCAGCAGAGTGCTATATATAACGATTCAGTTCCTTCTCCGTCATCGGAAGCTACTCCCACCTTCCAACGAACACCAAAACCTTTGTGGAGCTAACGTGCTCCAACGTATCCATGATTCACGTCGTGATCCTCACTCACTCCTCAAAAGTCAAAAGAACACCAGACTGCGGGCGCCGCCGGTGTGATCAGATGTGGATGACTCATCAATAAATGCCTCGGATCGAAACGGGGAATCGTGGTATGTAATGCGCATGGAGTCGCGAGAACGATATGACATTGGATGTTCCTCGGAATCCTTACATAAGGTGCCTTGGTACTTGGAGGTTGGTAGGGAGTTCCGCAGCAGTGCGCAGACCCACGGTCCGCCAGGTGCGTACGTAGCTTGTTGCCGACGCTGCACAGCTCCAAGTCTCAACCGACTACGTTTTAACGTCATCATGCATGATGCACTAAAGGATCTCTCCGTCGCGTAGAGTAAGCATCCCACTAATAATCACATCTCCGGGTTATGTATATATAGCGATACGCGTGTGTGATGCCAGCTCGTACCTAATAACCAAAGGCTCTGTATACGCACAGCGAAGTTATTAATAATATGGTTCTATTTCTTTTAAATATTACGAAGGATATTGACCTAAGCTCGAAGTTCATCAGGTGTGCGGTGCTGGTAGGTTTAACGGATCCGGGATGTAGTTTGCTGTGCCGACATCATCTAGCCTAACGCGTTATATAGCGCACGTTCCCTCCGACACAGCGATGAGAAGCGGAAGCGACGTGGCGGTTGTTCGTACACTGATTGTAATTTGTTGGTCAACTACAAATGACACGTTCCTCCTCTCATAATATTTGATAGCCGTACTTCGCCTCGGATTTCCGCAGTAGATTTGTATATATACAGCAGTCGGGGCGGCCTCAGACAAACTCATTGAGGCTATGCCACGTCTTAAGCGTTCACTGCAAATGTTGGTTGCTCTCCGCCAGCTAATGCATTATAAATTTGGGTATCCTAGCTATCTGTCAACTGTACAGCGCGCAATCGACGCATTTTTTCCATCTGAGGTGAATTATAGCATCATACACAGAGTACAAAGAACGCTACACCATAAACGTAGCAGGCACCCGTCCATGAAACGCGGGCATACTAGGCATAAGCCTCCAGAAATCGTCGGCAAGGGATTAAATTAGCATAACATAGTCTTGTTCCTCGCATTCAGGATGTCGTCCAGTAAGATCGCGACGGCCCCTTTCTGGAAACCAACAAATACATCCCAATACATGCAATCTAGAACACCCACCACCGCCCGCGTCTTCGGCCACGCTGTGGTTCCTTTATGCTCACCTCGTCATCGCCCACGCCAGGCGGTGCACCGAGGCCAGCCACACTCGCAAAGCTCACGTATCCTGATGCCTGTTTACAAGCTTGTGATGCCGCGCGCAGATCAAATTGCGGTGGATTCACTGGTATATGGGGATTGGCGCTCGAGAAGCCCGAGAGAATCGCCGGATTCGGTGAGTGCGGTGAGGGCGTAGCATATGGTGAAGAAGGCGACTTCTTTGTCGGAGTCGAGAATGGCGAAGGTGGGAGGGGCGTCGTCATCCACGGTGATATCTCTCCCTGCGATTGTGGTGATTTTTGCGAGTAAGGTACAGACGTCGTCTGCGAATACCTATGCTTCCGACCGTGTTTTGATGATATAGATGGTAGTATCAAAGGCTCCACAGCATGTGCAGTCACATGAGGTTTCTCAGATGATTGAGAATGTGTGTACGAATTAGAAAGCGAGCGCGCTGATGAGGGTGGAGATGCTGATGAAGACTACACAGGATGTTACATATCAGCATTTAATTCAGGGGTGCGTGTGTCATACATGGTAAGCGCTCACCTCCTCATCCGGCGACCTCTTTATTCGCCTTTCCTCTTCACGCATCCCATTCTGGAGCACGCGTTCCAGGCGTGATCTCAGGACAGCCTCATGGGGCGCTGCGTCACTTCCGATAACATAGGAGCGTGGTAATGATGTCGAAAGACACTCATCCAGTTTCTCTTGTTGGATAGGAGCAATAGGGTAGCCCTTGGCATCCAAGTCTGAGCTCGACCTGAGTAGCTGAGCATACGACGAGTCTTCGTTCTCGTTCGGAACGTAAAAACTTTTCGACTTGAGATTCCGGGTAGAAGCAGCACTATTCCTGCGCGACTCGGACGGTTGGAAAATCAGGACGGGTTGGAAGAAGTTGTCATCGTCACAGTCACTGCACGTTGACCGCGAGCGCGAACGTGCACGGGAGGTAACGGTTGTACGAAGGGTATTGTCTTTCCTGAGGGTATCTCGCAGTAGACGCTCTGACCGTGATGAAGGTCTTGGGGGAGGCGAGTGAGGTCGCTGGGTACGCGAGGAGCTGCCCTGTTGGTGAGGGATACGAGGACTGGGAGCAATTATAGACATTGCGAGAGTGGGTTGTGAGTGGAAAGAGGGAGTTAGTTTATTCGGTGTGCAAACGCGACCTCGTGGCGAATGTGTTCGAGACGATGGAAGAAGTTTCGTAGGTGTAGTTGAGTCACAAGTTATCGAGGAAGTCGTTGCAAGCGAGCTAGGCGTTCCTGAGATCGTCGAGAGAGATTGAGAAGGGGAAAGAGATGATGGCTCCAACAAGCGAATGGGCATGGGAGAGGAAGATATTAAGTATTGAAAAACGCTTTGGTACGCTTAAGTCTTATGGGTCTTGTGATTCACATAGACCGCCTCGCTGAAAACACGAGGATAACACGAAGTAAAAGAGTCCACAGGTCAATGCAGGAAATAAGGGGGAAACAAGCAGAAGATTCTTCGTAGGAGATTGCCTGGCATGTCTGTTCCACACGATTCACGGCAATATCCTGTAACCCCAGAATTTCAACGGTGTTGAGATCCGATGTCATAGATGGTGACCTGCCTAATTTGTTTAATAATTTCATTTTTTTTAAATTATTTTTAACCGCTAATTCCCGAGATTCTTGGTCATGCCGATAATTTAACTTTTCACATTGTTTCTAACAACACGCGTTCTACGTTCAGTCCAAGCGACACACACACATGTTTGGTCTTTCCGTGGTAAACCATTTGTTTACTCTAGACTAAGTCCGAAGGCAGTTGCATAGTCTCTCTGCCGTGCCCACCGCATCACGACCGCACTGTTCTCAGGCTGGAGCGCCACAGCAGCTGATCAATGAGTCACAGTTCTTATCCATAGCCTGGAATTGGGATGCGTAAACTATTTTATTTCACGTTTTATAAGTTACTCCACGGGATCTTATTCATAATTATCTCCGTTCGGCGGACGTTGCGACATACGGGAACCTGTTAAGTGGTACTGCCGCGTTGTCATGAAGCTTAGTTATCCACTCCTCCTCCGACAGTCAGCTCGTGTTATTCCCCATCGTCCGATGTTTCGCTAACCTGACCCTGCGCTGATTTAGTACTAGTCTCGGCTTCCCTTTGTCTCATCATTCGATCCGCAACCGACACACGAGGCAACGTTTTTACTAGTCTCGTTACTGTTAGATGGCCGCCGTACCTCCAACTTTTCCGTGTACTTTACGGGACGGCATACTAGGCCTTGCATTAATCCCGGTGAGAGTCTACCTGAACACGTCCCCCGCGTGCCTGGTGGACGTTAACGTTGATCCTTGATCGATATTCATCATGGCTCGTCAGTAATGCGATCATACTATCGTCATGCTTGTACATCACCCCGCATTCACCAAGATTAAAGTGCTTCTTGGAAGTTCATCATATACGTTAGAGTTTGCCGATAATATTTAACTTTCTTCCAAAGGGCCGCTAAGTTGTAAGTTGTGACAAGTCGCGCTTCGTCAAACTATATTTATTTGTTTTCGATGCTCTGGATCCGACCGGATGATCAATTGATCGGCCAACAGTGAGTGATCATATACATATTGGATATTTTTGGGGCACTTTTGCTTTTCCATAAGGAAGGTATACATTGTGTGGGGGCATTCAATGTCGTACGATGAACAATAGACCTTCGCTCAGGCCTCCATACCTGATGTTGCCTAAATTCCTACAGCTTCTAGACTGCCTTTTAGTTCTCGAAATGCATCAGAGACATCCATTTACGATGCAAGTCTGATTCCATTCGACACAGGAATCGATGATCGAGAATGCAGCCAGATCAAGACAGCGACGACAAGAATTCAGACAAATTCAGGTCTTTTCAACTTGCAATGTCGCTGGCATCGAAGCTTGTTCGTCAGGATCAGCAATATCAGGATCCGGACGGGAGCTTCTCGCCATGCAGATATCAATTGATAGGAAGGGGCGCATCACCTCCGACTTTTGACATCTTCGCGATAGCCGTTCTTATCCGTAGCCTTTCGTTATTTCATACAAATAGTTTGGCTTCGTACGACTCGATCGTGTACTAATCAGTGCGATGGTGCTGATTATCGAATGATTGCCGGCAGAAGCGCTCATTGTCAAAATTATGGGCAGGTCATTGCTAGTGGAGAACGAGAACAATATCTGTTTCAACTGCATTTATCTGCAGTCTCACTTGCATTTGAAAACCGAGTTATGCTCGTACCTGTCTCCGATATCATTTGAATGATCTCGCGAGAAGAGAATGGTATGAACAGGCTCCAAGTTCACCGCGGAGCCGGTGACCACGTGATTGACGGCGAACAAAAGGCCATTGGCTGCACATTTTAATGCTTTGACAGTATGGCAACAAAGTTTCTCTATCCGACGTTTACTGGAAGCTCGCTTGTGTGGAGTCCTGGCTCCTATGGAGTGATGGTGAGAGCGCTTCGAGAGGTACGCGGGTGGATCCTTTCATGCTTATTCTATTAGAAGCGCCATATTGGCCATTCGTTCCGTCGAGTCAGGCAAGCAATATTTAAACAGCTGTCAGTGTATATCGTCACCATCGTCCTCGATTTAGTCTCCCTATGAGAAAAATTGGGAGGCGCCATATTGGCCATTGGTTAGTACGTTCAGTCATGAGCATGTCGACATCTAGTAGCGATGTTTGAGCCACTGTATGTCGGAGAAGGTTAGTCCCCTTGATTCCATTTCTCTATAGGAAAGGTCATACTTGGACCTACCCGGTGGCGCAACAACCGTTCGTCCACCGAATACGGGATCTTCTCTGCTAGACACTTCCCGTTAGCTCATTCACGTGACGTGAAAGCGATAGAACATTGCATGGAAGCCAGCGAATGAGTGGGAATGTATGCATTATTTGCTAAAACGTCCTTGATAAGTGGGTTATTGGACAGAAGCATATTCGACTGTTTCACGTCTCTACTGATATGCTAACGTAGATTAGATACTCACCTTGATCCCCTTTCATACCGCAGGGTCCGATAAGAGCCCTCAGGGGCACTTTTCCTGACATTGGGAAAAACCATAAAGTTATACCAATCATCGTTCGGTCGTCTCCGGAGTTCCGTGTCGAGTTCGCAAATACGAGCGGAAGTTAATCCGACCAGCCGCATCGTCGATTCTCTTTGCCGTCGCCATATTTCATGAAAGAACTCGTGAAGCTCTCGTGGCCACATCCTATTGGAGGCAAGTAATATGTTATGGAATAGGGGGCTTGGATGTGTTAGATTTCAGGAACGGTATCCCGAACCTATTTGCTTGAAGGACCCTATAGTCTTATATCTGATCGAGACCTATTCAAATCCTTCTAGGAGCAGCGGGCATCAGATCGTACTCCTCGCAAACCTAACTCTCATCCGTGTAAGCCCAGATTCCAAGACTCTTTCTCACTCGTCTTGGAATGGATTACGATTGAAATCCGAGATCAGTTGACCTTGAAGGTGAAAGTCTCGTCCGTGCTGTGTTGAGCTTCTGATGTCTTTTGTACTGATGCCAGATCTCGTCTCGGGGATTCAAACCATAAACCACGTTGGCTAGATCAAGGTCTATCGAAGCGTTTCCTTTACAAACTAGGCCGGTCATATGCACTAGCCATTAATGAGGAGGTATCATGACCCGGCCGTGCATCGAAAGTCTGGACCGTATCGATAAAATAGGACAAATTTCCATAATTGCATCGTAAGGTACCTTAGCATTGATCAGCTTCTGATTGGTAGGAGTGAGTCAATCCTTTAAACAGGACTTAACTTAACGTACCAGGGGATGAATGTCAACCTTGGTTGTGTCACCCTAGAGACAGTTGGACACTACGGAACACCGAGCGGAAGACAACATTCAGGGAAGACTGCAGGGTCGTGGAACATCCTACTGAATGAGTCTTAGTCAGATACCCACCGGCATTCAAAAATTATTTATTTAACCTGGTTAGCTAAACTTTAAATTCAGGCCACCTAGTGATATCCTTCTACTCACAAGTTCTTGTCCAGCCATGTTAATATCCTCATCCTTCACACAATCAGGCCAGGATGATAGTGTACAGCCAGAGGTCGTCGAATGTCCAGTGGAGTCCATGAGGCACTTGTCTGTGTGACTTTACTGGTCTAATTAAAGGGCGATGCTCCTCATCCACCGGGTGTTCACCCTTCCCTGCCGGTAGACTGACGCTGGGAACAGTATGACAAGACGTGCACGATGGGATTGTCGCTTGTCTAAGTTTGCCAACACCGCGAGTTTAGTGCTTCGACACGTCCGAGTGTTTTTCGCACTGAGGACATTGATTCTGACTTGCCAAGAGGATATATTCACAACCGAAAATCGATCGCCCACGAATAGCTTCCATGTCTGGAAGGAGACATTTGGGCACAGTGAGGTTTCCAACTTGTGAAGGATTGTGAGATTAGAGATGACATGTACAGCCAGTACTAAGATGGACTTGATAGCGTGAAAGTGGAGGGTTTTTATTGCAAGGGGATAACTGTAATTTCAAAACCTAAAACACAAATGTGAGATGGTTTGGAGTTCGATTCAGAAAGTATACCCTTACCTCAGAAGCTGCTCAAATATGCAGTGTGACCAGTCCTTCACAGCAAAGCTGGACTCGACATGAGTAAGCTATATCTTCGTATACTGCGTGCACAGGCCTGGGCTCCATAAGACCATGTTTGAACGCGCAGTCGTATTCTGTACTAGCATATATTGTTCTGTAGAGAACTTACCAAGTTCCACGATCGCCCAATATATGACACGCAAGTCCAGTCACCGTCTCCAGAGGTGCATGGTCACTACGCGCGAAGGTCCATCCGGCTGGCGCGAAGTATTACTGAAGAAAACCCGCGGCAGCCAGGTCTAGGGGTGTGTCCATGAAATATGGGCCGGATGGTCTGAGTGCGTCGAAGCCTCGTGCTAGGCACACCATCACGGTGAAAAGGACGAGCCGAATGTCCGAAACACGATGATATTAACCACACGAGACTACTTGGGACCCGGTTCCTTATGAGCTCGTATTAAAGGTGGTTTACAGCTCGTTCGGATCGATGAACCCGGCGTCGTCGAAGACTATTGAAAGAGATACGGTATATTCTGGGTGGTAGCACGGTTAGTCATTTCTCTCACGGGATTTTCCAATCATCGACGTTGTTTTGGACACAGTCGCACACACCCTCTCTAAATCTGCGCTGTGCATCATGGTCGTGTGCGATGTGCATGTTCTTTGTGAATGATCGTTTTGCGGTAAATAGATTAACTGTTTTTGCATTTTAGTTCCAATCTGGTGGGTCTTTCTGCCTGTGGTCCCCCTGGGCAGGACACCAAATCTGGGTGCTGATCTTCGTCTTCTAGTAGCAACCATACCATCGAATGTATTCTTGAAAATCTCTATTGTCAAGCCATCGAGCATTCAAGGCTGTCGGCCAGGACAGCCCGCTCACTGGCACTGCTGTTTCCGGTTCACTGCCAATTAACCTGTGCCCGGCACCCTGATCACGGTCTCACGCTTTTCTTAGCCAGTGTCAACAGGTGTGAGCCCGTGATACACGAAACCCTAATTAGCGAAGTTCCCCATAGGTGAAACATAGACGCTTACCAGGCTACGCCCAGAAACGGAGATGTCCAAGAATAACGTGTCTTTACATCGAGAGAGGCGCAGCCTGTCCACATGCCGACGGAATTGGCCTAGCATGTCTAGCTGATATTTCTTTTTGCCCCACGACTCGTTGCTTGTTCACTCTCCAGCACGATGGCCTCTACCTCGGCCAATCTCGTGCAACAGGCTGTCAGCTCCGGCGAGCTAACAGACCTTGTTCCGTCTTCTACACCTGCCACTGTTCATCCTACAGATGATTCCATCCTTGCTGTTCTCACCGCTCGATTTCGCGCTGATTTACCGTATACTAGACTCGGATCCACGAACCTCGTGGTAGTCAACCCTTACAAAACACTCGCCAATGTCAATGACGCTAATGCGAAGGAGTATGAAGAGAGATGTTACAAGGATACCAAGCTGGGCTTGGCAGATTCTCGGAGACCCCCTCAGCCTCATTTGTATGAGCAAGCGGCTAAAATCTATCTCCTTATGAGAAGAAGGAACGAGTCTCAAGCAGTTGTCACTCGGTGAGTTACTTCCGTACCGCACGAAACTAGAGCTCATAGCACAATTCTGTCAGGGGAATCTCAGGATCGGGAAAGACCGCGAGCAGTCGGCTGCTCGTAGACCAGATTTTACGCCTTTCAGCTCACTCCAAACGAGAGGCCAAAATCGCTGAACAAATCAAATCTTTCACGGTGCTGCTCGAGTCTTTCGGAAATTCAAAAACCCTTGTGAACCCAAATGCCTCACGACACACACGCTACACAGAGCTCCACTTCAATGAACGCGGGCGTATCAGCGCTGCGAAGGTTATCGCCTTTGGGCTTGACAAGTCACGCTTGACTCGTTTGTCACATGAAGAACGATCTTACCATGTGTTCTACCAACTTCTTGCTGGAGCTACGCCAGAGGAACGTGACTACATGGGCTTGGAAGGTCCTTCGGACTACGCCCTGTTGGCATCATCTGGTTGCTATCATTTGCCTGCTGGTCCATTCAGTGATGATGGTATCGCGATGGATGATTTGCGAGACGCCTTCAAAACTTTAGGCTTCAAGTCCAAGCACGTCTCATCAATATTCAACGTGCTCGCTGCCATTCTGCTGCTTGGCAACCTCGAATTCGGGGAAGCTGATGCGGGGGACGTCTCCGCATATGTCCTTAACGTGCCAATCCTCCAACAGGTAGCAAAGCTTTTGGGCGTTTCTCCCGAAGAACTCAGTGACACGCTGACGTACAAGACGAACTATGTACGCAAGGAGTTGTATACTGTGCTGCTCAATGTGCAGCAAAGCGCAGCACAGCGAGACCGGCTAGTTCGTGATCTCTATGCAATCATGTTTGCATTTGTGGTGGAAACTGCCAATTTCAAGCTAGCCCCTGCCTCCTTAAATCCTACATGTTCCGCCACTCGTATTGTACTGCTCGACCAAGCGGGTTATCAGACGCGCGCACCTTCAGGGTCGAGTGGTCCTACTCCCCTTATCTCCGCTCATCAGAATGGCTTTGACGAATTCTGCATCAATTTCACCGACGAAATCGTGCAATCCCACATACTTCGAAACACCTTCGATGACAACACGGCTTTCAACAGTCGTATGATTGCTGATGGGAACTCGTTACCAGCCGTCATTGCCATGGACAACTCAGCCTGTGTTGAGCTTCTTAGGGGCCCATCCACCACTCAGGCAACGTCACGAAAACCTGGCGGTCTTCTGGGTGTCGTCGACAAGGCCGCAATGTCCTTCAAATCGGGGCGTGCGGATGAACGGCGGGATGATGATCTACTGCGAGACTTGAGTGCCAAGTTTGGTGCGCATGCGTCTTTCGTTGCAGCACCTATCACAGATGGGAGGAGAGCTTTCGGGATCAACCACTATGCTGGTTCTTGTTCATACGACGTCAGCAACTTCGCGGAGAAGGACGCAGACCTGCTCGACCCTATTTTCGTCACTCTCCTTCGCAGCTCGACTGATGTATTTGTCGCGAAGCTCGTGTCGGGCCCCAGCTTGTCTACGGAAAAGCACCAGAGCGATGAGGAAACTATCGTTCAAGCTCAAGTCTCTTCCCGCCCTCTTCGCACGCTTACTCCTCTCGGAAACAGTGCTGATGAAACCCCTCGCCTGAACCCGTCCAAAATCTATCCCGTCACTACGCAGCTCAACCAGACGATTTGGAACGTCTTGTCTAACATTGAGAATGTGCCGATGTGGACTATCACGTGCATTCGCCCCAATGATACTGGGTTCTCTAACTCCCTTGACAGGCGTCGCGTCAAGGGGCAAATTAGGTCTCTGTTACTCCCAGCTATTGTGTCGAGGAAGCAGGTTGAGTTTGTTGTGGACTTTGATCAGGCAGAGTTTTGTGACAGATATCGTCCTTCTATGCGCGGATCAGATTCTGAGCGCATGCGTCAGTGTGCCCAGTCTAATGGCTGGAGAGAAGGCATTGACTTTGCAATTGGGAACCAGAGGATCTGGCTATCGTACTCGGCGTGGAAGATGGTGGAAGATGTTGTGCGTTCTGAGGAGAAAGAGCAGAAGAAGCTTGCCCGTGAGGATTCACAAGAGGACGAGAACGCCATGCTCGATGATGCCACAGACTACCCTGGTGATGAGCGGCAGTCAGCATACTTTGATGAAGCGGATGCCACACCATTCCAAGAGCCGAAAACGCCTGCATTCGATGGTTATGCACCGTCTCATCTTGCTGCTCCTAGTTATCGCGAGCAGTCGGAATCCACGACGTGGGACACGAAACCCGAAAGCTTTGACAAAGCGCCCCACCTCATGCCTAGTTCTGCCATGCTAACCGCGGATAACGCTCCTGAAATGTTGGAGGAACAACTGCCAACCACTCGAACCCGACGTTACTGGCTTTATACCGTCTATTTCTTCACCTGGTTTATTCCCGACTTCCTGTTGTCGGGGTTAGGACGTATGAAGCGCCCTGACGTCCGCCTTGCATGGCGAGAGAAAGTGACCATCTGCCTCCTCATCCTCTTCGGAAATGGCCTTATCCTGTTCTACATTATCGCCTTCGGTGTCATTCTCTGCCCCAACTTCAAGTATGCATGGACGACAGACGAAGTAGCTCAATATACAGGCAACACTGACTACTACGTCTCTATTCAAGGCAAGGTCTATGACGTCTCCAATTTCGTTTTCGGTGACCACAGTGACATTGTGGGAGAGGCAAGTAATGGTGCGGCCACCTTGGCGGGGCTCGCTGGTACCGACATGACCTACTACTTCCCCCCTCCCTTAAATGTGGCATGCGCGGGTCTTGTCAGCTCCCCGACAATGAAAATTACTCCCGAGAACAACACTCTAGTCTTGTACCCGACAGCTATGCATTCCTCCGGATCCAATGCTCCGACGACTCCCACAGCTCTCGACAACCAGGACTGGTATACCGCGACCTTCATACCAAAGATCAGCCAGTATTACCTTGGTCCGTTGGTTTGGGAGCCAAGCGATATCTACTCTCAAGCTAATCAAACAACGAATCCGCGGTAAGTCGTACTTAGTCTGCCTCAGTAACATCACTCATTATCTTCACAGAACTTGGGCGATTTACGACAATAGCATCTATGATTTGACGGACTATATCTACACCCTCAACACAATCAACCTGAACGTCGCTTCGTACAGCTTCCTTGACCCGAACCTCGTTGCCGTCTTTGAGGAACAAGCCGGGCAGGACATCACTAGCCCTTTGAATACAGTCTTGGCCGCCATGAGTTCTGAAAACCGTACGGCGAATATGGACTGTCTTTCTAACGCCTTCTACTATGGAGAGACAGACTTCCGGTACACTCCTAGATGTCAAGTGCAGAACTACCTTTTGCTTGTGTTCTCCAGTGTCCTCATGGCCTCAATGGCAATGAAATGTACGTTTTCTTCCTATCTTCACCTTTGCTTGCATTGACTCCATATAGTCCTTGCCGCACTCCAACTCCAGACCAAGCGCTTCCCTGAGATGCTGGACAAGTTCGTGTTATGCCAGGTCCCTTGTTACACGGAAGGAGAGGATTCCCTTCGCCGCACACTCGACTCACTTGCCAATTTGGACTACGACGACAAGAGGAAACTGATTTTTGTCATTTGTGATGGGAATATCATCGGGAGCGGTAATGAACGGCCGACACCTGCTATCGTACTTGACATCCTTGGTGTCGATCCAGCGAAAGATCCTGAACCCCTTATGTTCAGATCAATCGGAGATGGCTCGCAGAAGCTTAACTATGGCAAGGTATACTCTGGGTTGTATGAGTTTGAAGGCCATGTTGTTCCGTACGTCATCCTCTCGTAACCATGAAGTCGTTGCTGACACTTCTGTTTAGGTATATAGTCGTCGTGAAAGTCGGGAAGCCAAGTGAACGTTCGAAACCCGGCAATCGTGGCAAGCGTGACAGTCAGATCATGTTGATGCAGTACTTGAACAGGGTTCACTTCAACGCAGCCATGAGCCCGCTAGAGCTTGAGATATATCATCAGATGCGGAATGTTATTGGGATTGACCCTGCGTTCTATGAGTACATTTTCACTGTGGATGCAGACACGGTACGCTTTATTACTCGCTACTCCGAAAAGCTCTAACATCCTTTCGCAGTCCGTGACTCCTAAATCTCTTAACCGTCTTGTAGCAGCCTCGATAGCAGATTCCAACATCATCGGCATATGCGGTGAAACGAGACTCCAGAATGAGGAGGGATCCTGGTGGACCATGATCCAGGCAAGTGGTTTAAATTTACACATTTTGTGTATTCATGCCAACATACCCATAGGTATACGAGTACTACATCTCGCACAACTTGTCCAAAGCTTTCGAGAGTCTTTTTGGCTCAGTCTCGTGTCTTCCTGGTTGCTTCACCCTTTACCGCATCCGCACTAATGATAAAGGCCGACCGCTCATCATCTCCAACCGTGTAATCGATGAATATGCGGAAAATAACGTGGACACCCTGCACAAGAAGAATCTGTTCTCCCTCGGCGAAGATCGATTCCTGACGACGCTATTGATGAAACATTTCCCCACCTTCAAGACCAAGTTCACTCCGGACGCTATTGCGCGTACCATGGCGCCGGTATCCTGGAGAGTATTGTTTTCACAACGCCGGCGTTGGATCAACTCGACCATTCACAACTTATGCGAGCTTGCTATCCTTCCCGACCTCTGCGGAATGTGCTGTTTCTCGATGAGGTTCTTCGTCTTCCTCGATCTGATCGGTACTTTGGTAAGGTCTTTTCAAAGCGTCGATGTACGTTTTCTGATGTTTTTTTTATCATTAGATATTGCCTTCCACTGTTGTTTATGTGAGCCACAGCACGTTATCTTTCAGAGTTCTAGCTAATGTTGCGTTTAGTTGGCTTGGCTGATCGTCGAAGTCGCTACTGGACAATCTCCGTTCCCTCTGATTTCCATAATCATGTTGGCAGCGGTGTATGGTCTTCAGGTGAGTAACGTCGTCTAATTAAGAGAAGTCATTTACGATGTCGTTTCCAGGCTCTTATCTTCATCATCAGAAGAGAGTTCATGCTTGTTGGATGGATGGTGGTCTATCTCATTTCGTGGGTTGACTCGTTCTGTAACAGGTGCATAGCTCATTTTCTGTTGTTACAGGTACCCAGTTTACAGTTTCTTCCTGCCCATATATTCATTCTGGCGGATGGATGAGTTCGGTTGGGGTAACACTCGTATCGTGCTCGATGATGGTGGAAGCAAGAAGATCATCGCGAACAGCAACGACATGAAGTTCAACGAGTCTATGATTCCGTACAAGAAGTTTAGTGGTACGTTCAATATGCATTCTCACTCGTGCTACCTGCTAATGGTAATCCGTACAGAATATGAGGCTGAAACGTTTGGTGACAACCAATCCGGGCAGTCGTATGAGTCACCTCCCGATTTCCATAAATCAGGCTCTGTATATCTCTCCGCACCTCAGCCACATCTCCCGTCGTCAGGCTCTCAACGGCCGTCTGTCTACGAGTACGGCCGCTCTGAGTCAGGGGAACATGACTACTACCGCGACACAAACATGATACATAGCAACTCGTCGCATCCCAACCTACCCGGGCCTTCACGTCCGAGCTCCCGTGCCGTATCTGACGTCAACCGTCCACCACCTCAGATGGCCAACTGGAGAGGACCCTCACAGGAAAGGATCAACATGTTTACTCCAACCAATTCGGGTCCACATGGGAGCGTGTATGGCATGACGCCGCCTGACTCGCGAATGGCATCTGGAGTCTTCAATCGCTCCATGTCCCCCGCCCAGAGCCTAGGTGTCCCTCCTCAGCATTTCAACGGGGGAGTACGGACATCTACGTTATCTATGGCTACAACTGCGTTTACCGGCCCCAACATGAATCCCAATCCCTCGGATGACGAGCTGTATAATGCACTTCGGAACTTTTTGAGCACACAAGACTTGATGGCTGTGACAAAGAAGTGCGTTGTCCTGCTATACTTGACTACACCCTAATACTAACTTCACTTCAGGACAGCTCGTGAGGCTATGGCGGCTCGCTTCCCTCGCGCAGACTTGACGTATCGTAAAGACTTTTTGAACCAGTGCATTGACGACATTCTTTCGCATTAAACGTAGACTATATACATCATTTAGGACACTTACATTCATCTCTCGGACCCTTCTAGGACTTAATTGACTATCGGGACAATGCTGATTAGCGTTTTGTTTTGTTATGATTACGATTACTACATGTATGGCATTCGTTAGTAGCAGGTGTTGGATTTCGTTCGGACATAATAATACGATGATGACTTGGATTGTTGAACGTTAACCTTCGTTAGGGCAACCAACTGGTGATTATATGTAATCACAAGATGACGGTGCTTGTAAAACGGAGGTGGTTCTTAATGAATGTCTACTTTGAATGGGCTATCGGGTATCTGTGTATGCATCTACTAATATTGTAACAATATAGGTATCGTCATCAAAACACAAGCGAATACTTGTCGGAGATGAGTCTGGTGTATAGCTAGAGTATTTCTACGGTACCGATATCCATGTTGTCAACCGAAGCAACTTGAATGTCTTTGACTTGTGCAGTGATGTTATGGTCTGACGCGATCCTCTTGACACGCTACTGCGCTAGTCGAAAGGTTGTCTCGGGTGAACCAGCAACTGCAACGCCAGTGAGCTCGGCTCCTCTTCAACACGTGAACTGCCGGGTGACTCGTCAGACTCATCCATCAAGGACCCAGGCTCTGTCCGACCTTCCATGCTCTCCATGTCATCTGCGAAGTCAGGTACCCCGAGGAGATACCGATCCCATGGACGGACAGGTAAGAACGTCTGCCAAATGGGTTTTTCCCGCGAGAACTGATCTAGGGTCTCTTGAGTGGTGATCAGCAGGCCATGGGGCCCGTCTGCCTTGATTCCATATGTGATGAGAGTCTCCTGGGCCAGACCGCGCCTCCGTCTGGTTTCCGTGACATGGAACGAAATACAAGGCAGATGAAGTCTGTAGTTTGCGAAGCGAGGAGCTCAACTGTGGTCATAAAACTTTAATGCTAGATCTGTGGGCATGGTTTATCGCAGCGAAGAGACTTGTGTATGAATATGATCTTCGGACAAAGATGAAAGGGTGCGTGGAGTAGTGCTATAAGAGGCGATATAAGCTGGAAGACAGCTATTGAACTCGGAAGGTTGTCCGATCCAGTCGAGGACAGTGATGTCGCCTGACCGGGCCACGATCTCCTGCAGGAGCCACCCGAGCGTGCTCTGCTTCCTCTCGCCATAAATGATAGGTAGGGTAATGCCGAAGATGCCAAATAAAGAGTACGCAACGTCTTCTTGCACAGTGGTGACGCGCTTCGATGCCCGTTGTAGTTTCTCTCGGGCGCCGCTCATACCTGGACGGAAGGTCACCAGGGTCCGTGCATTTATCCCTATCCTCCGGCTCCTTCATGATTGCAGGGAACTCTTTGTGGTTTGGAGAGCGATCATCGAGATATAATGACCAATCCTTCTGATAGAGGATTACAACTTCGGACCGACGAATTCTTGAATCGCATAGGCAGCACCTGCTGCCACAGCGGTCAAGTGGAAAGCTTCTGAATAAGGAAAGTCCTCAAAGCCTTTGCACAACAGACCAAAACAACGCTTACAACTGAACTCTCAGCAGCCTCTGCACTCATGCACTGGTCTGGCACAACTGAGGGCTACGGCGAAATCTGATACAAATACAAACCACGCGTGATGCGTGCAGCCCTGAAAATTTATCGTAAGCGTGTATCGTTGATGTGGCTATCTCAAACCGATATGTAACGTATCATGATTTCCCTCGTATCATGACTGTTGACGGACCATCTAGCACATAGAATGATTCCTTCATCTTGTGTCATGTGGAAATATTACGGGCTGTACCACATCTTTTCCATCACCAGTTAGCTCGTGGAATCTCCATGTGAGCGCTAGGTCGAAAGCATGGCTTCCATCTCAAAAGTATTGCGGTATGATGCTTTGGATGGTTCCATTATATCACCCCTTAAAATTCCCGCATCAAAAGTAAGGATTACGCTGATTCGCGACGCAGTGGACACACAAGGTAAGCGTCTTTGCACGTTTACAATAAAAATGCGACTGACCCTACGCATCAAAACTTTCAGATCTTTGTGATTCTACCGTGACGCACCTCAGTGTCTGCCGTGTCTCTACGGCGCAACTTTATGCTATAATATATAAATTTACCCCTTATGCTCAAGCTCGCTCGCCACTGTCCTGAGCAGGTACCGCTGCCAAAGTTTATGGTTGTGGTCAAGTGTGCTGCGACAATGCTTCGAGTCTGCGAGAATCCCATTTTCCCTATAATTGGAACCTTATCTGAGTTGTACTTCTCCACATGTGATGTCACCCTCTAGTGGAGAAGGACAAGTACTCACTTGATCGTCATATTCTAAGTTTATCAAGGGTCAGTGATATCTGTGTTCTTGTGGACTGATGCACGCGTGGCGCTACAAAGCGAATTCCACAGGTGCATATCCTACAAGAAAGTGTCCACAGACACTTGCCTTTTCCCGACGTGTTGTCGGGGGATAATGTCAAATCGATGGCCTCAATGCACGACCACAGTCGTCCTTTGTCTATCGTTGCCGCGCCTGTCGAGAGGTATAAAACCTGGTGTCGTTCTCTGCTCTATTTCTCTTATCTTCGTCTTTACTTTCCAACTGTGTCTCATCATCTTAGCCACTTCACTTGTTCAATTCATCTATATGTCTATGTAAGTCTACTCGCACGTCAGATGGGTAGCTTGATATGCTAACACTACCTTACGCATCTAGTTCCTCGTGCCACCACACGCCATTCGATAGGTTGGTGTTCTATTTCGAGTCCAAGGACGTGCTTCATCTCATTATGTTCTTAGCGAGTCTATGCCTATGTCAAATGACCACGTACCGCTCCCCGGCGATCCTGACCTCGATTCGTTGTCCTTTGAAGAATTGGGCAAGTTGATCGCAGCTCACCACAGCGGTGAGATGTCCCCCGAAGTGTGCGCCCAGTTGGATGAGTATGTGGTTCTACCTAAATCATTTATTCAAACTCACGGTCGTACAGATTGTTGAAAGAGAGTGATGAATTAATGCGTAGTGTAATTAACGAAGACGCGCTGGCAGGCCCAGCCGATGCTCACGTTGACGGGTAAGCCAATCTAATTAGCCTACCAGGACCAAGCAACTCACGTCCAACGACAGGACAAACTATGATGAATTACCAGTGACGCAACAAGGGTACGTGTATTCGCAACTGAGTCCTCGTCATTGCTCATCTGTTTCTCCAGGACTGAAGCCAATTCACAAAATGTTCAAAATCCTCAGATGTTCGAGTTGGTTCCGACATTGAAGAATTTCACCGCCCCGGTGGCTGGTCTCCCCCAGTTGTCCCACATCGATCAAGGGCTCTGCTATCCTCCGCAGATCTTTGCCGTCCCTCAAGCGCCCCCGCAAGGCCATCCTTGGTCTCAGCATGAATATAACCCTGGATACTTCATGAACGGGCCTCCCAACACATATACGCAGCCCTTCGCCGCACCGCAAGGCACCGTATGGTCCCAGCATGGATACAATCCTGGATACAATGCCAATGGACTCCCTGGTGTGTATCATCCGCAACCCTCTGCGATCGTTCCAGCACTGCCGCAAGGCTACGCATTGGCACAGCATGGATATCATCCTGCTCCCTCCTACCCTTACCAGCAACCTTCCACCATTGCGGGTCCGTCCGACGCGTATTACCCCATTGCGACATTCTCCCAAGGTCAATATGCTCCATTGCAGACGGAATCTAGTGGGGGCTCGAACGTGGCGCCAACTTCCTTTGCTCTCGACGAGACAGCATCTACCGGTCCTCGTAAGCGTAAAACCCGCCAGACCTCGGATGGTTCGAGTTGGTTCGTTGCACTATCAATGCACAAGCGCAGACGCCCGAATACCACCGACGACTACGGACCGGGCAAGTTTGGTCCGTACACCCTAGCGGATACTAGTGTCACGATCATGACCATGCCTGTTCACGACCCAAAGCCTGTCGACATCCGTAGCCGCAGGACCCACGATCCCAACGGAAATCCCCTCCGAACGAGGAGATTTGGAGTTATGGAACTGGACGATACCTACTCCGAAGAATCCGGAAACGTCTCTGACTACCACTCGCCACAGTTGGCCTGCGTACGCTCATGCGATTGGACCGACCAGCCATGTGGTCTGTTCATAGAGGTGGACAAGATCCGCATCGAAGACCACCTGTGGTTTTGGCATGGGGTTGAAACGAAGAGAACTACTCCGAGCCCCTGTCGATTCGAGGGTTGCCCAGACGCAGGGACGATGACGTTTCTGAGCCGTCACATCGAAGGGGTCCACTTCTCTGCATCCTATCGATGCCCCTATTGCAAGAAGCTGTCGGCGAGGACCGATTCTTTGATTCGGCATCAGAAGGGGTGCAAACCATTGCTTGCTAGCAGGGCCCATGCTGAGCATGGAAAGTACGAATTCCGTATCCAAGAAATGATCAAGGCAGTTTCTGGATATATCGTTCCTGCCCATAACGCAACCTAGGACAGCGTCTGAATATGTATGTCCCCCTTACCCCGCATCTGTCGCTGCTACTAACGTTACTCCTTATTTCCGTGCTCTAGTGTTGAATCTAATTCTTGACACAACTACGGCTGATGACACACATTCTAATATATATTACCGACATTCCTTTAGACTATTCTCTCTACGGCTAACGACACTCGTTTCATTCTATTACCAACATTCCTTCGGAAATTTATTCTCTCTACGGTTAACCACACTCGCTTCATTCTATCACCGACATTCCTTTCGAATATTCGCTCTTTTCGTCCTTGTTCAGTGCATCTTCTATATGGTTATTGGTTTATCTTTATTGCACGCTGGGCGTGGTCATCGTATCTTACCATGGTGCTCGGTCTATCTTACATACGGTTGGATTTTATGGGAAGGAAGTTGGAAGTAGCTAGTCACTATCATGGAGCTTGGAGCTTTGCATCGTCAATATTGTTATGAATGAAATATACGGATATTGAACGCTTGAGCGATTCGGAGTACACGATCAAGGAGCTAGTGTTTCAGTGGAGCTCAGGTGCAACATGTATATGAGGTGGACGGACTTGCTTCTATGGGATAAAATGTTTCATCGTGAGTATGAACGGGACAGTCCAGCTGGAGCTCAGGTTGGACTGTTGAGCCTTCGTTAGGGCAACCAACTGGTGATTATATGTAATTATAGATATGTGACAACTATGATGCGTGAAGTAAGAAAGATATGACCTGTAAAAATTGGTCATGTTACTCGAATAACGAGAACCATGAGCATGAACGCGACCAGCACGACAAGTATACTCGCGATCACTAAACATGTTGTACTTCCACTTTTCCCCCTGAAGTCCCTTAACCGTATTCGTTCCTTCTTCATGAAGTCGAAGTTCCCCTCGAGCTTCTCCTGCATTGCTTCGACAACGCTCTTGTCTTTAACTAGCGACTCAGAAAAGTGGGTAGCATTGCGCCGAAGCTGTGTTGCCATTAGTGCGAGTTGCTCTGAGAGCTCTTCCTGTAGTGCGCGAGAGTTTTGAAGTATGGTAGGTGTAGCAGTGATATTGGAAGTGACAGATGATGCTGCAGGAAGAGTTGGCGGCAAAAGGGGCTCTGAGGGTAAAGACTCTGTCTGCGAAGATGGTATGAGGTCATCAGCACCAGGCACGCTTCGAGTTGTATCTTCTGTAGGGATGAGCGTCGCTTCTACAGGTATGGTCGCGTAGTCAGCTGCCTTTGTTATAGGGGCACGTATTGACGGCAGTATTGGTGTTGGTCTCTTGAGTGGAGGAGCTGCTTTCTAGTTTGGCAGATGAGCCGAGAAAAGGGGACATGTGCCACGGTGAGGGCTGCATACCTGCTCAACCTCCGTTACAAACGCTTCGACTTGATCGAGCGTCGCACGCAAGCGTTGATAACGATGTTCTGAGGCTCTACAAAAGCATGTTGAATATGAGCCTAAACAGATGGCCTGCCTTAGTAATTCCACGTACGTTGAAGTGCCATGGTCATCAACCTCGACGTTCTTTAGGAGCAAGCGAGCATGTCTGATTCGCTGAGACAATATCAGCTTCTAGGAGTTGCCACGAATAATTCTGAACGAACCTGGAGAGTACCTTGAGCTTTGATCCAGGTGTCTCGCTGCGAACTATCAGACCAATCATCCTGGGACACGGATTTCTCAAGCCTTTTTACTAAGCGAGGTAGATTAACTCTATCATGAAGAATCTGGTCGTTGGTGCGCACGCTCATGTTGGGTCGTTACAGGTCAGGAAGAGAGGGAGGGAGCAGGACAAGGTGTGTCCATATATCCTGGACTCGTGCTTAACATGTGTACTAGAAGTCACGTCAATGCCTATTTGGCTGATGGGAATATCTTTCCCCGTTTGGAGTGAAATAACCACATCCTTCGTTGTTGCCTCCGCGAGTTATACCCTTCCCGCTCACACTCAAGAGCAAATGGACGACCAGGAATCGGAAATACACCGACTCGTCGAGAACGCTGAGAAAGAGCAAGACGGAGGAAGTGCACTGGTAAGATTTGCAGCCATTCACTGTCTCGAATGACCTCACATCAATTTACTAGCGGCGTGACGCCCTCACGAAACTCATAGAAATTGCTCATTCTTCAGATTCTGAGCTCAAGTGCTATGCAGCAAATCATATGAGATACTTTTTCAATAATTTTCCTGACCTAGAAGAAGACGCTATCAATGCAGTCTACGATCTTTGCGAGGATCAAGATTCGCGGGTGCGGTGTCTTTGTTTTTGTATGCTCTTTTCATGACACCCTTGACCGCAGGTTCGCATTGAAGGATATCGAGCAATCTCAAGCGTTTCATCTGTTGAGCACAAGTGGGTTAAACGCAATTCGGATGTGCTTGTGCAACTTCTTCAAAGCGGTAAGTAAGGCAACTTTAAAATATATCACGCGCAAATTACAACAATGATTTTGAGCATATATGCGTCTTGCTTTTTTCAAGTTTTTCTGACCATTCCCCGTAGACGAACCAGAAGAAGTTGCCGTTGTCAAAACAGCCCTTTGTGACCATCTCGACATGGATCCCGGCGTCACTCTAGGAGTCTTGTGCGATCAAATAATTCCTCCTGAGTACACGATAGACGAGGAGGAGCAGCAAATTCGTGATCGTTTACGCTCACTCGTGATAGCCTTTTTGAAAGTTGATGCAGTTGAAGCCATCATTCGGAAATACACCAAAACGCCGGGTACCGATACAGAAAACGTCTTGGTGTCCCAACTTCTGACGGTAACTTGGTGCATCTTTCCATCGTTTTGCAAGGCTGACTCGTCGATAGGCTATCAGAAGGCTGGAGACACGCGACGTCGAAGTGATCATAAAGGACTTGCTTCTGATGATGCCTTGCTATATACCAGGCTCTCCGCGCGGAATGGACCTTCTTCACGTGCTTATCGACAAGGCAAGGTCTTCTCTTAACGTGAAATCGAACGACTTGGGATCTATCAAGACCATCGATTTTTACATATCTTTGGCGCACTTCGTCGCCATTCAAAAACGGGTTGCTTCTCCTGTTGTGTTGTTACGATTTTATTGTACGTATCTGATGGGGAAACCTGTCTTGCAAAGGTTTTCTCCCGAGGAGCAACTTATCCTTGCGGGCCGATTGGTAGAGGCACTTGAAGCATGCGAGGAAGAAAGTCGTGTCCGCCCTCAAATTTGCAGTCATGAACAGTTTTCATTTCTTCGGCGACAGGTCGTTGATGGAGCGCCAAATTTGTTGGAGGTAGGTCGTCCGCATAATTTTACGGTCAATCCACTGAATGATTGACTTAGGCTCTCCACGACACAAAACTCGAGTCTTCAGCTATGTGGGACACGTTGCGCTCCCTCCTTCTAGCTTGCAAACATGTAAGTCGGGTCTTTCATGTGAGTTTGCAAAATAACGCGTTTCCAGCGGAAAGAACGTGAAGACTGGGTAGTTCCGTTTAATTTGGCTACATCCATAAGCAGATTTCAAGTGCAAGCGCAACAGTTGGGGCCAGGAAACAACAGCGATGAAATTCGAGTACTCATCAGGGTTCGCAGTGGGCCGCTTTCCGCTTTCTCCATTGACGCCCATTGTTTCTTTCTGTGTTTGAGCAGTCACTAACCGAAACTTCAATGTCGCAAGCAAGTTCGAGTACAACTGTCGACGGGGATGGTCTTTATGAGCGCCCTGCTCACCTCCCGGCCCGACCTCAAATGGGACGTCCGCTGTTGAAGAGACCAGATATGTCAAGACCTTCGCATACAAGCACGAGTGGCGTGGTATCGAACTCTCGACCAGCAATACAGATTCGCGACTCTGGTTCTCTTGCATTACATAAACGATCCTTGAGCTCTGGAGAAACAGTACCACAGATCAAGCGAGCAAAGACGGAACTGACAGAGGAACGACAACTGACACCTTCGTTGCTGAGCCGTATGACGATGCCTGTCCCAGGCGATGCGGATAAGGCCTGGCGAAAACGTGGAGGAGCAGGAAAAAAACGCGCGGATGATTCGTCCGAGCCGGACAAGCATCCTATGAGCGGTTATAGCATTAAAGGCGCTGCAGCACATGCCGAGCGGGGCGAGGAGTCGAGAGATCCCACACCAAGAACGTCGTCCTTGCTCGATAGGCTGAACAAATCTGAGGGCGTGGATGGTGGTAATAGGAAGAGACACCGAGGGAAAGCATGAATCAGTTCATGGAACGTTGATATTTATGTATGATCATCGCTGGCTCTTAATCTTGATTAGCATGAATAGTCGGTGCCAGGTTTTATAAATTAAACGCAACCATTTCATCGACAAAGTACTACAGGCACCTTTTGTTTTAGAACACCATGCATGTATGAACGCGGACGTGGTATGAAGACCCTAGCAGATTAATGAAGACAGTTTACTTGTACATGTTTTGAATTTTGACATTTGCGTAACGTCAAATGCGTAGCCAACACAAGGACCCCATACGTGAGTACGCACGACCTTGGCGCTGTGAGTGGTAAATCTAGACACCTATGTGAACAACAAGCTCGACGTGAACAGGGTGGGTTGAAGGATGACCGAGGCGTCACAGCTGCGCATGTTGCCTGACTTTTCGACTTTTCTCGATTGCTCCTGCCTCACTGTTCTCTGACCTCCAGAAAGCGGCTGAAGATGGTCCAGTCGTCGTCGTCGTCGTCGATACCAACCGGGAAACAACATAATCCCATTACATGGTCAGCTGTGGACTCGTCTTCAGGAGATGCATCCAATGCATCTGAGATCATACGGAGACGAAATCTGACTTGCTTGATGGAATGGCCGGGATGATGAAGCCCGATTGAGCTCGACAGCCTCAATCAGATCAGACAACATACCCCGCAATATGAATATTGTTTGGATGATATTGGCAAGGTTGTCGAGAGACGAGAATCTATTAGGGGCACGGCTCGATTGAGCTCGATGGCGTCATCCAGGTCAGGCAGGATGCCCAGCTGCTGGAATCGGCCGTGGACGCTGAGGGTAAGGCTGTTGGGAGAGCTGCGTTAACGAGGATGGCCGGGGGTACGGAGCGCCAGTGCAGCTTGATGGTGCTCGTTAGCCTCACCCAGATCAGACAAGACGCCCTACTGCTGGAATCCGTCATGAAGACTCATGGAAAGGGCATTGAGAGATATGGATTGACGAAGATGATCGGGGGGACGGGGCATCAGCGCAGCTCGATTGAACTCGATGGCCTCATTCAAGTCAGACATAACGCCCCGCTGCCGAGATCTTGTTTGTAAGCTGCTTGCAAGGTTATTGAGATGCGTGTATCGTTTAGGATCGCCAGGGGACGAAGCACCAATGCAGCCCGATTAAGCTTGGTGGACTCGTTCAGGTCAGGAAGGCTGATGGTCAAGCTGCCGAGACTCTGATCGGAAAAAATGGACGGGAGGACAGAGTTTTCACGCAGCTCGATTGAGATCGATGATCCCATCCAGGCCGGGCAGGATGCCCCGCTGCTCGAATCTGTGCACGGAGTGCCAGTAGCTCGACTGAGCTTTAATAGTTTCATCCAAGTCAAACAAAATACTTCGCTCCTGAAAAGTTTGGTGGAAAGTTCGTTGAGAGACACCACGACGGCCAAGGCATGCGCCAGCGCAGCCCGATGGAGATCAACATGATATATGGCCTCATCTACTAGTACGTCAGACAATATGCCTCGTTTCTGACGTGAAGGGTCATGGACCTTGCGAGGTTAGAGAGAAATCTGGATCGATCAACGGAACACTCCTGCAAGCCCGCTCGACAATGCTTCACGAAGTCGATTGACATAGCATCATAGCCAATATTTGATGTCACACTGACTCGTAAGAGCGGGTCCGGGTGCAAAGACGAGATTGTGACTCCATGTCACTGTTGGGCTCGGAGTCGAGTGTAAAATCATGTTAAACACACACGCAATGAACAAAAAATCCAGTAGTGAAGCGTACCGTGAGTTTGACAGCCAGCACTCCGGCCATGATATCTGAGCTGTGTACATCGGGGCCTCTGAGATCTCCGAGTCCGAAATACGCCCACACAGCAGCTCACGTATCACCGCTGGCAGACCTCCCTTTCAGATGTCTTCCGCCAACTTCCTGGTGTCTCTACTGTCCACGTTGCCTGTTAGCGCGTACTTGTTTGTGTGATGCATCTGTGGCGATGATGGCTTGAATCAAACAGCGATTTCCCTGCCGGACTCTGTTGCAAAGTCCGTAAAGTTTTAATGTCGTGAAATGACTTGGTCAGTGAGCGCACATTATCGACGTGTTCTGTTAGCATAGATAGGACGTCTACACTGCATGGGTTTAACCCACAGTGCATGGAAGAAGTGAGGCGTGGATGATGTGCGCTGACGAAACGTTGCGATGACGTTATGATGACGATAACGTTATATGATGACATCGGAAAACATCGCGGCGCTTCGTGTCAGGTCGTAGCCCAAGGCTTTTTTTCAAGTTATCACCCACAACATGCTCAAAAACACAATACTATTGTCTGATGGAGGACTCGTGAGTTACAATACAAGTTGTGTTGTACTAACAAGCTCATTTCTCGTCGCAGGGCACTACTCTAGAGGATCACTTCCATCTCCCGATCTCGCACACACCATTGTGGTCAGCGCGGATCATCCTTGATGCACCAAATACCCTGCAACAAGCTCATCTTGCATTCCTCGAGGCTGGATCAAGGGTCCTCCTCACAGCGACGTAAGTGTCTCCGCTGTGTTTTTGTCGCAAGTTGTGCACCAGTCATCCACAGCTACCAGGCTGCATTTGAATCGTTCGAGCGCGCAGGATACTCTCATGAAATTGCAACTGAGTCTATGCGTAATGCCGTTCACATAGCGGACCAAGCCAGACATCAATTTTGTAAGGAACACCTTGATGTCAGTCCGAAAGATATCCATATCGCACTCTCCCTTGGTCCCTTTGGCGCTGTACTTGCCCCTATGCAAGATTTTGGTGGGATTTACCCTCCTCCGTATGGGCCGCGAGCCTACAGTGACTCAGAGGAAAATACGACCTCCTTCGGAGATGACATTGAAGCAAAGAATAACTCCGTAAAGGCGTTGACACGCTTTCACGAGGATCGACTTCGGGTATTCACGTCTGATAAAGAGACGTGGGACAAGGTCGACTTTATTGCGTTTGAGACGGTGCCGGTGGTGAGAGAGGTGGAAGCGATCAGGAAAGCAATGGACAATATGAAGGAGACTATCAGTCCCAAGCCTTGGTGGATCACCGCAACATTTCCCAATGGCAAGTATCCAGACACTCGGCAACCTGGAGGGGATCGCTATACCCCTACCAAAGTGGCCATCGCTATGATACGCCAGGACAACGATCTACCAGTACCAAATGGTATTGGAATCAATTGCACAGCGCTCAAGCATATCCCGGAGTTACTCCAAGAATTTGAACGGGCGATGGACGGGAATAGGAAACTGTCCCTAGTTTTGCACCCCAACGGAGGTGGCGGATTTGATTTGTCTACTCAAGCATTCCGAGAACCCGAGGAGAATGATCGATGGGCAGAGGATCTGGCCAACCTCGTCAGAGAGGCCAAAAGGAGGGGATGGAACGAGATCATCTTCGGCGGTTGCTGTAAAACTGGGCCAAGTGACATCAAGGCTCTGGGGGAGGCGTTCAGTGAGGAGTAGGATAGGGCGTGGCAAAGCTAAACCGCGGCCTTTGTTGGTCGATCAGTGGTAATTGACATACTTTGGCTGATCCTGGTAAGTAGAATGATGGAGGGTTCTTGCTAGTGACTCGAAGGTGGATAAAATAGGCATCCCCATGTACTTGCCATATCAGCCAACAAAAGAAACCCAAAAGGGCAACAGAGGGGCAGTGTCGATTGAGCAGTGTTTCAATAATATCTGTAACATGTTTCGATCAGCCATATTACCATACTGGCATGATGCGGTTCCATCATCGCTGTCAAACTTGTTCTTACCAATCAAAAAAAGTATCTTGCAACGTTTAGCGGTCCGGAGCTGGAAAGAAGGATGGCTGCAGGTCAATCGTTCGGGAGATAATGAACTTGGCCAACTCTTCCCGTTTGAAAATGTATGTCAGAAGGTCGAAGTTCCGGGATGAGATAGATAGAAAATTGAAATTGATAGAGGTAAACCACGCACGAAGGAGATAAGGGTGTTTGCTTATGAAGGCACAAGAGGTGAGATGATGTTGTCGAGGGGAAAGCCTGTCGCGATTTTCAAAAATGGCCACGTAGCTCAAATGTTTCGTAGAGGAGGACTACCGCCAAATTTCCCAGACTATACATGCTTGGCGCATCGTCGTTGTCAAATGGGTATGAATCGATAGGAATTGATACCATCGATATCATATCTCCCGTATCAGTACTTGCTACTACTGCGATGATCTTTACAAAAACGCGCGCATCTCCGGGTTATCGTCCATCTTGCGGCTATTTTCCGGGGGTTGTCACTGCAACTTCGTCACGCAGGCGCGAGCCCACCGACCTTCCAGTGGCAATTGGATTAGGCAACGCGTTGAAAGTCGGACATCGGATCGTGCATATTGAATTGGGGGATAAAATGTTCGTAGCAACCTTGGCACTAGAGGCAGTACTAGAGTTGTACCTGGTGCTTGCGGACCATTGGTATGGACATGCACTGTATATGAATATAAACCACGAAAAGCACGAGTTGAGTTACGCGGTCAATTGGCCACAGGCCGTTGGGGGTTTAGCGTTGTTTACATAAGCATGACAATAAGAATTGCGCCTCCTCGTGGACAGGAAACGTTGTTCCTCCGCGTTATTTTCGGTGGCCTGGCGGCTCATTATTGGAGCCAATTTATAACAGGCCGCCATTTCTCCACGGTCTCTTTAGGATTGGTCAAGATCGATTCACTTGATAATATCGCCTTGCTCCCAGAATCTCACCAGTTGGTCTTCGTGTTAGACAGCCATCTGCCAACACCACATTCCAGGAATCTCGTATCATATCCGAGTCATCCATCTGTACATATATCAACAACATCACTTTTTGCATCTGTTCGCCACTTCATCAGGACTCATGACTGAATACGATTATTCACCCGCAGCATGGGAGCATTATCTCGCTCAACAAGCTCGGGTTTCAAACTGGGTATCCCAGACAACTGCTCAAGCTCATTCTTACTCCAATCCATTCGTCATGTCGCCCACATTGCGCGACCGCTCGTTCTATGATGATGAGCTAAATGGAAGATGGCAGCGCCCCGCGCCCAGCCGCTCGAAAACTTACAATATACCTCCTACAAGACAAGAGGATCCATATAGGCACACCTCTTCTCGCTCGCGTTTAGGTTCTCACTCGCAGCCTGTTGAAGTATGGTCATACCCCCACTCCAGTCGTACCACCATACAAACCACATCACATTCTCGTACTAGCCCAACACGCAAGCCACCATCACGCTCGCAAACTATACAAGCCATCTATCCGCCAGCTGCGGCCCCCACACACCAGTATGAACGCACCCAGCCCTATCCTTATCCGCAGAAGCAATCGCAGCCCGTGAGGCAACACACTTCTCCGGCCTATTATTACCCGGAGCAGTCCCACGGACACGGATCTCACCAGCGGACGATGTACCACTCACCTTCGCGGCCAACGCAGTCGTACCATCACGCCCCTAGCGGTCGTTTGGAGTATCACTATGGGGTGCGCCTTTATCACTCCGCCTGCATCATTGTGTCGACGCTGATGCTCGTCGTTTGTTTTGCGCTCGCATCGTGATTTGTCATCTGCAAAAATAGGCACCAGCTCAGAAGAAGCCTCAGCCCCTCTTTAAGCGCTTGTTAGGGTTCATGTCACCTGGTGCAGGTAATGGAAGGGGCGGACCGGCAAAGCACCGTAGCTCGGGGAGACGCTCGTCATATTGAAGACCGAGCCAATGTTGGAGCCCTGTCGCATATCATGTTCATCATAGAGTCGCTGGGCTTCTCTGGAGTCCGAGACCAGCATACATTTTATATTTTATTAAATTTGGGCGCCGGCGCCTTGTTAACATTCCTTATATTTCGCAAACGATTCACATTCATCGTACATTCTAAACATCACACTCATTCTGTACATTTACGCATTGTAATGATTTGACGCACTTGATGCCCCACTGTAGACATAGCTAGCACAATATTCATGTTTGGAAGCTGCGAGCGCCGAGGAGGATCGCAAGTCTCGTGTGTCAAGAGTGCATGATCGCAATGATCACCAGCACCTCCAGTACCTGAGCCCGGTCTTCTTCCCTCTCTGGCGTAGTTACATGTCAAAGATTCTGTAGTAAAACACGACAACTTAATTAAGACTAGTACTACTGTTGGCGTCGCCCAGGTGTCGGTAATCAAACATCGATAACCGCGGAGCTCGGGGAACGAAAGACGTGCGATAGACCAATATGATTTTGACTCTTGCTGGCACGCCGGTCGCCCGCCTGTAGGTAAATCAAATATCAGAGCGATTGCTCGGAATGACTCTAAAGGCCTACATTGTGGCCAGGAGATGTCGGTTGCAGTTCCATACTTTGGTAGAATCGATCCCACCGATGGCTTGCCGGATCTAGCGATCTCAGACTCAGACACGGTTGCTTCAACTTGACCCTGAACCATCATGCACAAGTACGTTTCCTGATCATGCTGCACACCTCCATTGTAACAATTGGTACAGCAATCCGCCCGACGACACAGCGCATCCTCCCCGCTCGTCATGGAAGTGGCCCCATTTCCCAGGTACGGTGCATGATCCCGAGAAGGGTATTCCCGAAGAATTGTACAATGAGCTTGTGAGATACACTAAGTATGCATCTGGCGCGTATCAAGTCCTATGCCCGCGTCCGATGGGAAACACACTGGTTGCCCAGGTGCGCATATAGTAGATGATTCTGTGGTCGGTTGTGTACTGATATCAGCGTGAATGGCATGCAGTTTATAAATCCAATTACGGGTACCCAAGGTTTCATCGCTCGCGATGACACGAGGAAAGAACTTGTGGTTGCATTCAGGGGCAGTCGTGAGATTACAAGCGCGATCATTGGTGAATTTCGAGGCGCAAGATTCTAAGATGGCAATTTTTAACACTTGACGGCAAGTAGATACGTCTCTCCTGCTTTCCCCACTACGTGGACCAGGCCTTCCAGAGAACACAGATGCCCACGTGCATACAGGGTTTCTTTATGCTTTTCGAAGCGTTGGAGATCGCGTACTTAATGTCTTACGCGAGCAGTTTAAAGAATATCCGCAGTATGATGTGACTGTGTCCGGCAAGCCACGCTGCCTTTTCTCGATATACACAAATTAATTATGCTTGCAGGTCATTCGCTTGGAGTGCGTCAATCGTGCTTCTTCGTGATATTACTTATGTCATTGTCCTCGAGCAGGGCGCCATTGCATCTATTGCAGCGTTATCTATCAGGAACAGTTTCCCTGATGCTGCGCTGCGATTATTCACATTTGGTGACAAATTTCGTACCCCTATCGCGCGATGTTTACTGAATATGACCGCCAGGCCAGCCAAGGACAGGAGATCAGTCATTCGCTGAGCTCGTGGAAACTCTGATTGGAGTGGATAATGTTTTTCGAGGTACCCTCTTTTGTGTCCCTCAAAGAGCATGTCTCGCTTACTCGAATCTCGCATGCTACTACAGGCGTGCATTCGTTCGGTATGTTTTGTGATGTACGTTTTATTTATGACCAAATCAATGCTATACTTAGATGGCGTGCCCACAATCATACCTACGAGGCTGGGGTACAGGCATCAGTGAAGTCTAATTTTCTATATAATTATCACGAACTCACATGGTCATCAGCGCTACGGAATATTGGCAGTTCACCGAACCACGTTAGAAATACTCCACCTTTTAAAAGATCACCACTGATATAACATTTAGCGGCCCCGCGTCACGTACGTAGATGTGTGGGCGCCGAAGACCCGGAAGGCAGTGCATCCATACGTATATTTACTCCGTTGTGTCCGTGCCTTCTCGTGTTTGACGTGCCTTCTACACAGCATCGACTGGTATCAATCCTGCGCATATGGTGTATTTCGAACAGCGTGAGTATTTTTCTCTCTCTAGTTTAACATGCTGATAGACATGGGGAAGCGATTGCCTCGGATCCCACCGTTTGTATCTGACATCTGCGATTTCGGGTTGATCCAGATATTGTTGATAGCCGATGAGCCTCCCTCTTTAGCCCCCCTATTTTCGTATATGTGTATATTTCTTTCCTCCGCCATACTACTGGTACGTCCTTCATGAAGGCGTACATTGCGTTTCTGGAAGTCACGTGGATGGTTTGGTTGTACTAGTTGAGTTTCCATTGTGTATTATTGTACGAATGACTTTGACTCTTTGAAGCCGCTCATGTGAAGATATTTCGCACATTTCCGTCTTCATGGGACTACATCTGACATCTCTGTCCGGCTAACTCCCTATTTTTCTGATCAGCTCTTTTCACTACTACTGCATCTGTCCCCTCGTGATCTCCAGAGTCTTTTGTTTCAGCGAGAAGCGCAACTGCGAGAGTTTCCAAGAGGTTCGTTATAGAATATTTCTCGCTGCTCCGTTGGCGCTGACGTTGTCTATTAGCGCTGAGTTATCGCGTCATGATGAGTATACTTCACGTCAGAAGTGTCAGCAAGCTTTCCTGTGGTTCACTCTTCCTGAAAGGAACAGCACACAAACCTTACTTGACAGTTTATTTCGTCCTGCGCGCTCAAGTGGCGAAATAAGATGTCATTGAGTAAGTTCATATCTGCAGAAGACTATGCCACCCTAAACCGGATCAGACGCACGATTCTACCACGCTTATATGTCCAGGTGCAGTAAGGGCAGCTCCCGTGGTGTACTCAGGGGCGCCTTCAGTACACATGAAGCTCGTTTGGGACAACTCAGCAGGTTAACTGAGGTTAGGTATCGCCGAGAGGTTTACAGCTAAGGTTTTACGTACGCTGTGCAGATCCTCCAGCAGATTTTCTCGTACAACTGTGACAGATGCAGAGTAATATGCGTGGCAGGCTATCATGAGTACTATTAAGTAATGCATGCAGGTACTTCACGTTAGGGGACAACTGTCTTTCTCCCATAAGGTCCAATTAGGGAGACTCGCTACTAGGTGGAATATACTAGGGACTGGCAGCCAACCATGCAATGGCAATCGTACAGTTGCAGCACCAAGCTGAGCAAGAGAAGTTGCACGATGTCTCAGTACTCAGTGCGGGAGCAATGGTTAGCGCACGTGTTTCCATAAAAGTTGCCGTTATTACATCTTTTCAGGCCGTGCAGCATTTTGCAGCCGGTGTTCGTAGTCTCTCCCCGCTGAGCTCTGCTCTACCGTGACGCTGCCATCAATCATTCTTGCTATATCACAACGTATATTCGCGCCTTATTACTGCTATATTTCGGCCAACTCATTAAGATGTCCGACTCGAAAGTATTACACCTCATCATCCGTCGCATTGCGGACTGGTCTCTCTGGTCGTTCTTCACAGAAGTTCGTGTAATTGGAGGCGAGCACGTTCCGCTGGATGGACCGATCATTGTGTAAGTTTCGTATTTTGCATCACTTGCTTGTCGGCTGGGACACTTGAGCCCGTGTTTGCATTGGACCTAAGCGCTTAGAAGTTGGAAGGATCAATTGGATGGACCTGGGAACGTAAAGTAATCCACAGTCGTGACTACTGACCCCCACATATGTTGAATTTACATCTCCCGCGCCTGAAGAAAGTCTAGAACCAATACTGACCCACTTTTTGCAGCACCGCCACTCACCATAACATGATGATCGATCCTGCTGTCCTTTGTTAGTCTTACAGTTCTTCTCGTAGATTTTGCGCGTGCTTATCGTATCTTTCATAGCGTCCAGCTTCCCACATCGTCGTGTTCTACACTACTGGAGTAAAGGCGAGCTAAGCCTTATCAAGCTAGCAATTCTTGATTCCGTTAACGCGTCACGCCTTGCTTTTAGCCTCACTTTTTGCGAACCCAGTCCTTTCTTGGGTACTTCACTCGTCTGGTAATATTCCTGTAGACCGGAAGTCGAAGAACCGCCAAGATCTATTTCGGGGAACTATCGAAGCTCTCGCACGGGGCGATGCGGTTGCGCTTTTCCCGGAGGGCACGTCATACACTGAGCCGAGGATCATGCAAGTGAAGGATGGCGCTGCCTGGGCTGCCCTAGAATACACCAAGTGGGCCGCGGAAAACGGAGTGAAGGGGTCCGGGGTCCGGATCATCCCCGCCGCCATCGTGTACACGAATAAGTCGAAGTATCGAAGCAGTGTACGTTCCCTGATTCTTCGAAAGGCACTTCACTAAATCCAGCACAGGTCATTGTGAAGTGAGATTTAGTCGGCATGGTGATATAGTACTTGTGCTGATGTCATTAGGTTTGGTGAACCAGTTTCGATGGATGAGTATAAGGAACAATTCTTTTCGGATTTAGAAGGGGCGCCACGGGCAGCGGCCAAGCGCCTCACAAGTGCAATTGAGAGAGAGCTGGTCGAGGCAACCATCAATGCTCCTGACTGGTATTTCAATATTGTTTCATTGCGGTGTGTGCGGACTCTCATTATGTGTTAATTAGGGATACCCTTTACAGTGCTAGGATGGCCAGGGATCTTCTCTGGGAAGATGAGCGCTCGATCGACCTCGAAGAATTTGTCACGATTTCACAGACGTACGATTTCACGCTTCGTCTATTCAGTTAGTATCGGCAGCTCACGTACTGTTGTAGTCTTGTTGATCTATTTTCCACAACGGACGCTACTGCGAACTTCTCGACCGTTCGACGTCACCTTTTGGGGTATTACTCACTTCTTCAGTCTACCAATCTTACGAACTCCGTCTTGTCCTCACTTCCACTTCCGCCAATGCTATCTCCCTCTCACCCAACTCCCCTTCCGTCACGTTTGCTGACCCTCTCTGTCCTTATTCGCGACACGCTTGTTGCCCTCACTCGCCTTCCCTTCTTCCTCATCCCGCTTTTACTTCACACGCCGGTATATGTCATGGGCCGAATTGGCGCTCGTTTAGTGGAGCATGAAGAGGAAACTCAGGCGCAAAACAAAGCCGTTTTTGGCTTGTTATCGTGCATGATGATTTACCCTGCCACGTTCTGGGCGCTCTGGGCGATGCTCTGGTACACAGGTTTTGGTGCTCTTGTGGCAGCATTCACAGTCTGGGCGTTTGCATATTATCACAATAGATTGATCAATGGCACGTATATTTAGAACGCTGGAAATGTGAGCTATACTAACGGGGTAATGGAAACTTATCTACAGATATCTACATGAAGTAAGTTCCAATCATTCTGATTTCATATTCTTGTTAGCTTACCTATAAATATCAAGTCTCAAGCGTGTGATTGCAGCATGGCGCGTTCTCGTCGGCGTATGGGCTCCCAGGCGATGGGAGCTTTCTCTGTCTGCACTGTCTCAATATACAACCCCGCTAGTACCTCCTGAGAACCCTTGGATCGACAAGAATCGGGCAAATTCCTCTACTCCAGGCACATCATCGGGGACGCTCCATTCCTTGCCAGCACAGATTACCGATGAGCCGCCTGTCAGGATTGCGTCCCGTCGCAGGCCATCATCAAGAAGAATTATGAGGCATTTACTGCGGGCACGTGGAGAGGCTGTGAAGGCTCTTGCTGAGTTCCTGACGACCTTGGAAGCAAGCGGAGAGGAGAAGAGAGTGATCGCGAGTATCCACTTGGCAAAGAGGTTTGGCTGGGTTGAAGAAAATTCACCCACCTCCTCGGCAGATGATGGTGGAGATAGCGATCCAGTAACTGACGCCAGGGGATACAGGCGAGCACGCGAGGTGATCGCATTTCTTCGTTCTCGTGGTGCCAAGATCGCAACGTTGGATAGGAAGATCGAGGGAGACTGGGTACTCAGTAGTGATGAAGATGGTACAGCAGGTGAAAGTGAGAAAGATGAGGAAGACCTGGTATGGGTGCCGAGTAGCACGAGTCTCAAGCAGGAGGACGACTAGCGTCCAGATGCTAGGATGATTAGGATATGTGTACCTATGAGCTTCATACTTATTCAAGGGTGACTTTGCCTCGGGTAGATTTGGTACAGGTTGCATTCTTGTCAGTCACTCATTAATACTGGGATATTCCTAGTGCTTTTTGGGGAAGGTACAAGCAGACAAAAAACGACGCCACCCCCGTTTCTACCCGGAGACATGTCACGGCCCTGAAAATCTTCCATGTATGGTCAATTTATCTTTTGGGGAATATTCCAGTATTCGGACGGCCATTAACGAGATATCATCAGAAGAACATTGAGCCGCCACTATCTGCCTGTTCCTTGTTCTTTCTAGCCTGTAGGCCGTGGGGATACCAAGCCTGAGCAATGAAAACAAAAATGATGGGGAATTATCCCATCTGTAGTGGGGTAGGAAGGGTCGACCGTGACAGCCTCTTTGAACATATTAACGGCCAAGATCCGACCAACAATCGGACAATGAAGCATCATTCCATTTCATGAAACACCACCTGCACGTCAACTTGCGAGCTTAATCAAAAGACCTGCTATCACCATCTATGAAAGATCCGAGTAACCCTGGAGCATTCCACATGATGACGTGCTCACATATCAGCAATTGTATGCGGAAATGAAGAGCTACATCAAGTGCCCATGGAAATGCAGCCACTATGGTATTGCCCCACGATCATATGATACGGTCGAAAAGGAAAAAGACAAGCATGACATCAGATAAGATGTTTGGTGACTTACGACACGCTCTAGACACCTAACTGGTCGAGGTTCAGGCGCCGAGACTAGGCAGAAATTGACAGTAATGATACGTACGTTTGGTGGGCCCATCATAAAGACGGTGTTGTGAAGGGCCTGGACTGGTGGCGCATCTTCTGAATCAAACAGCTAGAGACTAGAAGGATATAAACAAATAGACCAAACTAAATCCGATACCAGGCAGGGCGAAGATGTGCATTTGTGGCAGTATAACAGCGCCCATGGCCAGAAGTGGGAAGATCTATGCTTGAGTGGGACAAAATGTCCTGGCGGTGTGGTGCAGGCGATATGATTGAAGCCATGTTGGAAGCATGTGACAGCGCTGGTTTGTTGAGTTCTCCAGGCATCGATCGAGGATGCTGTCCCAATAATGGCAAGGTCATGCACCAGGCATCCATGTATGGCATGCAACATTTTCGTACGAACATCGCCCGTTAATTACCTTGTAATACACCGAACCCCCGGGTTCTAGTAGGGACTTGCTGCCTGGTTGTATCCTAGTCACAATCAGAATGAGGCCGTAAATTGATTAGAGCAAGATAGCGTCTGACAGCGGTGGTAGACACTCAGCATGATACATATCCTTATATACGCCTCACCGTTTCATAAGACAAAAAAAACTGCAGGAACGTGTTTTCGAACGCACTTTGCATCATGCACTATCATGACGAAGTTCCAATATTAATGTATAATGGATTCAGGTTAGCAACATGAAGTGAATTGCGGGGGCACATGTTGTATAATTCGTTTACATTGAATTGAAGCTTCGAATGATAAAACCAAATAGCCAGAAAAGGAAATTATGGTATTCATACGTGTTTGCTCAGACGTGACGTCTGTCTGCCGTGGCAGCTACTCGTTTGTTCCTTCACTTGAAACAGTTGTCATATTCCAGCTTCTTCATTCTCTTGCGCGCGCACTACAGGATGCACAGCATTTACGCTCGAGCGAATGGCATATCCGGTCTTTGGTCAACGTGTGTTATGGTTTTGCTTGGAGCTGTAGCTCTTTCCTCTTTCCTCTTCAACGCGGATTCTAAGGGTAGTCTGGATATTGTCTCTTTGAAGGTGTAAGTCACTCGATTTCTTGCGTCAGCCTGAGTCTTGCCTTCGTCGTGTCTCTCACGTCAGTGACTTACCTTGACATCCCTCAGGTTCCACTCCAAAACGAGACGTTATCCTTTCAGAAATGAGGAAATTGGTTTTGTTAAATTTAACCTTTCGGCCGGTATGTATTTTTCATCGCGATGACAGCGGAAGAGCCTCACCGGGGATCCACCACTTTCCGTCGCACAATCGCGGTTTCTTATACGTGATTTGATTTTGCGATCGCTGCGTCTTGCTCTAGACTTGACGCCACTTTTTAACTGGAACACGAAGCAGTTATTCGTGTACCTTGAGGCCGAATACACAAATGCACAAGGGGTAAGCAATTTACCATTATAGCTTCATGCATACGAGCGGGGGAGATTTGTCTGATGCACTTTTGAAGGTCAACAATACCGTAGTTATCTGGGATCGCATTGTACGGAGAAAAGATGATGCCACGATCGACATTGTACAGAAAGAAAAGTACAAACTTCGCGACCTGTCGGGATCTTTCAGGTGAGTCAGGATCCGATGACGGTGGACCACCCCATATTGTTTTCATGCTGATGACTCGGATAGCAACGTACATCCCGCCCAATATTCGCTCAAATATAGTGTGATGCCGTATGTTGGCGTGCTCACTTATGGAGAAGCTGCCCGTACGACGGAGGCTATCGACTTTCCTGATGCTCGAGACTCTGTGTCATGAGCGTTGATTTGCCAATTTGGACTCCACATCAGCTTGATTGGAAATGACTCAGGATCTAGTTACATAACTACATCCCAGTCTTGAACTACGAGATGATTTCTGAGAGCACAATTTATGGAAAGGCCAGGCAAGTCGTGTATGTATACTGGAGGTTAGGAGCGGTCTTGTGATCTGAGTATCTCAGCGAGTCGGAGAGTTACAGCGAGCGTAACCATACCTCTTGACCAACCCGTATTGGAAGTTGGAAGTGCGATTTTTCCGGTGAAAAGTTACCGATGGGGGTAACTTCCTCGTTGTTCTATATAGTTTCGGTGACAATAATGCTAAGCGGACCGCAGGTAAAGGCGTGTCATGTACTCTCAGTACTTACAGTTGGGAAGAAGGGTCAGCGCAAGTCTGACAAAGCTAGTGCTTCATGGGAAAACAATGGAAGGTGCCAAGATAGAGTATACGATCGGATCTGTCGCGATCTGCTCCCTCAGTTTTACACTCCTCACGTCATCAAGCTAAGGTTTGTGCGATCTTTTTAAAAAATGGATGGTTTAATGAGCTTGATTAGGGCGATGAAAGGACTGCAGCTAGCTGTTGTATTTTCATTGATATGGATAACATGAAATCCTTTGAAAAATGGAGAAACGCGATTGTGGGTCATTTTGCTTACGAGAATAATTACGGAAACTGATTCAGACCTGTTGCTGTAATCGTTGACATCTCTCGTCGTCTGACTTCGAGCCTGCCAGAGGCGTGGGTTCCTAAACTCAGCCTAGCTTAGTATAAACTGGCTGCAAATGAACCCGAAGTTCTTATGTTACCAAATACGCAATGTACCTTTTTCAGTGAGTCTTAATATATATAAAAGACACTCACCGCCTTCAAACTGGAGATTTATCCCCTGCCGTCAACTGACCTTCCGTTTACACAAAACATTCCCCCGCAACCATTTTGCTTCCTTCACTCCCTCTACATGTCTTCTGTCTCCACTCACACGCCTTCTGAACACACTCGATATTGGCACTATCCCCAACCAAGCGCATCCAGCTCCCAAAACCCTATACCCTGTGACGCGCAAAACCAATCATCTCATGTGACATCTAGGCCATCGAACCAATCTAACGGTTATGCAGAAGGTTTTGATATAAGTGTAGGTATTTTTGTCGTCTCCGATCATAGTTCTCTCAACTCGATGCCAGGTCAAAGTAAAACGAGCATTTACTTTTGAAGAACTTCAATCAGGTGCATACTTCAATTCTTTGGACGAATCAGATCTCCAGTTCTTTGGAATGTATGGTCAACCTGTTCTTATCCCGTGCCCCGAAGATTCGGATCAAGGCGGCTGGAGCTTGCAAGGCCAAACCCACATGCAACAATGCGGCGATTCCTCACCGTGCATCACTACCGCCCAGTATACTCCTCATACCAATCCATCCTCATTTCAGATCTCGAAATCATACACGCTAGTCGATTCTCTCGGGCAGTTATCCACTTCAACCTCTGCACGAGCACCCATTGGTACACGTGTTTCTGCTATGGCTCCTGCAGCGCATAGTGGCGTGAACCACATCAAACATGAATCCAGTTTGATGCAACAGGTGAATCGTTTCTATGAAGTTACGCGTGCTCTATTTTTGACAGCGTGATTATCATTTATAAGGCCTTTGTGGACTTTGCAAATCCGTCGGACCTCCCATCATCGAGTCCCCGCCTGCGTCATTCTCGACGATCAGCTTGTGCGTACGAGGAGGCCATCCCGATAGGGACACTGAGTCCTATGTCTCATGAGACTGAAGATATAAAGCCAAACCTCGCAACACTGGATGACGAGCCGCCTATGGATCACCTACCATATCCGCCACCCGTTCATTCGGTCCCTCCACGACAGTTCCAACCTTATTCGCCTCAGGATACAATGTCAGAATCTCCCTCTCCGTGCTCCCCTCATAGCACAACTTTCCTGCCCCCTTCGCATCGTGATGCATCAGAAGCCCCAATGACCGTCCCTAGCCAGTCTTATATGTTTGTCGAGGTCGAATCATCCACTCCCGCATTCATACATACGAACCAACAACACTACCACTCCCCAAACGAGTCTTCTTCTCACCCTCATGGCGGAAAGACGGGATCCCCTTATCAACGTTCACCGTCCCCGAGGGGGGCATTACGGATATCGCCGTCACCACACCCCAAACGATCGATGGATAAGAAACCAGCGCTTGCATGCTTATTCTGCCGAGGCCGGAAAATTGCGTGTGGCCCACCCGTCCCGGGTAGTAAAGACAGGACATGCAAGTGAGTATCACGGTCCTCTGCCCATTCAGGAATGTACTATTATGTGTCCCTTGCTTCTTCACGCCTTATCGGCGTGGTAATGATTTGCCGGTTTCGTGCGATTGATTTCTTAATTAACACCACTCCTGTTCGCTGATATCCGCGCCACCATCAATTTATTTCGACATTTGGCTGACTTTTATGTCTTTGTTTCTCAGTCAGTGCGCTCGTAGGCATTTGAAATGCGAGTATCCACTAGAGTCGCGTCGGGGAATGAGGAAGCGCCGGTCGCTGGTTCCCCGAGGAAGCGGTTCTCCGCCACCCGAAAGCAATGCAGGGAATCCAAAAGTGATAAGGCCGGGTCGAAAACGATCTGTGGACAAACGGCCATAGTCCTCGGCCTCTGATCTCCTTCTTGAGTCATTTACTTGGATATTTTATGCCGTCTGTTCGCATTACTCATCGCCGTAATGGTGTGTGTGTGAATCCGTTATTGTATGCTCGTCATGTGCATATTCGCATGTTGTCGTCGCTATGCTTTTGTCGCTTTCGTTCCGATTTATCCCATTATACCTCATGTATTCGGTCAAGGCTCTTATTTGGTTTACTGTCTCGCACATAGCCATCATGTAGCTACATGGAAGGACCTGTGCTCCTTTGTGGTGGTGTGATATCCGTCTGGTACGTCGTCGACGGCTGACTCGAACATGAGCGATTGACCTAACATCTGGTGTGAATCACCTAGACTCTTTCCGCATAATCTTCAGCTACCAATTAGGTAGCCAACAGCTGGGCTCACGAAAGATCATTTTGGGGCTGTGACGAATTCACAAATTTTGGCCCCTGTCACCGGAATTCAAGCTGCCATGAGGCTGAAACGCTTTATCCCCGAAACACTAATAAGAGCAAGTATGTATGTTACTCGCACACGAGCTCCGGCTCGGAAACCCACAGGATATTCACTGTACCGGACACCGGTAGTATCGAATATCATTTATTTCGTTACTATGTACCACCATATAGGCGACACATAGCATCAGAAAGTCCATTTAGAATCACTGCGCGGACTAACATTTTCTGAAGGCAAGACCATATTGATTCACCCGGATCTACGGGCCTGGGCCCTACTAGTCGACGTACGCGTGAATTGCTGCGACAGCCTGGAGTACTTCTGGAACACCACCAGAAAATTACAACATCATGATAAACTGAATGTAGCAGCTTTGGCCCGAATCAGCTGCCAAGGCGCATCAGTTCATATAAATATTTCCAGCCAGGTCTGAGAACAAAACCCACTTCCCCTATCATTAGTGACTTGGACTGCACAAAAATACAATGTGGCTGTGCTAAAATACGTGCTCAGTTCGTAATACGAACGCCGACACTCGGAGACTAACGTCGATTTGTCGAAATGATACTCTAACGATTGCGAGACTGTACCGAATATCTCGACCGCGACTAGGCTGCAACGAGTCGTGGAAGATCGCTTGCCAAGAGCTCGTACCATTTGAAGCGAAATTACATGACTACTAAGGTTCAAACCGGGCCGTTTAATCACTGGCTCAAACTTTGAAGTGTGGTTTAGAGTTCGGTGAGCACTTCAACCTGAGGTTCGATTTTACAGTTGTTCGAGTGTTGATTTTACCCTGTACAAGGTACTTCATGTCGTCGCTGCATGTCATCGCGAGCAATATTTTTTTTTTCCAATCGGAGAAAAGAAAATGCACTGTTGAGACATGATGGCTTCTCTCGGGTGCAACTCTGCACCGCGACCTACTCGGATCCCAGCCATGGCTAAGTCATGTATACATAAGTAATGGGTTCATCGTCGTTGCGTACGGAAGCCCCGCCTTTTCAGTGTTGTACACCATAATGTTCAAGTTGCTGAGGCTCGCGGCCCCCCTTACGCTCCTGTCTTCCGCTTATGCATCCAAGGTTGCTGGCGCGTGGTATGCTGGCTGGCATGCTACCAACGGATACCCGGTGTCCAATATCAGCTGGGACAAGTACAACACGGTGTACTATTCTTTTGCGTAGGTGGAAGCTCCCATTCTGTGACAGACCTATGACGACGTTGATCGACAATCTTCAGAACAACCACTTCAGATGTGAATACTATATCACTAGAAGGGTCGAATGGCGCGTTGCTTCCTGTCTTTGTGTCAGAAGCACATGCACACGTAAGATTGACAACTCGTGTGCGTGTTTGATCGCTGAGCCAATGATTGGGACTTGTCAGGGTGTTAAAGCCCATATTGCCATTGGAGGTTGGGGTGGCAGCATTTACTTTTCTTCTAACGTCGCAACAGCGGAAAATCGCACTGCATTCGTCGACACGGTGCTAGATTTTGTCGGAAAATACGATCTAGATGGTGTCAACTTTGAGTATGTATGGCAGTTGCATCCCATCGATATCATATCCCTGACCCACCTTTAATTTAGCTGGGAGTATCCAGATAAGCAAGGCATTGGCTGTAATATCGTCAGTTCTGATGACAGCGCAAACTTTCTTTCCTTTCTCCAAGAACTTCGCGAAGAAAGTTGCTCGAATCTCACCATATCGGCAGCAGTATCTTTGACGCCATTTCGTGATTCCACCGGCAATCCGTCGACTGATGTCTCCGCCTTTGCAAAGGTTCTTGACTATGTTGCTATTATGGACTATGATGTTTGGGGTTCGTGGTCCTCTGCTGTTGGCCCTAACGCCCCGCTCGAGGATTCCTGTGCGACCTCGTCTGAGCAACAAGGCTCAGCTGATTCCGCAGTAAAGGCTTGGTCAAATGCAGGCATGCCTGCTGATAAGATTGTCCTGGGTGTTGCATCATACGGACACTCTTATAGCGTCAGCCCCTCTGATGCATTCGTGTCGGGCACGAAGACGCTAGCCGCTTACCCCGCTTTTAATTCAGCTAATCAGCCCGTAGGGGATGCATGGGATAACACCGGGAGCGTGGATTCCTGCGGTAATTACGCAGGATCCGGAGGTACCTTTGACTTCTGGGGACTGGTCGACGGTGGCTTCCTCAACTCGGAAGGTACGACTGCCCCTGGTATCTACTCTCGGATTGACTCGTGCAGCCAAACGGTGCGTACACCCCTTGAAAAAAGAACTGCTTTTGTTTCTAATGAACTTGTTGTCAGCCCTACGTTTACAATGAAACGTCCGAAGTCATGATTTCCTATGACAACGCGGATTCATTCACGGCCAAAGGCACGTTCATCAAAAACACTGGACTGCTCGGATATGCTATGTGGCAGGCCGGTGGAGACTATAACAATATCCTCGTTAATGCTATCAATAGCGCTGTGTAGATTAATTCGCCTTGTTCCACAAGTATACCCACATACCCACGTCCTTCTTGTTGTCTTCTGCCATGTCATAGTTACCCTGTGATGTCAGTTCCAAAATACCCCGAGCGATGTTCCGAGACGGGAAAGAATCCGCCACTAGGGTTGGTGGTTTATCCAACATAACGGACTGCTAGGTTAAACCTCAAAAAGAAATAATTTTGGGTACTTACATGATTTGGACAAAGTTGAGTTTGGTTAGCTGACTAGTTTGGCTAGTGGTCAATGTATTACCGAACTCTAGCAGACCAACAAATTTTTTGATCAATCATATCACAATACGGTTCAAAAGATTTAGTGTACCGACTTGGCTATACTTACTTATTGCAGGATGGTGGAACGTATATAGGAAAGTTACAGCCATAGCATAATAATACGGCTTTCGTCCTTCAAGTTGTTCGCCACCGGCGATGTTCTGGAGATTTGCAACTAATGTGTCACGATATAATCCATCTCATCTCATTCATCCACCGGCATTCAGAAGCTGATGGCGCACAGAAAACTCTACATGCAAATAGATACAACAACTCAATCAGTCCAAGCTGCCTAATAGCAAGCAGTCCATCTTTGACCATACACATCAAAACCATGTCTTAGATCCAGGCTTCACCAGTCTGATTCCCTGGGCTGGAGGTGATGAACCCTCTTCCTCTTCCTCGGACATATCCTGCACAGGCGACTCCCGCTCCCACAAGCTTCTGCTCTCTTCTTCATCATCTACACCTTTTGGATATCGTCGCAACTGTCCCGTTGAAGAGCTACGTCGTGTGCGTTCCGTGGGGCGCGCATCCTCCTGGTTTCGGTAGCTTTGCAAAGGGTTATTTAACAGCATGTCAGACGATGGGGGGAATGCGGTCATCGCGGGAGTTGTCGGGCTTTCGAATGGATCACTTTTGATTGGATTGTGGTACATTGTAGACACGGTGGGTGCTGGTGGTTCATCATTTGCACGCGGTGGTACAACTAGGGACTGCGAACTACCGAGCGTGTCGGTGCTCGGTATTGGAGGATACCGGAATGATGAATTTGACGGTACGGTGTGCACGGCGTTCCTGTGCTCATGCGTGGCATCTGCATCTCCACTACCTGGCGGGCGGTACGAATGTACGAGATCTTGCGATCCGAATTTGATGGCTGTTCTCCGCGGGCTGTATGGTGTTGATCCAGATGAAACCGACGACGCACGATCTGTCTCGGACAGCCGCGGCACAGGGGCATCATATAGCTGATGACGTGTCAACCCATCATATGCGTTATTCGCAGGTGTGGAAGGTAAACCATCTGGACGCGCTCGAAGAGAGGAGCTTGCGTGCCTGCTTGATTGGCTCATCGTCCGTGCTGAACGGGCGCGGATGATGCTGCTCATAGTGCCGAACGTGCCACGCAACGCTTCGATGCCGGAGTTTTCCATACCGGCAATACCCTTCTCCTCGGCGTCTTCCGTGGATGCGCGAGAGGCTTGAAGGAGCATGGTGGACCGGCGATCAAGCTTCAACTGCGCAGGGTCAATCTTGGACATTTGGAGGATCGTGATGCCGACGCATATTGTGAGGAAGGCCAGGACAAGGGTGAGGATTTGCGAGACAGAGGAACTGAGCCCTTGGAAGAGGACCTGTAACGATGGGTGAGTAATCAGGGGGTATTGATAATTGTAGCTGCGCGCACGATGGTTGTGACCATTGAGCAAAACGAAACTGTTTGAAGTAGTTAGTGTCAATCAGTGACGCGATTGGGCACGGGTCACGTACATAAAACGTAGTACGTGGGCGTTACTGTGATAGTTTAGTCAAATCAGTCAAGCAGTCGGTGTTAATGGGAAAACAAACTTTACCCATAGCTGCCAAGTGTAACACTTGAGTCCAAGCACACATATAATTATTATTTCACTCACCAGTATTGAATAGTGCAAGTGCAATATTCAGGTAATAAATTTCCGTCACTGCCTTGCGTTAGTACAGCGAAATGAAGATATATTGATGACACACATAGTGTAATCACTACGAAAACCATTAAAAAGTATATAAACCAGTGCGTGAACTGTGGGACCATGAAATAATGCGACGTTATGATAATTACAACAACTTGCCTGATTGACTCCCATAACGGACATGACTATGGCTGCACCGAGCCCGGTCGTGACACTCACACTGATGCCGCCGATAGTGCTGCACACAGATATATACCAGAGCATGTTGTTCTTGCCATATCTAAAAAAGAAAGGATAAATGAAGGGAAAAGAGAGCATGTTAAACGTGACTGACTTGGGTCCAAAGTAAAAGATAATAGAGAGGGCAATGGTAATCAGGGCAGATATGTAAGCGAGGAAACCTGGTGCCAAGAAGAGTTTCTGAAATGCCTCTATTTCACCAGGTGTTTGCTCTTGTGGGCCTTGTGCACCAGAAATAAATAAACTTTAGTATATATGGTACTCGTTCAGTGTAATGCTCACCGTTGAGAGCAATGATAGTGGAACCAATCTGGCAGACGTTGGTACACGAGAAGACGAGGAATCGGTGACACTTACAATACAGAGGGCACAACCCAGCCATCCGAAAAAGGTGAGTTTCTCGTTGAGAAAGATTGAAGATAGGATGGCACATATTACAACAGATAGTGCGCCCATAGGAGTCTGTGACAATTCATGGTGAAGATATGATAGAGAATGAGGTGTTTCACACGCACCACAACAAGTGCTTCAACAAATGCATATGCTTCGCAGGATCAGCATAAAATAGAGTTAGAGTTCAAGTTACATACCAACAAAATTACACAACTCTCCACATATCATCACTTGGGGATTCGCTTGTTATGCACAGCACAAGTAGCAGGACACGAAAACTCACTTGTCATGCCTGTCCACCATAGTGGCTTTGATAGCAAATATCAATATCAGGCTGAGGGGTGGCAGGGATGACTCTTACAGATTTGAGGTACGCGACACCTTCGCCTGCTGCATGCCCGGCCTGCGAGCGCAATAGGCCCTTCTTCTTGAAGACAAAACTAGAGCCAATCAACAAGCCACTCGTTACTGCGAGTATTATTCCGACGATCTGGGTGAATGAACTAAGGCTGAGCAGTAAAACCTAGAATAAACCGCCTACTTTAAGGCTTGAGGGTAATTGAATGGTAGTGCTTGAACCAGAAGCAGTGGCGGAGGACGTCGCAGACGACGCCGAGGATGAAGCTATCGTTGTGGAGGACATGGTCGTGATGAAACCCGCAGCAGTGGTTGAGCCAGCAGGTCGTAGTTATTCTTGAGTTGCGATGCATCATTCTCTCAAAGCCAAGCCCCGTCGGCCTGGACCGAAACCGGGGTAACATACCATTTATGGATAATTGGCCTCCGGACCGGAGAATTCCGGCAGTTACTCCGACGGGTGTTGTAAGGAACCCAAAAAGGAAGGATTATGGGGAACGGAATAATATTAATATCGTTCTCGGGCAGACGCCTGTGCAAGGCTGTTGGGTAGTTTGAAAGTCCTGGGATCCAGCCCGTCCTGAGCTGGGAGTCCTGTAATTAGTCTCGTTACGCTTTTCGGTGAGAAATTTGTCCTCAGTTTCTTTCTGATCTTCATCTCTGTTCTCTTTTATCTTTCTAGTGACCCACTCTGAGTCTCAGGTCGACGCTAGGTTTACCAGCACGCATCCTCCAGCTGGGAATCACCAAATAGACTGTCTGGCCAGAAGCCACTAACAATTCGCTCATGGATATCATTAACCGTCCTTCGAATGACTATGGGTCTGACACGGAGTTGATTCTTTCCGAACCATCATCTTCTCTGGAGCAGGATGCCACAATTCAATTCTCGCATCAACGTTTTGTACCCTCAGACTTTCTGAAACCAGAATCTGGGGACCATCCAGAGATCGCCCCCTTTCTTACTGAAGAGCCTGTGAGTCTTTCTGCCCCCTCGTGATCCACCGCGTGCGTCAGGCGCACCGTATCTTCCAAGGCTTGTCTTTGATGTCTTGGCGAACAAAATTAAATATTCCTTTCTTTCTAGCTTACTTCGCCCAGCCTTATCAAACGTTCTCTGGGTTTGAGCAAAGCATCGTTCTCGTCCCTTACCTCTTCTCGGCAAGGAAGTTCCAGCAACATCCTTTACACAAACCGTGGAGGAGCCGATTCACAAATCCTCTCAGACTTCTGTGGTCAGCCGCTTTCCGACTTCTCCTTACGTGAGCAGGGAAGTTCTAGAGGAAAAATGAAGAAGTTAACCGACATCCTCAAGAAGCGCAGCCGGGGAAGGCTCTCCTCAGACACAGGCTCGTCATCCCAGATGGCCTCAATTTCTTCCTATGCCTCCGCTTCAACAGAAACTTTCATGAACCCCTTCGTACCATCTCCCTTGCCAATACTCAAGAAAGACAAGAAAGAGAAAGGGCGACAACAAAAGGCACGACCACTTCCCAATGCACCAAGTCCTCCATTGTCCCCCGCAAAGGGTGATGAACTGATGAAGATCGACCTTGAGTCCCTTGCACACATGGAGGGTATCGTCAATACGTCCCTTTCTGGGCAGAATATTGCACCATGCAATGTTTCTCCATCAAGTATAATTGATCCAAGCGTTGCCAGTACTTCTGGAAGTAGCTTCCAGCAACCCCCATCACCCACACTCTCCACTTCCTTCGTGTTCAGCAATCCGTTTTCTTCCACTTCTCCTGCCAGCAAACGAAAAGCTTGCATCGACTTTCGAAAGCTGTCTCCGAAGAGTTTGCCTCCTTTAGTTGGACCAGAGGAGCTGGATGTGTTTGGAGTTGTCTATGAAACACCTTTGTGGACCGCTCCAGAAAGCTGGGCTGTCGAGAAGGACGGTGAGGAGGAGGCAGATGTAGGGGGCGACTCAAGCTCTGAAGAGAGCACGAGAGATGCCACATCGTCTTTCAATAGCTCGGGACTTAGTTCGAAACGCAAATCCCGTCGGAAAAGCAACCACCCGCGTAAATTGCCCTCCCGCAGCAACGACCGCGTCCGCGTTAGAATATATCGTGCGGACGGATCATATCACGTTGCCCCAATCTCGATACACTCCACCGTTGCGGAGCTCACCCCGTCGCTTAACCAGAAGCTATTTGCGCACAAGGAGCGTGAGACACATAAACTGTACCTCAAGGAGAGGGGACGAGGTACGTCTTACCACTGTACGCTTGCTTCTGTTTCTCACTGTTGTCAGAGCGTGTATTGGCACCTACCGAGAGGCCAGCTGCCATCGTCATTCGCCGATTGGAGCAGGCTGGATACGACCAAGCGGATAGTCTTACTTTTCTCGGTGCAGAAGACATGACTTTCCTTATGAAATTCGTTTATAAAAGTCAACTCCTTGGCCCAGCAGTAAGTTGTCCAGGGAAAATATTATGATCTGACTTGACTCCATGCTTTCAGGCTGAGGAGCTTACATTTGATGCATTCGACCTGGTCGACCTGACAGGCTGTAGTCTACCCACCATACCCATCGTCCTCCATCAAAACGCTAGCTCGATCGTGTACCTCAATCTCTCACGTAATCCAATGGTCGAGATACCCCTGGATTTTATACAGTCCTGCACGACCCTCCGCGATCTCAAATTGTGCAGCATGGCGATGAAGAAAGTGCCTCAGAGTGTTCGGCATTCCACCAGCTTACATCGACTCGACCTATCATGTAATCGCATCGTAGACTTGGACGATGCTGGTCTCGACCGCATACCTGAGCTCTCGAGCTTGAGACTTCAGAATAACAGGATAGAGCAACTGCCCTGGTATTTTCCCCGCCTCAAGTTTCTGAACTTCCTAAACATCTCAAACAACAAGTTCGTGAATGTGCCTAGCGTCATCTGTCAGCTGCCTTGTCTTGTTGAGCTCGATATGTCTTTCAACATGATCACTGAACTTCCTGAGGAAATTGGTCGCCTCACTACTCTCGAGCGCCTGATTTTGATTGGGAATCAGGTGATCAAGTTGCCCGAAGAATGCAGAAATCTTGTCAACCTACAGTTACTTGACTGTCGAAGAAATAATATATCCGACATTTCCATCGCCTACACCCTACCCAAACTCCAAATTCTCTATGCTGATCATAATTCTGTTCACGCCCTTCATCTGTCCATTGGTCCCAGTCTGTCAGTTCTGGACGCCTCCCACAACGATATCACATTCCTCAAATTCGCTCCTAGCTCTCCACCGCAAATATCGCACACCCTCACACTACTCGATGTCTCCTACGCTAAACTTTCCTCTCTCGATACATTCGATTTCTCTCAGCTCCCTGCCCTTCAAACTCTGAAACTTGACCACAATGAACTCCGCACGCTCCCAGACACCCTCGGCGATCTCTCCCATCTCATACACCTTTCCTGTTGCGACAACAAACTCGTCTCTTTACCCTCTACTATCGGCCTCCTTCAGCGCCTAGAAACCCTCGATGCTCATAACAACAGCTTAACGGAGCTACCTGTATCCCTCTGGAATTGTGCATCGTTAATCCATATCAACGTTACCTCAAATCTGCTTGCTAGTTGGCATGATCCTCCTGGAGATAATTTGGTTGCACCGGCACCATCTGGAATAACTCTCGAGATCCCCTTATCATCATCAGCCGGTCACACTCCAAGAAAGCCCTCAAATGCTACATACACCATGTCAATACACAATGCACCTGGTCGGGCACTCCCCCCCCTCGCTTACTCTCTCGAGCGACTCTCCATCGGAGAGAACCGTCTGACAGAGGAAGCGATTCCTCCGCTCACCATCCTCAAGGAGCTCCGTGTCCTCAATTTGTCCTTCAACGAAATTCAAGAACTACCGTCTGCCTTTCTCCGCAATCTTCAGCAGCTAGAGGAACTGTATCTTAGTGGCAACCAGTTAACGAGTATCCCCACTGAAGACCTCGTGAAAATGACAAGATTGTCGGTGTTGTTTTTGAATGGGAACAAATTCCAGACGCTCCCCGCTGAACTGGGCAAAATTCCCAGTCTGACCATCATTGATGCCGGCAGTAACCTGTTGAGGTACAACATTCACAATTGGGAATTTGATTGGAACTGGTATGTTTTGATCGTTTGAACGTAGATGACTGGTTTGCTCACGGCGCCGGTAGGAATTTCAATTGTAACTTGAAGTACCTTAACCTGTCTGGGAATAAGAAATTGGATCTCAAGCAGAACAACGGTGGAAAACGCGTGGTGGATGAACATGGAAGGGTGCTCTCCGACTTCTCTCGACTATCTCAGCTTCGTGTTCTCGGGTTGATGGATGTCATGACCACTTTTCTTCCCAATATTCCCGAAGATTCTGATGAACGACGTGTTCGTACTTCTCAGACGGAAGTCAACGGAATGTCATATGGCATTGCTGACACCATTGGGAGGGATGGGTATCTAACCACGCTCGATCTCGTCCTGCCCGAGTTCGGAGGGAAGAAGGACGAGGCACTGTTCGCAATGTTTGGACGTACTAAAGCTCTTCCCGGAAACAATACGCTTTCGAAGTACCTGCATGACAATTTCGCTTCTGTCTTCACCGAGCAGCTTCTTCAGTTGAAAAAAGACCAGAAGGGGGAGCGAAGGGATGGCGTATCAGATGCATTGAGGCGCACGTTCCTGAAGCTAAACAGACAGCTCCACGACAAGCTCTACGCGCAGCCATCTCGTAAGATGTCCCAAGTCAGCGCATCTACCACCGGTCCTTCTGGACCAGATTCTTCTTACCTCCGACAAGGGGCCTCTGGCATTGTTGTTTACGTGGTCGGCCGAACGTTGTATGTTGCTAACGTCGGGCATTCCCTTGCTGTCATCTCGAGCCAAGGGAATGCACATCTCATTTCCAAGAATCACGACCCTTATGACCGGGATGAGGCAAGGCGTATCCGGCTTGCAGAGGGTTGGATATCGCCGACGGGACTCATCCATAACGAGGTTAATACGTCTCGAGCTTTTGGATATTACCACGACTTTCCAGTTGTCAATGCGCGACCCGACATCCACGTTCGCCAGCTAACCGAGCTCGATGAGTTCGTGATCATCGGCAACCGTGGATTATGGCAGTATATATCCTACCAGACCGCAGTCGACATTGCTCGATCGGAAGCTGACCCAATGATTGCGGCACAGAAGCTACGTGACTTCGCCATAAGCTATGGCGCGGACGGAAACACCATGATCATGGTGATATGCGTCTCCGACCTCTTCCGCTCTCGACAGCCCATAACAGACTCTCTCGTGGATCCAGATATTTACAGCTCTATCAATAAAAAGAGGGCAGGGAAGAAAGCAGA